CGCAAAATCGGGCCCTTGGGTAATTGGATAAATCATGCCGCTAGACATTGCTCGCGGAGAGCAGAAAGAAAATGAAAGAGCGGAGAGAGGATAAACGGCAATTATTGGCCTCCGCGAGGGATACACATCCTGGCAGAAGGGTTATGTACTCTCCGCCCATGAATTCTCCTCCTCTCTCTCTCTCTGCCTCGGCCGTAGCCGCGGAGAGCTCGAACCATAGGAGGATCTTGCTCGGCGAGAGAGAGAGAGAGAGAGAGAGAGATCAGAGCGAGGGGATAATTTAGTAATTACGAGGCCAGATGCTCACCTCGCGACGTCTCATTTTATAATGTTGCGTGAGCATGGCGCGTGAGCAGCCGCGCCGCAGCCGACGAATCGCGCGCGTACGCATCGATCTTCCTGTAACGCTTCTTCTTGCTTGCTGGCTGCCAATCCCACTTGATTAGCTGTGTTTTCATAGCAAATGTCTGGGTGGCGAGACGCACAACGCACACAAGCCAGCCGCGCTAAACAGACCAATTGAACGCTACTCGGACGAGTTGACTGGCCGGTTGACTCCTCGTCTATTTCGCTCCGCGTCGCAGTCGCGAATTTTCCCCGATGAAGACATTTCGCTCGTCTTGTTTTTTCTTATTTTTCAGGATTATCAATTTAAATTTCCAGTCACGCGCGCCTCGGCGCGTAAAAATGCAATAACGATCTCTCTCTCTCTTGGAAATCGAAGCTAAAATATCTCCGCTTGGCTGTTCACTCGGTTCCCCAATGAATTATTCAGGGTGCCGGACTATTTTACCAACTCCCAAAGCTTCCATGACTTGCTACACTGACCGCGCGAACGTTCGCAACGAGAACATTTATCGTCTTTATAACACTCGCGAAACAATCGGACGCCACGGAAAAAATGTCCTCGAAAAGGAGGCGCGCCGATTCGAGCGCGAGTCGCGCGTGGGCCATCTCGGCAAGCTAGAAAACGAGGCCAAAACAAACCGGCGGAGTGCACAGGTGAGCGCGCATCGGCGATGAGCAAACCGAAAAATACTTGCAAAGCGAACGATCAATCTTAATTTGGTGGCGAAACCGGATTCGCCAATTCACCGCCGCGCGCGGCGCGCAACGTCGTCAAATCCTCGAGACAGAGAGAGAGAGAGAGAGAGAGAGAGAGAGAGAGAGAGAGAGAGAGAGAGAGAGAGAGAGAGAGGGCCGCAATGAAGAAAAAAAACCGCAGAGAGAAGCGAACAGCCAAAAATTGCACTCGTTTCGAAGGAATGATCCCGGACGCATTACTCCGTTGCGCGAACGCTCCCTAAGCATCTTCCAAAGAGCAGCGATAATTCTTGGCGACGGTTGACACCCAGTCGGACGAATGATTTTTCTGCCACGAAGGCAAGAAGGGCGGCAGGAGGAGGAGGAGGAAGCAGTGCACGAGGCGCGAGCCAATGGAAATATTGACGTTCGCCGTTTGACAGCCGAACACACTCGTTCCAATTATACACGGGGCTTGTGCGCGCCGTGCTCTGCCGTGTCTCGCGCTCTCTCTCTCTCTCTCTCTCGCTCTCTCTCTCTTTTTCTCTCTCGAAAACTGGTTCGTCCGGTATGCGCGCGCGAGAGTCTCGGCTTCAGCAGCTTCAGCCACGGGCCCCGATGCCAATAAAGGGCGCTCGACCTTTTGCCTCGCACGCTCGCTTGCGCTGGGCGGAATCCTCGCGAGAGAGCGGCGGTTTGGCGCGAGATTTCAAAATATCGCGAGAGGCGCTTCCGTGCTCGCTCATTAGGCTGCTCGCCTGTAAATAATCCTTAGGAATTTACAAAGCCACGCAGCCGTCCTATCTCTCTCTCTCTCTCTCTCTCTCTTTCAGCTCGCAAAGTGGAAAAACCACTCCATAAAAGCATACGCGTACTTTGTGTTTTTTGCTCGGCTCGCTCGGCTCTGGCTCGCTGGGCAAGAGGAGAAGAAGAAGAAGAGATCGCGCTGCAGCGGCGGCCGCGCGCGCTCGGGCGTAGTCGTAGCCCGAGGCCGCCGCGCGCAGCCGACAGAGAAAGAGAGAGAGAGAGAGAGAGAGAGAGCATTGTGCAATCGCGTTTTACGTGTTAATCGCCGCGTGCCCTCTCGCGGCCGCAGTCGCGAGGAGCGACGAGAGCCGAGGCAGCGGTGGTTGGTTGAACCGGTCCTCGTTCCCCGAAAAAGCTGCAGCCGAGATGAGGCCCAGATAGAAGCTCGCAGCGGCCGAAGATCCTCGCCGGATAACGAATGAAAGATGAAGGTGTGCGCGCGCAAGCCGAGCGCCGATTGTGTGTGTATAAGCGGCCGAGAGAGGGAGGAAATCGATTCTCGGATTCGCGCGCATATACATACCATCCCGGCTCGGTCGGTCGACCAGCCGATCCTTATCTCGCTCTCTCTCCTCGCGAACACACAATGGATTATTGATTCGCCCTAACCTCGAGAGCCGATTTTTTCTTCTCATCTTCGCCCCGCGCGCGGCTGCAGCTGCGTATCAATCACTTTATTACGCTCCGAGCGCGACTGCATCTCCCCGTCCCTTTGCCGCGCCGCCCGATTCGACATGTACGTGCTAATTAAAGTTAGGCGCGCGCGCGCGCCCGTGTACCGTAAGGTTCTTCTTCTCCTTGGACATTTTTTGCTATCTTTCGGCCGGTTGAAAAAGCGCGCGAGCGTTCAAGGTCGGCTAACGATCTTTTTATATGCCGGCCGGCGATGTAATCATAACAACGACGACGGCGCAGCGCTGATTGATGCACCTCGCAGTTTCCCTAATTAAAAAGTCGCGCGGATTAGCATTGGAACTCGCGACTCGTTAAGAGCGCGCGTCATTAGGGCAGCAGGCAGCGGCGGCAGCAGAAGATCACGAGTAGATAAAACGAGGAGCAGAGAGAGAGAGAGAAAGAGAGAGACAGAGAAAGAGAAAGAGAGAGAGAGAGAGAGAAGAAGGAGCAGGCACGGAGGAGAAACGAAGAGTGATTGAGCTGTAGACGAGCGCCTACCTACACGACCAGCAGCAGCATCAAGACCCTCTCCTCACCGCTCTCTCCGCTTCTTCTTCTTCTTCTGCTGCTGCTGTTGCTGCTGCTGCTGCTGCTGCTACGTGTGTGTATCAATTGTCCATTGTCGATGCGTGTACGCGTTTTTTCGCACTCACCTGCAAACGGTTATTTCTATTCTCCTTTTTCCCGCTGGCGCAGTTCAAGGCTCGATGGCGTTATGGAGTCCCGCCGTGTGACAATTGTTCTCGGAATGCTGGCCGAGTCCGGAGGAGCGATGACCCGAACGTCAATCGCTCTCTTTGTAATGACGCGCGTTGATTAATTTCTCCCTCCCTCTCTCTCTCTCTCTCTCTCTGTCCGCCTGCCGTTATATGCAAACACGATATCGTCCGCCGGCAATAATCAGATCGAAGCGCGAATTCCAGCGCGCTCCAATAACTCCAATGAGCGCGCTGGTGAGTAAGGGCCATTCAAACGGGGAGACGAGACGATAAGCAATAGCGCGCGTCGCGTTATCTGGCGCACCCGACGCGGCGTTCACGGCCGCGGTACACCTCGCGCTTCCTTGTAGCGAAACCCGAGACACTCGAACATTCCAAAAGAATGCAGACACGCGAAGAGAGTACAGGAGAGAAAGAGAGAGAGAGAGAGACCGAGGAATAAAGCAATCGCGCCGTCTCTCTCGCTACAGAAAAACCCCGAGCAGGAATGCCCTCTCGCTCTGAAAAACAGACGTCATTATTGGCACGCTCGAGAGCCAACAGCAGCAGCAGCAGCAGCAGCAGCAGCAGCAGCAGCGGCAGCAGCAGAGAGGCAGAGGCTAATAAGGCCGTCGCGAGTTTTTCGCCGAAAATTACTCAATCGCCGGGCTCGGCCGATGAATTAATAGCCGGATCGGCCGGAACGCTCGACCGCGAGCGCGCGCACGAGCGTGGGAGGCCAAACCGGTAGTATGGCGTGGCGTGCATCGCGGTTTTTGATATCGCGCGGCATAGGCGCGCGCCTAGGGAATCGGCGACCTTGGGCGATTAACTCGTTAGACAGTTCGTTAACCCTCGAAAAACCGGTCGGCCAAATGAAATAGGCCTTTGCGCCGAGGATCCCGGCCACCTCCTCCGCGCGCGCGGCGCACTTGCACGATAATCCTTTATCGCGGGCAGCGGGGCGGGGGGCAAGCCAAAGCTCGCCAAGGTGGTCTACAATTGCAGTAATAACTCAATTATCCTCTCGGGGCGCTCTCCGCGCAGCGCCCGCTATCTCTGCCTCCTTTACTCTCGAATCTCTCACTCGGCTGCGGCCGTGCAATCTCGTTCTCCCTCCCTCGCGCGCCCTTTCTATCTCAATTCATCGCTGCCTCCCGCCTCCTCCTCCCTCCTCCCTTCGCCCTGCTCGCCGGTCCGCACAGCGGCGTGGCATCATCACGACCGAAAATTCCCCTCTCGCGAATGCAAACACAGCGCGCTCGTTAGACATTTCGTCGAAGCGGCTGACCCCCCCCCCCCCCCCCCCCCCCCACCAACTCCCTCTCTCGCACGTTTCGATATCAATCGACGCATGTGTATGCATGAGAGGGCGCCGTGCACTCGCGCCTCTTTTCCAATTAACGAGCGCGATAGCAGCGGCCGGAATTCGAGCGCGCGAAGCGCAGATCGACACGGGCACGTCGAGCGGCCGCCGAACCGCGAGCGCCCGAGAGTAAGACATTGAGGGAAGGAAGAGCACCTGCCTTGCCGCCGGCACTGAACTACCACTAGACCTCGCGCGCTGCGCTGCCTCACGGCGGCCGTGTGTTTGTGTTTGCGAGAGAGCCTCGCCGGAGCGCGAGTAGTGGGAGGCGAGCCCGAGAGTCCTGCGTCCGTGTGTTTGTGCGCGCGCACGAGCGTGTGTGCGTGCGCGCGCGCGCCTGTGTGCGCGCGTGTGTGTGTCTGTTGTGTGTTGCTCGGCCGAGTCTGGGTGGTCCTACCGCTTCAGTTCCTCCTGCGACGCGTCTGCGGAGAGAGTATAGTTCTCGAGGCAGCGGCTCCGAAAAAACCGACTTCGCCGCTTCCTTCCACCTTTTTACCGCCACCTTCGCTTACATGCGTCTCGCACTCGGTGCCGCGCGCGCGGAGCGTGCGCTCCGCTGCTGCGTCGTCGCTGCCCGTGCGCACCCTCGCACGTGAGCGTGCTCCGTAATAGTGCGACAAGTGCTCCGATAGCAGAGTGTGCTCAGTGCCGTATCCTGTACTCGCGTGCTCACATGTTTGTTGTTTATCAGCGGCCAGGCGTATCCGTAAGTAAACGTCCATAAGCACGGCAAGTCGCGAGCGAGCCAGATTTTCCAAAAAAATCTCACGCGCGATACTTTCCCACCGACGGTCCATTCGGAAAAGCAGCGAGTCACTTTCCATTTTGGAAAACGACTTTGAAACAGCGAAAGAGAGAGAGAGAGGGAGACAGCGAGACATCGATGTTCCCTTTTCTTAGTTTCTAGCGCGCAGGTATACAGAGAAGCACACGTGTAGAGGAAACAAGCGAGAGCAGCGCGTTTTTTCTCTGTCTCGCGCTGCGAGAAGGGCAGGGCCACGACGGGGGCTCGAAATTCCTATTTCCCATTCTCGCAGCGAACTCGCTTGCTCTCTCTCTCTCTCTCTCTCTCTGTAAAAAAAAGAAAATAACGAAAACGAAAATGTCCGAGAGAATGAAAAACAGAGCGAGACGGAGATCTCCATCGCGCTGTATTGTCGTCGTAGCGCGTGGTTCGTTGTTTTGGCTTTTGTGTGCTTCGGAAAAAATTACGTAACGCGCGAGAAAGCCCTTCTCGTGCGTGCTATTTTGCCAATAAAGCATAACGAATGTTAACCGCTTGTTCGCTTGCGCCGATTATATTGTATGCAAAATAGCACGCGCATAGGTCGATTGTTTGGCTCGTCGACGATCTTCATTGTGGTTTGGCGATGCGTGCGCCGATCGAGTTTGACGGCTTTGTCCTGACTGCTGCCGGCGGTGTTTTCACGCTTGACCGAGCGACCCGCGAAACGCTGCCCTCTCGAAAGCGACAATGAAACAACCAGTAGAAAGGGGTTTACGAACAATCGTCGTCTTTTGTTTTACGAGAGCGGGAGAGCGAAAAAAAGCCATAAATAAACTTGTCAGATCTTTCGCGTGATCGGAATATGACCGTAGCTCTCTCCTCTCTCTCTCTCTCTCTCTCAATTAAATTTCACGACGAAATTTCATCGGTTAATTGCCCCGCCGCATGGGGCTGTACACATGCGCACGCCGGCATTCCAACAGCAGAAACAGCAGAAGCGACTCGACTACTTTTTTATCGAGTGCCAACGTGAGTCGAATAGAGACTTCTGCCACAAAGTCTCCGCTTTTTCCTCTCGACTCTCACGTGTATCAGTTCTCCGTCTCTATCTCTGGACTCGATTAATAAAACGCGACGATTCGGGTGCGCGTTTATTGCACATAGGTTGCCGTGCGCGCGCACGTCCAATAAAAAGCCCGAGGCCGAGTACAGGACTATCGGAGAGCAGAGCAGGCGAATTATTTATGATGGCCGATAGAGACACGGTGCGATCTGCCCACGCATTCCTGCTCTTTCTCTCTCGCGGAGTCTCTTTGCGCGCCCACGCGAGCCCGAGCGCACGAGTGAGAAACGGCCGCTCGGCGTGTGTGCGTGCGCTCTCGCGGGCCTTTTTTTCGCGCGCACGCACGCCGATATACACGCGCTTTAATAAACACATCGTCCCGAAACGAGTTTTTCGCCGCTCGCGGCCGCCGCCGTAAAAAACCATTTGCCACCGGCGCGACTGCTTCCAGCCATTTTACGAGCCTCGCGTGTAACTTGCATGCGCGCCTACTCGCGCGCATAACGAACGTCGACGACAGGCAAGCCTTGCCTCTTTTCTTTTCTTTTCTTTTCTTTTCTTTTCTTTTCTTTTCGAGAGAGAGATCGATGGAAAAATCGCAGGACCCCCACTCGTATATATACATATCGCGCTCACCGAGTGACGTGATGCGGAGTGACGCGACATATTTCGCGAGTGCATCTACGTTTACGATCAACGCATTCCAGCGAGTCCGACGGCTTTCGCCATTATACTACAGTCCGCGAGTAATTAACTGCGCGCGACGTGAAAAACTGCCGAAAGAGAAACGACGGGAGCATGTCATCGGCGAGCGGAGCCGAAGAGAAAAAAAGAAAGGAAAGAAAAAAAAAAAAAACGAACGAAAGCACTTTGAAAGGCAAGCTCAATATCTTACACTTATCTACGATCGAGCCGGCGGTAATAACTTAATCTCGGCATGGAGCTTTTCGCTAGCGCGTTATTGCGCCGAAAAAGACAGTCTGCCTCCTTCGCCGCAGTCCCTCCGAGTTCTCGAAGGGAAAGAGAGCGAGCGAGCGAGAGAGAGAGAGATTAAGACGGAGAGGAGAAGGAGCAAAGAGCAAAAAACGAAACACAAGCGAAGAAGAAGACGGCGTGTACACGACGAGAACGAACGCTCGGAGAGATACAAGGTACGGAGTTTGCACGACTCTCTCTCTTTCTCTCTCGAGGCTGCTCCTTTTTCGTCCTTCATAAATCCTCGGCTCTCTCCTCCATCTCGTTTCGTCGTCGTCGTCGGATTTTAAATCGCATTGTGTGTGTGGTGTGTGTGCGCGCGCCCGTGGCACGTAGCAGGCGAAAATCGAAGCGCTTTAAATATAACTTAATTCAGCGCGGCGAGCGACTTTTCCGCGCGCACAAAGGTCCGCTTCTAAAATAGTTCGCGCCTATATTTGCCTGGGCTGCGGGCAAAAAGTCCCTCCGCGGCGGCGCCCTTTTGCTCCCTGCACGGCTGGCTTGAGCGCGCGCGCCGATTTCGAACGGCGCGCGCAATTAGTCGACGAGCTCCATATGGCGCCTCGCTCGCTAATTATAGCCTCCTTGGCGCACGAGCGCAGCGATCGACGGAATGAAGCATCGGCGCTTTGCGATCTGTCGCAGGTTGTCGGAGAGCGGTCCGTCGGAGCCGCAGGCGAACGGCAGCGGTGAGGCCCAGCATCAGACGCAGCAACAAGCCCAGCAACAGGCGCAACAACAGCAGCAGCAGCAACAACAGCAGCAGCAACAGCAGCAGCAGCAGTCGGCTGGTGGTGACTTTCTACGCAGGAGCCATCCGCTCAGCGAGCACGCGGCGCTACACTCGGCCTACAGGCTCAACTACATGGACCACCTCCTCCATCTGCAGGCCTCCACGCATAGCCCCAGCGCCTCCTTGCACGGTACGTACGCACACGCCACGCTCTCTTTTGATGTTTCTCATATACATACGTGTATATACACGTACATATACATATATATATATATATATATATATATATATATATATATATATATATATATATATGTGTATACATATATATATAGCTCGAGCCTTGATGATGATGGATGAACGAGATTTATTGCTGCTCTGACGAGCCGTGATTCGTTGAATAATTGCTAGTCGCCGCGGCGTTAATTTTACATCTCTGCTACCGCCGCGTGCAGTGCTGGCTTGCAACAACTGTATATCTCTTTAATTGCTTAAATGTGCCTGTGCTGCTCCTCGCGCGAGTGGCAGCCAATGATCCGTAAATTACTGCCGTGAAACAACAAAACGAGAAGACGAAGAGGAAACGTGACGAGATCACAAGCGTCATCCTCGCAAATTAATATTGGCCCTTGGAAATGAAAATATCCTCCTGACGAACAATCAATCAGAGCAAGAGAGAGGGAGAGAGATAGAGAAAGAGAGATGGGATTAGATCGAAACCGAGTCATCGTTTACTCAAAGCTGCGCGATCCTCCGAAATCCCTACTCGATAGAGAGACAGACTTGGGCGCAATAACAATAACGCGCCAGCGCGTTTGTTCGAAGTAGATGGGTGTCATTGTTGACGCAAGCATTCCAGCCTCTCGCGCGGACGCGAATCGAGCGCATTGTTGCGCGACCCCTAACGAAGAGAAGACAGAGCCGTCCGGCTTGAAATGCGGGCGGATGGCTCGAGATAGAGAGAGAGAGAGAGAGAGAGATCTTCGAGACCGTGCCCGCATTTCCTGCGGATATCTATGCCGAACGATATACGTAAAAGCGTCCACGCGAGCGCGCGGCGGCGCGCAAGCTCGGGTTTCGCGCGGCGCTCGCGCCGGATTGTTTTTTTCCGCGAGCGCGTGTCCGTTGTTCCGCACGGCCGATGGGAGATCGGCTTGGAAGAGCCCCTTTCGTCATTGCTTTCGAGAGCGTCTCAAGACTTGCTCCTCTCTCCCTCCGGTTCTTCTTATCCTCGGCGGAGGAGGCTGCGCATGGGCAAGCTCAATGTCGATGACGCTTGTGATCTCAAGTACATGGGGCGTGCAGCTGCTTGTGCCGACGAGGCGTGCCAAGGCGAAAGATCACGCGTATTGGTTTTATCGATGGCAATCGTAATTTCGCGGAATTATACGGAAGCCCTTGCCTCGAATTGAAATTACTCGTTGGTGCTTCGGAATGGATGATAGCAGCGACCATCGATCAAGATGAGTACGATCGTCAAAGTTCTAATGAATGGCTTCCACGCCAAATAATTGCAGCCCGCGGACCTTCAAAGAGAGCCCACTTTTGTCGCCAGTCCCGTCATTGCCGTCGGAGAAAAAGCGACGAACATCCATTGGGAGAAGAAACGCTGGTAGCTCGCAGCGTTACAATTCGAAAATAAACACGCCAACATATAAGTCAGCGGAGCAGGCGATCGCTAAATAAGAGAGCGACTATTAAGACTAACCAACAAGTTCGCGCTTTAAGAGGCAGTTTGAATTCAAGTAGTAACATGTACTCAATTACCATCTCCGTCTGGGAGCGCGAGGCGAGCGGAGCCTACCATTACATCGACAAATGTTTTTATTCTCTCTCTTAGCCAGGAGCTAAATCGAATTGGTTTTGATTGCAGGTCTTGGCGGATTGGGGCCGGAGTACCTCTTGCACGCAGCGGGTCCCGGCAGCACCATCGCCTCATCCGAGTTTCCCTTCTCTCTGGACGGTAAGTACAAAAAAGCAGCTACGCCAACGGACAATTCTCTTGCATGCAAATGAGACGTCTCCACGCGCGGTAATTAAAGGTAACAAGTTGGCCTTGCTCGCTTGCCCTCTCTCTTTCTCTCTCTCTCTCTCTCTCTCTCTCTCGAATTGAGACGGCGTCGTGCGATAAGCACGCTCGGGGGTGAGAAGCGTTGCAGCTCGTTAGCCGTCCGCGATAGACACGAGCTCATTAACACCTCTCTCTCTCTCTCTCGCTCGCTCGATTCAGCCAACTTATTGTCGATGCGAGCGAGCAGCGCTGAAATAATGCTTGCGTTGTTGCAGGTTCGAGGTTGGGCAGTCCCCGGGCATCAGCGATAAGAGCCAGTAGGAAGAGAGCGCTGAGCAGCTCGCCGTACTCGGATCGCTTCGACCTCGACAGCATGATACGATTCAGTCCCAACAGCCTCGCCTCGGTCATCAACGGCTCGAGGAGCAGCAGCGCCAGCGGTAGCTACGGCCATCTATCAGCAGGTTCGTTCCGTTCGCCCGTAGCCTTCTTCACTTGGCTGCTTTGCTTCTTTTGCTTTCCTCCTCCTCTCCTCTCCTCCTCCTCCTCCTCCTCTTCCTCCTCCTCCTCCTCATTCTCTCCTCGTCTCCTCATCTGCCCCCCTCTCCTCTCTGCCTCGCCGTTTCAGCCTTTTAGCTTGATACACTGCCACGGGAAGCCATATACAGATATGGACGTTTTCGATGCGGTTATCCGATCAATTAGCTCTCTCGAAAAGCAACGAAGCACTTTTGGGGAAACGGGAATAACTCGTTTGCAATCTATGACTGGTCGACGGCTTCCGCCGTCGTTACACGACTAACGCATGTCCGGGGAATCATTGTTAATTGAGCAGTCAAATGTCGACGTCAGAGTTGGCAACGCGCGCGCGCGCGCTCAAGAACGGTAGTGCAGTCCGCGCGTCGAGGGTGGCTAATGCACCGATTCGCAGTCACCATTAGCCGCGCTCTCCGCGCTCTCCGCGTTCTCCGCGCACGGACACCTAATCATCGCTCGATTGGCATGCCGTACACGCGATCTGCCAACGCATACCGAAACGCCGCTTCCCCTCCAGCCGGCGATCCTCTTCCCTCTGAGAAATATCACAATTCCAATTCTAATCCGCCGGGCGATTCGCCTCACGCTACCGGACGCCTCGCACCTCGCATACTAAAGTCTCGCCAATCTCGTTGGGTTCGCAGCGATGAGTCCAGCGCTAGGCATACACCCAGGCATGGCGCCAAATCTGCAGCAACTGCACGCGCACCTGTTGCGCAGCGTGATGATGCCGCACCACGCGCCGCCACCGCCGCCACCGCCGCCGCCGACGTCGGCCGCGGTACCGACGGCAGCGCCGCCGCCACCACCGCCGGCGATCGCCAGCCAGCCGACCACTCAGCTGCACCACGCGCAGCTCTACCCCGTTGGCTCGCCGTCGCACTTGGCCCATGCTCCCGTACCGCCCAAGTCCGAGGTACGTCTCTCTTCTCTCATCTTTTGTGCGCCTGAGCGCCTCGTACGCGCGGCTATTGGCCGGCGTCCACTGCGCGCATCCATTGGTGCGCCCCGAGTAGTAATAACGCTGATTTAATGCGACGCGCGAGCTTTGTTGACTCGCTTTTGTTGCGCAGTCGTTAGAAGCTCGCCCTCCGACTCGCTCTCGACCGATCTGTTTCGCGCAAATGTACACCCAAGCCGCGTCCTCCGAGTAGCTGCGGCGCGAGATGGATTTCTTTTCTTGGGCGTTGCTTCGTTTTTTTTCTCTTTGTTTCTTCTTTCGCGCTCGCGCGTACGGTCGCCCAAGCGGAAACAAGCCGCGATCCGTCGTTTGCTCGCGCTTCGTTCCCGCAAGCGGAAATAATTGCCGCGGTCGGCGCGCGGAATGCCCGACAACTCAATTAGCCCGTCGAATTCCGATTTGCCGAGCAATCTCGATAATGCGATCGCGCAGATGCGAGCTCCTCAATAACGCGCGTCGCGACCGGAGCCAGAGATTAATCAATCGAGGCGCGTAACGAGTAAACCGCCAGTGATCAGCGGTGACGACAACAGGTGTGCGAATAAGCCGATCGAGTGAAAAACAGAGAGGTCGCAAAGTCGCGCGCAAGCGGCAATTACCGAGGAGACGAAGGAAAAAAAAAACGCGTGTAAACGTCGATCGGCATGCGCGCGCGCGTGTATCGCTGGACGCGTACAATAACTCTTTTCTCTCCGGGCGATTTCACCTCGGTTTTACCGCATGCAAAGAGGAGAAAAAGAAACAAAAAAGGAGCGAGAGTCTTCCATTCGAGCGAGTCAATCGTCTTAAGGGTCCTGTAGGGCGTTTATCCGCTCGCGCTACCTGCGGCAAGCAGCGAACAAATCGCCAGGGGGTTCAGTCGTGTGTGCGTATTGAGTTTCGTGCTGCACGGGCAGTTCTCCGGTTACCTCATCTTCTCCCTCCTCGTTGATTTATTCGCGTCGGCGGCGGCCGCGGCAGCACAGATCCTCTTACTCTCTCTCTCTCTCTCTCTCTCTCTCTCTCTCTCTCTCTCTCTCTCTCTCTCTCTCTCTCTCTCGATTTGTTTTATTCACTCGAAATGCGCTCGATGTAAATTGTTCGCAGCAGCCCCAGCAGGCGCAAATCGACTCGTGCAGAAAAGGCTCGGACGTGTCGATGTCGAGTCGGCCGTCGGTTACTGCTGCCGAGGCCGATACTTCCTCCAGACGAGGCTCGACCAAGGTGAAGAAGGAGCCGGCCACCACGACTGTGAACGCCGCCACGAGCACCGTACCCAACAGTCATCACGCGCAAGGACTCAGTCCCAGCGATGATCTCAGAGACGAGCCTGGCGATTTCATCGAGACCAATTGCCACTGGAAAGACTGCGGCCTCGAATTTCCTACGCAGGTGATTGTCGTCGCGAAGTCGCATCGGCGCTGCTTTGGCCGACGGTCTGCTCACCGGCAATTGTTCTTCGTTGCAGGACGACCTGGTGAAGCACATCAACAATGACCACATACACTCGAACAAGAAGAGTTTCGTGTGCGGTTGGGAGCAGTGCTCGCGCGAGGAAAAGCCATTCAAGGCGCAGTACATGCTGGTCGTACACATGCGGAGGCACACAGGCGAGAAGCCGCACAAGTGCACGGTAAGTCGCTCTTATTACACCTATTAGCATTCGTCGTTATTTCTGCCTGAACGCCTGCTCGCTCAATCGCTCCCCTGGACAAGTTGGCGATTCGGAGATCGATCGATGTGGCGCGTACTTGTGCCTGCCTGTACGCCCGTTGGCGCCCGTTGGCGCCCGTTAGCGCCCGTTAGCGCCCGTTAGCGCCCGTTAGCGCGGTCTCGTAACGTTTTGCGTTTTCCGCTTTGCAGTTCGAAGGATGCTTCAAGGCCTACTCGAGACTGGAAAACTTGAAAACGCACTTGCGGTCGCACACGGGCGAAAAGCCGTACACCTGCGAGTATCCCGGCTGCAGCAAGGCTTTCAGCAACGCCAGCGACCGCGCCAAGCATCAAAACCGAACGCACTCCAACGAGGTCAGTTGGCTCTCTCGACGCAGTCGCTGCGCGGCGCAGAGTGTCGAGCATCGGGATCAGCACGAATCACGCCGTCTTTGCTCGTTTCAGAAACCTTACGTGTGCAAAGCGCCAGGCTGCACCAAGAGGTACACCGATCCGTCGTCGCTCCGCAAGCACGTCAAGACGGTACACGGCGCGGAATTCTACGCGAACAAGAAGCACAAGGGCGGCGGCAACGGTGGCGGTGCCGATGGCGGCGGCAGCGACGAAGCGGGCGCCGGCGGCCACAGCAGCCCCAGTCGCAGCGAAGATTTGCACCCGAAAACCCCGAGCCTCTCCAGTCCAAGCGTCAAGTCCGAGAGCGAAGCCAACAGTCCGCCCGGCATGATGAATCAACAGGGCAGTCCCATGCACGTGGCCAGCTGCAACGACGAGACGTCCATGGGCATCGGCAATCTCGCCGGCGACGGCTTGATTTCGCTCGACGAGCATTACTACGAGGAGCCCGAGAATCTCGACATTGCCGACTTACCGGTTGCCATTCGTGCCATGGTGAGTTGTTTCCTTCGATCGAGTCTGGCTATCGTGAGCCGCATCCACGAAACGTCCAAAATGAACCTCAGGTCGGTGGAATGGAGCAGCAGCAGCAGCCAGTGCCCGTAAGCTCGCGCAACCGACTGAAGAACCGCCTCGTCTCGAAGCCAGGCGTGAGCTTGTCACCACTCGGCCTCGGTGGCAACATGCGCGTGGGTCGTGGAATCGGCAACCTCGGCGAACTGAATCGACGCATAACGGATCTGAAGATGGAAGGCGGCTGCGGCGGCGTTCAACAGCAGCCCCGTCAAACGAGCCTGGCCGATTTGCAGCTGAGGTTGCAGCCGTTCAGCGAGCCACGCCGCGACAGCAGCAGCACGGTCAGCACGTACTATGGCAGCATGAAGTCGGCGGACTTTGGCAGTAGCCGGCGCAGCAGCCAAGCGAGCAACGTCAGTGCCATACGACCTGGACAGATGGGACCGGGAAGCTTTTACGATCCGATAAGTCCCGGCTGCTCCAGGAGGAGTAGTCAAATGAGCACTGCGTCCGCGAGGATGAACATGCCCGGACAACCGTTGGGACCGTTCTCCACGAGTAACCTGGTGGTTCAGACGCAGAACATGTCGCTCCAGGTAAATCGTCGGCGCCGCCGTCGCCGCGAACGTAGCTGAGATGAGAATGCGGCGATAATGCGTCCTGGTTTCGTTGACGTTTCAGAGTAATCAAGCACTGGGCAACGACTGGTCACTGCCTGCGCACGCGCCCGCCAGCATAACGGGCGATCGTCGCATGTCGGAGCCAGCTCGGGGCTATCAAAGCCAGCGGGTGTCGCCGCCAATGCCGCCGAGGCCACGCTCGGCTCAGCTTCCGGAGCTCCATCCGAATCAAGAGGTCGTGCTGGACGAGGTCGGCGAAGGCGAAATGGTGGAGAATAAGCTGGTCATCCCCGACGAGATGATGCAGTACCTGAACCAAGTGCAAGCCGGCGGCACCGCGAGCTATCGCGGCAGTCCCTTGCCGAACTGCCGATCGCCGATCTGCACGAGTCTGCAGCACTGCGGCCCGTCGAGGCACCAGATGCAGCCAAACTACAGCCAGTGCTACGCCAATCCACAGACGCCGGATTACTCGTCGTCGGTGGGATCGCCCTATTCCCAGTGTCCCAACTCGCACCTGTCGAATCGAGGAGTCGAACAGTCAGCCGCGTACTACGGACCGCAATCGTGCTCGGTCTCGCCGGCTCAAGGCTTCGCGTCCGATCAACCGATGAGCTCGCCGGCGGCCGGGGCTCTTGCGCCGGCTCAAGGGATGCCCAATCCACACCAGAGCAGCGCGCAGATGAGTCGCAACTGCGCGCAGAACGGCGAGCATGGGGCCTACTATCGGAGCTACGGCTGCCAGTCTCAGATGAGCACCGTCAATAGTTGCGCCCAGCAGATGAGAGCCCAGCCGATGTCCCAGTCCTGCTCGCCGCCCGCCATGCACGGCAGCGTGACGCAGACGTGCAGCGTCGGCCACGTGGTGCGCCCGCCGAGCAACCCCTGCCAACCACTGTCGCCGCTTTGCCAGCAGCAGGTGCAGAGCGCTCGTCCGATGTCCGCGGGCGTGATGCCGAGCGAGCAGTGCTCGATGGGGGGCGGCGTGCACGGTGCTGCTGGCACGAGGACCACGCCAAAGCCAGTGATGAGCCCAGCGATGAACGATTGCCCCAGATCGGTGGCGTCCTTCTGCTCGCAACCAAGTCCCGGCGGTTCGAATCCCGTGGACGTGCAGGTCCAGAGCCCGTGCTCGCAGCTCTCCGGTGGCAGTTGCGTGCACCCAAATCCCAGAGCCATGAGTCAGGCGAGCGCGATGCCGAAGGATAGGACGTGCGGCCAAGCCGGCTGCCGCGCGCAGTACTGCTGCCAGCAGTCGAGTCAGCCTGACCAGAGGTACAACGGGTGCGGCGGCAGCGAGTGCCAGTGGACACCGAGTTACAACGCCGCCGAGCCCTGCTGCATGGCGGCTAATCGTCACCACCCAGGCGCGGGCCACACGCCGGAAATCCAGTGCCGCGACATCAGTCAATCACAGCAGGGCTCCCCGGTGAAACCACCTCAGGGCATGCGCCAGGATTCGTATCGCAGGACTTTGGAGTACGTGCAGCAGTGTAGAAATTGGTCGGGCAATGGTACCGAAACAAGCGTAAGCAGCTCGACTCATCCGATGGCGCTGCCGCAGCAGTTGTCGAGCAACACTAATATGCTTCTCAACGACATGACCTCCTCTCTAAATTCTCTCCTGGAAGAGAACAGAGTTCTTCAGTTGACTAATATGATCTAGTGATCTCACGCCTCTATCGATTCTAGTAATTTTTATTATCGTTGCGCGTCAACTTCCTATCGACGCGTGCGCTGACTGTACTTCCAGATCAATACGATGAAGAGAACAAATGAAATAAAACGCGACCAGTGATAATGAAAATTAAAAAATGAGAAAAAATTCGACGGATGGAGATTACAAAGGATTACAAAAAGAGAGAAAATTTTTTTTTTATGAGTATGACCAACGACGCAAACTGTGATATCTGACTGGATAGAAAATCGAAAGGCGAACGCATGACAAACTTAGCGCGTAGACTTTTAAACACACATGGCCAATATTAGTTTGTTAAGACGCTGTAGATAGTCCTTTTTCCGTAGAGCGAGTAGACTTTTATACGTGTATCTCTTTGCAAAACTTCTTTTCTTTTATAGGTTAATCTTTTATCTTCCCATCCTTTTTCTATTGAGCTCATGTATAAGCGACGAGAGAATGCCCAGAGACTTAGATATTAATCTACCTGTTTTTGTTACGGATATGTATGTTTTTTCTTACGAATTATACATTACATATTATCATTTTTTTTTAAATAAGCTACAGTTAAGGGAGTGCGAGTTTTTTTTGTGAATATTATAAATACGACTGACTATTGTAATTTGTATACTTTAGACGGCGGCACGTTCAAACGCGCGCTATACATGTATTTTTTAAATGAATTTTTCTTTTTGTAAAAAAAGCGAACAAAGTGTGCCTTATTATATGTGCGATATCCGGAATAAAATTCAACTACCAAGAGATTGTTAAACTATTTAAATGACCAATAAAAATTCAGCGGAATCATTCAATATAATTCAACGTCTTTCATTTTCTAATTCTCTTCCTTCAATAAAAAAGAATTAGCTTACATGTGGATTTTCGTTTATTTACTTGCAAATGTCAATTTTACAAAGATTATCATTCACAATTACAACATCAATTAAACGCGTTCACAAAGAAACGTTTAGAAAAGTAAAGCAATCGCATCTCAATTTTCTTCGTTAAAAAGTACAAACAAAAGATTCATAAAATAGCAGATCTTCCCGTTTAATACTTGCGATCATGGGTCGTTTAACACTTCATCGTCCTCCTTATATGTCGGCCCCTATCTTTGGCACAAAGTCAGATCCATCATTCGATCGTTGATTCTGAAAAATTAAGGCGTACCATTGGTGCTCTTATCATTCGGCAGTGGTTCATCGTACAATTCGCCATCCGCGCCACGAATACGAAAAGTGGGTAACACGTCAGGCATTGGCGGCGCAACGGGCACCGAGCCGTAATTCTCGTGCAGCTCTTCGAGTCTGGAATTCAGAGCGTTGCCACGGCGCTTCGTGTCGTTGACTTTTTTTATAAGCCATTCTGCTTGTTCCTCCAGGCTTCGTAATCGAGCTGCGCGTGCGTCGATCTGCGATTTTGCTGCCGTTGCCGCCGAGCTAAATGATGACGATGACAATGCTTGTGGTTCGGTTTTCAGGTTATTCGCTAAACTGTCGGATCTTTCCTCGCAAGTTTTCGAGCTTACGCAAGAAGCCTGGTCGTCGGGTGCATCGTTGGATTGCACGTTTTGGATTAGCGTTGGCTCCGGAGGATGCGGACCGATTGAAAATACAGACACGACTGGAACTACTTCCGGCTCGGTCTTTGCAATATCACTTTCCATTTCTTCTTTGATCGTATCGAGGCACTTTATTCTCCCCACCGCTCCATCGATCTTTCCCAAAGAAGACTCAATTTTGGGAATTTCATTTATGATCACGCTTTTAACATTTTCTAAAGCAGCCTCCACGTTATTACTTGAAATCATGTCTTCTAATTTTTTGTCATCTTCCAAGATCGATTGAACTCGATTGCTTTCATCTTCGAAATTTAAGCAACTTTCCTCTCCACAATTCAACTCGTTCGAACTGATGAGATCCTGGAGAACATTCGCTAAAGCTTTTTCAAGGGGGTCGACTATTTCCTCCTCATTTTGGGATTCCTACACGCAAACGAATGAACGCAGCTGATGATAAGTTCGTTCGAACAATATATCATAAAGCTGAATAATTGAATAAATTTACTTGAAGTAATGAGGTGGATGGCCTAGGATCCTCCTCGATCATTTCTGCATTGTCCAATTCAGCTTCAGTTTCTGGCGTCGGTGTTCTTTGTCCTGAAGCCGACGTCGATGATTTGGGGTCCGAGCATTCGTTGTCCGTTGGCAGTTCGGATTCCGTCTCTGGCGTTGCCGCTCTCGAGCCACTCTTTGAAAAAGACATTATTTTATTGCCACATCCCGCTGTAAAAGAGGTTTCCCGAGCTTACTTTTTTTGATCGCCTTCGTGAAGTGGAAGGACGCACTCTCGCATCCTCGTCTTCGTCGGACTCCTCTTCTCTGTCGTCGCTAAATCCGCTCTCTGCGCTGAAAATGAAAGGAAGCGTAATCGAGAAAATAAAAAAACGTTTATTAAATTAACGAAAGCAAGCAACGCGCTTACCTATTATTGAACGAATCAGCATGCGTGACCAAGGCTTTTCTCGCAGCGAATTCCCTCCTAAGACTTCTCCACTCCATTTCCGTGTTATTATTCTTTTGCCTCGCGGATTCCCACTTCTCCTTGCAATACTCCAATTCTTTTTTCAACTCTTGCAGCATCTTTCTCTTCTGCTGAAGTTCATATCGTAATATCTTCTCGTGAGTATGCAGCTGCTGATGTTGGGCTTGCATGCGGCCTACAATGTTCCACGTCTTGCTCAGCTCGTCCGACACCGTCGACAGCCTCTTCTCCTGCAAGCGGCGAATGAAAGCTTTAGATAATTGAGTAATTCAATCCAGTAACTGGAGCGAGAGAGAAAGCCGCATGAAAAACCTGCTCGGACAGCTTATTCTCGAGGTGCGAGTTGAGCTGCTTCATGCGGTTCATTTCCTTCTCGAGGTGCTTCTTCTCCAGGATAAGCTCCTTGAGCCGGATGTAGGTCTTGCTCACGGATATCACTAGTCGCGGGCCAGTCGGCGTGTCGACAGACTTGTAGCAGCTGTCCGGTGCTGTGTCCGTGCTCGCGGAAGCACTCTGTTGATTTGGCTGCTGCTGCTGTTGTTGCTGCTGCTGCTGCTGCTGCTGCTGATCGACGGCCGCGTGGCAGCTTAGCAGCTCGGTTAACACGCGCCACACCTGATAAAACAGTCGGCCGATCCTTTCTCATTCGATTTACAAAAATAAAATTTTTCCATTTGCGTCAATGTAACGACAGTGAACCTTTGGCAAATTGTGTGCAATGCTCTCCTCTTGAACATCGTCAGCCCTCTTGTCGGCAGTCTCGCGATTTCTGCCGTCCACCTGTTCGATTATGTCAATGAGCAGTTTTGGCAAAGCCGCCGCTTCCGAGCAATTCTCTTTGGCCATGCCGCTGATCAGATCGTGATTTTCCTATAAAGAAGAGCAGAAAAATCCAGTGTTGCATTCGCGTAAACATATACATACGTGTTTATCTGGGTCGCTCGGGAGAATTTTGGCAGGGGTTTTGGTGTACCTGCAACAATCGAGTTAGCCGATCGAGATCCATTTCGGCCGAAGAGGCACTGAGAAGCATCTGGGTGAAGAGGTTGTTGATTAGCGTCATTTGATTCTGCAGGTCACGGCAGTCGGCCTTGGCAAGGCCCAATTGAGACTCGAGGTTCAGTACCTCAGCATCTTGGGCGTCTAACTATTACAAAAATAAATTGTTGATATACATAACTGGCCGATCGAACGATGCGACTACTGCTGGCAAATGTTGCGTACCTTATCTTCAGTTTTATGCAATTCCTCCTCCAAACGGGTATTCTCCCTTCTCGCGTTGTCCAGTTTGACTCTGAGCTCGTGTATCTCCTTGAAGCAGTGATCCTTGAGCTCGGCCAAAATCCTCGACCTTTCGTCGGACAACGTTCTCGAGCGGGCGATATCTTCGGCTTGTCTCTCGACCTCCTCTCTAATATTGTCGTTGACGTCGAGGAAAGCGCGGTCAGCTGAATGCACCACGATCTGGGCCAGTCTGTCCTTCAAGGCGTTCACCTGCTGCCTTCTCAGCTTCAGTTTCACTCGCATGTCTTCCGACAGTCTCCTCAACGAGCCGATGCGCAGCCTGTGCTCGTCGGGATCGTTCTCCAACTGGAATCTCAAGTCATCGGTTCTTTCCAGCTGCAACCAGAGATCGCTGGTGATCTCGTCGGAAATTTTAAGCAACGCCGAGAGCCTCAGAGCTTCGACGCGCTCGCAACTCTCGCTCTCGGTCTTTGTCTCCGAGCTCATCCGGTCAGTCTTCGTGGTTTGCGCTTCCAGCAGTTGCCTGGCAGTCTCCAAGTGCGCACTTCTCTCGGCTTCGAGTTCGCGCCTCAGGCGCTCCATCTCCGACGAAATGGCGGCGATCGCGCGCTGCCGTGCTTCTCGCTTCAGTAGCAGCTCCTTTTTGAACTCCTCGCTCACACCAGTAGCGCTCGACGTCGAGGCCTCGGAGTCTGGCGAGTCGCTTGCCGCTTCCATCGCTTGCTCTGGTGCCATTTTTAACGCGTTCATGTGTTATTGTTAAGCCACCAAGTCTCAGAAATAACTAGAATAACTTGAAAATCATCTTACTCGCATTCTGGCTATGCGCTTCAATCTCCAACTCTAGAGCTTTGATCTGCCGATTAGCCTCTTCAATGACGCTCAGATGTTTCTTCTTTTCCTCGTCTTGCTCGGCAACCCTTGACTCCAGCCTCGCTATTTGCCCAGCATCTCGTTGGAATGTCTCCAGTTCGGCAAGAAGACGCGCGCTTTCAAGCTCGGACTCGCTCAGCTGTTGGGACACTTGTCGCAGGTGTGTTTCTTTCTTCTCGCATTCTTTCTGCGACACCTGATCAAACGGTCAAAAGAAGTTACGATGAATGACTTTCAAACACATTCAGAGTCGTGAATAATCACCTTGAAATCCTCGGTGAGACGTCGTACCAGGAGCCTTTGTTCCTCCAAGTCGCTGCTCTTTTTCGTTGCGTCGGCTTTAAGCTGCTCGATCTCTCGCTTAAGTACGTCGTCGTTTATCGCTACGCGATCTACCTCGTCAGTCTCATCGATCGCCAATGTTTTTCTCAATTGTCGTACTCGTCTGTTCGGTGCCTTTACCGTAACGTTTTGCCTGGCGGTGTAGGCTCGTACTTTGCCTTCGCAGAACAAAAGCCACTCGTAATGTGCAGCACAAAAAAAGAAAAAAAAAGCGACAGCTCTAGCTGCCAAGAAAGGTTTATGCGCGTACTTGTGGTTTTGCTATTGGTGGCTCGACATTTCGAGCACAATTCCCTCGTTGCCGACGTTGGCCTCTCGCCACTCGACAGCAGCAAGTGCAGCTGACTAAGGGTGAAATTGTGCGCGGCCGCAAGCTGCTGATTTGCCTCTGCCAGATGCGATATCGTTCTCGTCAAATCCATGGCTTCTTCTGCTTTCTATCAGCGCCTAGAGACACATCAACGTCGCATAACGTCAGACAAATCGCGCCAATCTTCGAATTCTGTTATCTTATAGCGGCGCGCAGATTGTGAAATCGGACAAATCTTTGTTGACGTTGACAGTCGTGGGAACGTTCAAAACTCGACTTTCTCTTTTAGATAAGCCTCAAAGCAAAGCTGTCGCTCGCTCGAGAAAAAAAAACAAAGAATCGTAACAAGGCAAAGCTACCGAAGCTGGTCGAGCTGTCCTCCGAAATTCAGCGCCAGAGTAATTGACGCAACATGGCGTCGCGCAAAGCAAAATGAACACAAAGACAAGGCGAAATTCAATCCAGACTGGCACACTCGCGGAGCAAATTGCATTGTGTGCAAACGATTAACCGGCGCGTAAGAGGCCGTGGTACATACATCCACCCGTGACCACAAAATCGAAACTCGATCATCTAGCACCGATGCGCGCACGAAAAAGAAAGAGACTGCAACTCGACGAATTCTGTGCGCGGCGGCGGTTTCGACGACGCGCGGCAACACACTGATCTCAAGCTCCATGCCAAACGCGCCTTTTGTCCCACGAGTGGCTGCTGTTCGCTGCGAGCTTTCGCCATTTACCGCAAGAAAGCCGGATGGCTATTAATAGGAAAAAATTGGTTTCGAATAAAGTGACTCAGTACACGCTGTTGGCGCTAAGTCAGAAAGAAAGCCCTTGTCAACATTTTCGGCTACACGGCTATTGCCATCGATGTCGGCTTATTATTAATTTTTTTCTGTCTTCCAGAAGTACACTGTCGCGCAAATAACGTATTTTTACGTACTTTAGAATCGGGCATATCGGCCATCTAAACTTGTGAGTAGCTGTATGCATTTCATAAAATTTTTCTTTTTCATTTGTTCTTTACAGACCGGCATCATGATTTGAGGCGGTAACGTTAGGCAATTCGTACCTTCGTTGATTTCACGATTCCCATTAGCTTGTCATTCGGTATTATTGACCAAATGTCATGGCAGACCATAAATGAAAATAAATTCTACGTAATTTCATCGAATCATTTGACTTATTTTTAGAAAGTGATTTAATTAATCGGGAATGTGTCACGTGGTAGTTTTTGGGAAATTCATCAAGACAAGTTGCCAGCATTGTTCAGCTCAATTGCCACATGTACAGCGTATGCTTGTTTAAATTTTAGCAAAAAGATTTAGTTTGCTCATCGATTCTCGTCACACACATTTAGCAAACTGACGTGGCATTGAGCTGCCAATGCGTCAAAGAGTATCGTTTTACATTCGAATATGTATTTCTTTCTCTCGGCATTGAGATTTTTTATTTTTAAAAGTAATTAGCTGCCATGAAAAATTTATTTTTACTCTTCTTTAATAGATTTCTAAGAAACAAAAAGGGTTCCAACTTCCAAAATAACCGCGGAACTCGCACGATCTCTCCAGAGTTGAGTAAAAGTAAATTTCCCGTTGAACTTTCTTTCAAGATAACAAATACATACACATGATCGAAAGTAAAGAAAAATGCAACAAACCTTCAAAAATACTCACTCAGTAATATAAAATAGTCCATCGACACATTGAATAATCGGCCGCGCAAATCTTGTGCAGTCGAAAAAAAAAACGTGCTGGGCAGTTTTCGCACTGACAGATTTTCCGCTGGCCGCACGCGCGCGCGCTCGATACATGCACACACACGTATACAAGCGCACACGTGCTGAATAAGTCTGAAAATAAACCGTGCTGCGCGCACAAAGAAGAGTCGCGAAAAAGCCGACGACCTTATACTCGACACAACGTACACCCCCGTCGTTGTGCGCGATCGCGAACAATTGGAGCGAAACCAGCTGGCGAGGAAAAGGCCGAGAATAGAAAGAATCGACGTCGTCGAGGTAAGGGGTCGCGCGGAGATGGTTGGTATTTCGTGATGCGAGCGTAGTATTCCAGCGAAGGCGAGCTTTCGACTGAAGCCACACGACGTCGAGTACGAACCGGCCGAAGGTCGGGCCGTCGCCGATATTTTTAGGCAGCCCGGGCTAACGCTGCAATGGCGCGTCGCACGCGCCTACTCTCTCTCTCTCTTTCTCTCACTATCACTCTATTCTAGATAAAATTTTTTTTCGCTCTTCGAGATTTTTAAGATTGTTGCGTCGCTTATCAGCTGAAATTATTGGCTCCCGATACGTATTAAGTATGACCCATCGCGTGGGAATGCTTTGTAAGATTGATAATGTAAAGAAGCTTGATAATGCGGCAATCAAGAGAGGGAGAGAGTGAGAGAATAAGAGAGAGAGAGAGAGAGAGAGGGAGAGAGAGAAGGGCCGTAAAATGCCGGTCAATGTATTGCATCGGCTGTACCAAGACCCCAGATCTAGGAATAGCCCCGCAACATTGTGCGCCGACATTATCGAATTCAATCACGCGATCATTACATCAATCCTTCAATACTTTCGTTACCGCAAACAACTCCATGCATCTCTTTCGTTTTTTCATTAACGTTGTTCGTGTGTATAATAGTTCCGACATAACGAAAATTCGATGCAGCTTTATTACAAATTCCGCGTGTGAAACAAAATCAACAATTTGAATGATTTTCAAGCAAACAGAACCTGTAGTATCGACTTGACTGCCACGATCGAGGAGCAAATTGCAAGCGGCATACCGGCGGCTGTTCTCGGTCGACTTTCCCTAGATGCCACTAGCGGTCGGCTGGTTTAAACAACGCTATCGATTGAGTTTTATCTTTGAAAGCGAGCATTTTCAAAGCGGATGTCTGATAAAATTCATGCGGGTTCTGTTTCTTCATCGACTGTGTCACAATAAACATTTTTATTTTTCCACCGGACAGCAGTTGTTCAGGATTCACCATTTATTTTTATAGCACACGATTTTGTGCTCACGATTATTGAAGAAATAAAAAAAAAATAAAAAAAAAGACACGAAAAGAAAAAGAAAACTATTTAAAAAATTGGTAAAATTGCAAGTAGTAACAATGCGTTACGGTCAGACAAGCGCTTGCTCCAGTTTTCGCTAAACCCGGTCGCGCGGTGATCTTTCTCGGCAGTCATTGCAAAAGTGATGACAAAACTTTCGAAAGCAGCGCTACCTCCGAACGGACATGCGAGTCTCGTTTCTCGTGGAGCAGCGAGTACGAAGGTGGTCTGCGCTTCCAGCCGAGCGCTAAGCTCCGAACCGCGCGGTTAGTCTTGTATCGATAGTCTCTAGCACGGAGCGTGCGCAGCAACGCGCTCTCGCGGCCTTGCACATTCCATCAGCTCAGCCGTCTCTGGCAGCTCAAGAGCTCGGCACGGCACGGCTCAGTCCTCTTTGTCGCGCGGACGGGACGTCGCTCGCGTGCGCGCCTAGCTGCAAAGTCGTGTGCTCTCGTCTCTTCTTTACACCGTTTCCTCGGGGCGCAGCGACAGCCGACAAGCGCGCCCGAGCCAACCGAGATAGTGTCGCGCGAATGCAAGCCCAGCAGCTGGACCCACTGATGCCCCAGTGTCAGAGGCCCAGGTGACCAGTCCCCTTCCCCTCTCTGTCTCTCTATCACTCTCCGCCCCCCCCCCCCCCCCCTTCATCGACACTCACACGACAACAAATACTCAGTCGTTCCTGTCTGCCTCGCTCGCGCGCTCTCGCCAGCAGCACACGCAGTGCTCGTTGCGTCCCCGTCGCAGGTGTGCGTGGGTGTCTGTGTTGTGCGCCCAGAGAGACTCTCGCTCCAGCAACAACACCAGCAGGTAAGTCGCCTGGGGGACGAAGCCGAGAAAGTCGCGGGCAGCGGGCGAGCGACGGCTCGGGAGCGAAGTGTAGCGCGAGCGGGGCTTAGCGCATGTGCGCACGTGCGCGGGATCGATGCGGACGCTCGAAGGAGGCTCGCAGGGGGGTCGCGGCCGACGGACGCGAGGATCACAGCTGACGCCGCCGCTGCGTGCACGTGCCAGCCGGACCGTCCGCGGCGCTGGCCCAGCTCTGTGCGCGACGCTCGCTGTGTCGCGCTGACTGTTGCCGCGCGCATCCGGCACGCAGCCAGCTATGACGTCAGCGTGCGTGCGCCAGCGAGACTTTGTCCTCGGCTGCGAAGCGCCTTTCGCGCCTCTCTCTCTCTCTCTCTCTCTCTCTCTCTCTCTTCGCCCGGTCGCGCTCTCGTTCGCGGAATAGCGGCGCCGAGCGAAAAAAAAAATGGAGCGACGTCGAACAAAGCCGCGAAGCCGTGCAGCACGAAAGCAACGCGACAATTCGATATACAGGCGAGGCGCTCTGCTTAGCTGTTTCCGCGAGAGCGCGCGTGAGCTGTCTGTCGATAGCGATAATGAGCGACCGCGATCGTTATCGCGATCGGAAAACAGAATTATCTGGCGCGCGGCGAACGCGACGAAGCGCGCAATCGACAGACACGCCGCCGAAACGCTCGCGCGCTCTCTCTCTCTCTCTCTCTCTCTGTGATCGTCAACGCGCACGCTTGCGACGTCTATTGTCTACCGCGCGTACGCATCGCTCGCGGGTTGCCGTCGACGCACACGAGGATAGCGGCTTCAACGTGTCGCGCAGCGCTCTTCGATCGAATAGTCGTCGTCGTCGTCCTGCTCCTCCTACTCCTCCTTCTCGCGTCGTGCCACTGTCCCGGTAAGTACGTTTGCCCTGTGAGAACTCTATTGTCCGATCCGCCTGATTCACGAATGTATTGCGCGACAGAGATAAAATAGAAAGAAAAATAACAATGAAACATCAATAAACGCGTTTGGAAATTGAGCGAAATTTCCCTCGGAATTGCAAAACTTTCGGCCTACGCGCGCGCGTCAGTGTTTGGCCACGGGCAAGAAAAAACCGCGAATTTTTTTTTTTTTTTTTTCGGAGTCGAACGAGTTTCGCGAAGCAGAGTCGTTTGTTTCTCTCTCGCTCTTTTGACGTGTACTCAAACGTCGAGCGGCGCGTAATTAGCAATTGCATAAGTCGTCGTGGGCAAACGACAATCGTAAAGCTGTTTTGAGAAGTAGCGCGCACGTCACAAATCGAATGAAGGAGCAGCGCAGCTGAAAACTGCGGAGCGTCGCGAGTCATTGTCGATCTGAAATACATCGAGTATCCACCGTCGTTTAGTAACTCGTCGAGCACTCGCTCCGCGCGATCTCGCAGCTCGCGAGACCCTAAAATTTGCATGTCGGAAAAATTCATTTGCACGGTGCACGCGTCAAACTTGCCGATCGCAGAGATAAAGCGCGCCTCGTCTAGTGAAGCCTACGAGAGTCGAAATAAAAAAAGAAAGAACGCGAGGCAACGGTCAAGCTGGTGCGTACCGCGCACACAATGTATTATTCATCGCGTGACGCAAGCTTCGTCGGCGGCCACGGTAAAAATCAACAAAGCACGCTGCAGCAGTAGCAACAACAGCAGCAGCAGCCAACAGCAGTTCTCTCGCTAAATGTTTCACTGTAGCTTGGCAATTAACCGCAAGTATATATCCGTGTGTTTGCGCAGTGGTATAATCCTCGACTGCTCTTGTGCGTCTGACGTACGTATAGCTACGAAGGTGCACAATAAAAGCAAAGCTCGCCGAGCGCACGGGATGTCCTTTTCGAGCGTCGCTCGAACGAAAAGCGAACGGGGGCAGAAGAAGTAGAAATGATCATCTCTCCCTCTCTCTCTCTCTCTCTCTCTCTGTCGCCTCGAGTGCTCGGAGAAAGGAAAAAATAAGGGCTAACCGCCGAGGGAGTCGGCCGGGCAAACAGAGATTCGCCGCAAATGAAAAGCCACTCTGGCTAATAATTGAAGCTTATCGATTGACTGCGCAAGCGGGAAAGATAAAAAAGTAGAATAGAAGAAGAAGGGCCCAGAGGATCCGGGGCTCATCTAGGTCATGTGCGTGTGTATTTACCGATGAAAGTTGGCACGTCTACGCTTTTGTTAAGTTTTCGCTTTTTGTTCGCGGGATGTGTGAAATATCACGCCGCGCCGTACTTGGAATCCGATTGTTCTCCTCGCCACGGAGGATAAGATAATGATTTTACAATTGGCTTTATGACAATATTGCTATTATTAGTCTTTGCGATATCACTGTACAATGAACGAAGCTGCAATTTGTTACCCTGTTTTCAATGTTTTTTGCAACCACAAAAAGTGGACGCTCATTACAAATAAGAAAAACTTGTATTGGTATATACTACTTCGATAATTATATAGTGGACAATATTTTTTTACTTCTTAAAGTAGATTACGTGCAATCCTAAGACCTACCTGTCGTTCGAATGTTAATTTTTCAAATATCGACAATGCTGTCGCCAATGCAACTTTTATAAAGCGAAATAATGACAAAATCAAAGTTGCAACTACTTTTAAACTTATATACACTCAAATGCTGTTAAAAAAATTAAAACTCGACTCGATAAAAGAAACTTAAGCGTTAATCACTCGCGAGCAACTTTACACTCTATAACTCCGCATAAATTAAACTTGCATAGAACTCTACTGTCTATCTCATAACTTGTAGCTTGCCCTCACGCGCATCGAATATTCATCTCCCCTCGCGGATTCAAAAAAGCAGAAACTCTCTCGATCGTTCAATTAACCATCCTCCCATCATCGAATCAGAAATTCCAAGCTCGAGCGCGAAAAAAGCGTGTGAGAGAGACACACAGAGAGAAATATAAGCCGCTTCCAGAGAAAATCAATGGGCTAGCTTCGGCCAAGGCTTTCACACAGCAACAGCAGCTCCCTTCGGGAGGAGAAAGAGAGCGCGCGAGCGCAAAAAAAAAAAAACAAAAAAAATCTGCGCCAGTGCTTTGACATTGGGTTGACGTGTGCGGTGCATCATCTCTTATCGATCAGTTCGGTCTCTCGCTTTGAAAAGGAAAATATCTGGCCAAATAAAGAATAAAATAGAAAGCTCGGGCGCCGATGTATCGAATGAGCGAAGAAGAAAAAAAAAAAAACAAAAAAAAAATGGGGGCGAAGGCGGATCGCGCGCAATAGGCAATTGTTTGCTGATCAATATTTAGTTTGTTGCATGCACGTTTTTAGGATCTGCGCGCCTACTTCGCGAGTCAAGGCTGCTTGACACAATCGAAAATGTTCTGCGTGTGTGCACGTGTGTACGACTCGCGTGACCGATTTGTCGTCGCCGATCGCAGCCAAGGCTCAAGCTTTCAATCGAATTCTTCTTTTTCCTTTGTAATTAGCTTCCTTTTTTTTCGCTTCGATGGGCAACCAACTTAACAAACCGACTGCGTTTTTCTCGCTGAGTACACACGAGGGTTGGTGTTGTTCTCTCTCTCTCTCTCATTCTTCCTCTCTTCCTCTCAAGTGAGCTATACGCGCCCCAGGCATTTTACTTTTTGTGAAAGTGTGTCAAAACGTTTAGGCGGGTTTTCGTATCCGCGAAAACGCCTCAATGACGCGACGTTCGTTGTTCGTTGAGAGATGTGGTGTATAAATGTTAGTATATTTTAGGTATAAGACTCTGCGAGCTCACCGCTAATAAACTTAGTGTTTGTTAATAAAGCAATTATGGAAGTCCTTTACCTACCACTATTCCGTACACCATGTCCTTCATCTTCTTTCGGATAGTACTTTTGGAAACTATTCGGAACTTTTTTTTATTATTTTTTTTCGACTGAAAGAAGCAACTTCTGATTGATATAATGCAATGTACTTTCTGGCATCCGAAGCCTGATAATTGCCGTGAGACACGATAACAGTTCTAGAAGATTCGATTATTTTCTGAATATGCATGTTAAGGAAAAGTGCTTCTTATGCTGAAAACTACTCGCGGAGGTCGTCTAAAAATACTTGTATTCTTCACCTGCGAGTATAATTATATGTGAAGCATATTAAATATAAATTCTACGATGTATTTTTTAATAATTAATTTGCATTGAAATCTTCGTTAACCAGTGATATGACATTGCATTAACAGTCAATCATAAAAGTATTCTATACGAAACTATATCTGTGGGCATATAAGCTACTCTATTCAAGTATGTCCATTTATAAACACGACAATGGAAACAATAGCATTTGCTCAACGTTATAAAGTTTGTCACCATTTCAGTCGTTATGCGTTATATTATTCCGTTGCGACCTTTGCAATCCGTTGAAAAGCATAATTTTCAAATAAACCAAAATTTCAGTTCATTTTCTTTCGGGATTACCGCCAAGACAGCGGATACGATGTCGGTCGCGAATGGCTATAATATGGAAAACAACATTGCAGGCAAACGTGGTCGATAACTTTCGCTCGAGGGAGCTGCATCATCTCGAAGTGCTTCTCGCGAAATAAAATGATAAAAACGCACATCTGTCACGTGTCCCAGTAAAGCCAACGGAAAAACAATTCGGCTCTCACTCGAATCTACGTGCTAACTTTATCGTGGGCATATGACATAGTAGGTGCATGAGCGTGCGCACGGCGAGTAAATAATTTGAATAATTAAATGAGTCAGAGCATGGCTTTACATTTGCGACTAAGCGTCCAAGCGAGCGAGCGAGTGTGTGTGTGAGAGAGAGATGGAGGGAGGGAGGGAGGGAGGAAGACGGGCAAGGATAAAAAAAAGAGATTGCGCAGTTCGCGCGTGGGGGTGGTAGCGAGGAAACTGTGCGAACGCGATATATAAAAGAAGTAGGCTAACACAGTATCAAACGTAATTCAAGCCATCGCTTTCACTGCTCGCGCGAGCGCGTACGTACCGCGTTCGCTCGGCCGATTTCAGAAAAATATAAAATGAAATAATAATAGCAATGATGATGATAATAATAATGAGAAACGGGCAAAAATGGCGTTACTTTAATTGCAGCTCGATGCCCGGGCAAGAGACAATTGGCGCCTCCTTGCTTCCGGATACGAGCGAGCGATATTCATAAATGCACAAGCCCGCTTGATAATTCAGCGAGCAGCGGCGGCTGCAGGACGGTAGAAATGATCGATCGTTAAAGCTTGTCGGGCTGCAGATTGTACAGAAGAGACGGGGAGCGCACATGTAAACGCACGCTATAGGCAACGAAAGAGCGAGAAATAAATTTAATTCTGCTGCTCGTTCGTCTTCCTCCCTCTCTTCGATCGATCTCTAATCATAGGATACGTCGCACGATACGATCATTCTTTTACGTAACGAAAAAAACTACGTATACGGGCAGACTGGCGGGCATGTACACAGGCAGTGCGATTTGCACCCAAACGAGCTTTTCATTCTCTTCGCTCTCTTTCTCTGTACAATGCAAATCGGTGGAGAGCGGCGGCTTAATTGAAAATCGATGCATATCGATAGGATCACTTCTTGCTTGGCAACGCTACGCGCTCGTGCCGAGCATGTAGCCACTGAGCGCCTCGGCGGTTTGATAGGCGGACACGCGACTTTCGTAACTCCTGTCGCTCGAGGCTTCGCTCGTATCACACACTCAAGCGGGAAGCCCCTTTGCCACGACAAAGCCCACCGACGAGCTCTGAGGCTTCCTCTCTTGCCTATTCTTATTCTCCTCCTCCTCTCCTCCTCCTAGCTACAGCTCGCGACCCGACACCGGCTGGGACCTTTCTCGAGGATCGCTCTCGTCGCTAAACCTGCGCGACCGTTCTGGTGTCTCGCGCGCGAGGTCAACGCTTCGACGCTATCAAACGTGGCGTGGCGCGCGTTTCCTGCGATCTTAGCCTCGTTCGCGAGGCAACGACTCTTCATTTATCTTTTATTTTACGAGCGCCGCCGGAGGATGCGCGCTTCGATGCGGCGAACGCTCGCGGTGCTCGTCGTTTACGCACGCGTTCGCGCCGTCGACGCGGGGGCAAGGCCAAACAAAAAGGAAAACAACAGAGAGAAAACGAGAGAGTTTCTGTCCGCGGGCGAATTGCGGCTCGCTGCGGCAGATTTCAAAAGACCTGGGCTTTGCGCAAGCTAAACCCACGAGTTTCCGAGAGAGGGAGAGCTCGATATCGCGGTGGATTTTGATTTTTCGGCGGAAGAAACAAAATTGCTCTTTCCTATTGTCATTGCCGGGAAAGGTACGCGGCGCACGGGGAACGGCAGTTTGCCTCGTTCGAGCAACACCGTACACGAAAATTTTCGCTAAACCGTTCGCGGAAGCGAAGCACCTTTTCTTCCGTCTCATTGCGAGATGACTGACGTCGGTGTAGATGCAGCTCGCGGCAATTACTTCTCGCGCTCCAGAATTCACATCCGTGGGTAGGCTCTCCGCGAATAAATAACTTTACGCGAGTATCCGTTGAAAATAGAAACACAATTAACGGCAAGACTTGCGAGCCGAGAGCCTGTGGCGCGGGCCAATCACAGCGCCAGCGACGAAAATTAATTGCTCGGTTTTCTCCGTCGCTCGGCTGGCTGGCGGAGGCGAATCGACGTTATTCGTGAAAAACCCGGCAATCGATTAAATTGGAATTGGATTTTGCTTAGGCTAAATGAGGCTAATGGAACCGCTGGGCGTCGACGTGAAAGCGGTGGAGTTGCAGTCGCTGAAGCGATGGACCGATTTCCCGAGCCGACCGTCTCCCATCGGAGACCTAGCCGACTCGGCTCACTACACCGTCAGCCCGTTTCCCTGCCAGCCCTCGCTCAACAATAAAATCGCAATATGGTAAGAGGCATTTGCAGCTTTTACAAGCGTGCCTATATCTTTCATCGAGCGTTCACCTTTTCCTATAGCCCGCGGCTATACTTAGCATTTTGCATACACGCCACATCCCATGCCACGCGCAGCGCGCGTCTTTCCATATATGTAATTTTTTCCCTTTTTCTCCACTCAAGCGCCTCACCAACAACAAAGAGTCGCGCGCGCGCGCTCGATAACAACTACAATTTACGTTCTTTATCGTTCCTTTATCCGCGCGACATTTCGCATCCTACCTGCAGACAAAAACTATACTCCTTTCTGTTCGATTTCTTCAAAACAGCAACTTTTTGCATATCTCGTACATTATTACTGACTGTTCGATAAAAATAGCCACGAGGCGAACCGGTGTTTGATTATCGAGTCGGGAGGCGAAAAATAATAAACACGAGTAAAGCGTACGCGCAGGAATCGGCCTACGTGCAGTTTCTGGCAAGCAGCGCGCTTCGGTAATCCATAATTGGATACGCGTGACCACGCCGAGGCACGAGATCTACATTGCCGACCGCGATAAAAAGTCAGAGAAAGGTTAATTGACGGATGTTGGGACGTTTGCAGGACCGGGGACGTCACTCTGCTGCAGGTGGACGCGATAGTGAATCCGACGAGCGAGACGATGGACGACAACAGTCCGCTGTGCCAAAGAATCCTCGCTCGCGCCGGGCCTGACCTCAAGAAAGAGATCTACAACGAAGTGAAAGGTGAGTCGGCCGATTCCCACTTGACCGATTCTCGCCGCAATGACCGCGCGTCGAACGTTGCAGAATGCAGAACCGGCGAGGTGAAGACGACGCAGGGTCACGACCTGCCGGCCCGCTTCATCATCCATACCGTGGGGCCAGTGTACAACACCAAGTACCAGAGCGCCGCGGAAAGCACGCTGCACTGCTGTTACAGGTAGGCGCGGCATCGATCGCCGTCGATTTGCGAGCGCGCCTAACCGTCATTATCCCCCTTTCTCGTCGCAGGAACGTCTTGCAGAAGGCACGGGAGTTGGGCTTGAGGAGCATCGGCCTGCCGGTGATCAACTCCGTCCGACGCAATTACCCTGCCGAGGCAGGAGCTCACATAGCGCTGAGTAAAGTTTAAATTGCACTCCACCGGCGTCCGTTGTTGCGAGCGACCGGTTACAAACGATCGATACGATTGTTGCGCGCGCTTATGTGAGCGTGCGTGTGTGTGTGTGTGTACAGGAACGTTGCGGCGATTCCTCGAGCAGTACAGCGAGTCGATGGGCTGCGTGGTGCTGGCGCTGGAGCCGGGCGATCTTGGCATATACGAGGTTCTGCTGTCGCTCTACTTCCCGAGGACTCTGGCCGAAGAGGAGAACGCCTGCTATCAGCTGCCGCCCGATATCGGCGGCATGGACGGCGAGCCGCAGTTGCCCGATCGACAGATTCGCATTATCGACAATCCTCAGCACGCGCTTCACGGTACATACGCCGAGCACGCGGACAGGCCGTTTCGCCGCTTCCCGGCCGTAGCCGCGGAAACCTCGTTCTTTTCCATTCGCGCGGAGGATCGCGTGCGCAACCCTCCAGCCGAAGTTTACAATAAACATGACGTCACGGCATGGGCGTTCCATTGGCCGCGATATGTTGCTTAATTTTTCATGGCTCAGTGAATGTCGAAAGGCCTTTCTTGTGGCCTTTGTGCGGCTGATGTAAAAAAAACTTGTTTTTTTTTTCTTTTCTGTTGCGTCGAAGCTTTTTTTCGTCGGTGAATCCGTGGCCTTTGTTATTTTTAAACTCGTCTGTAGACGTTGCGGATTCGTCAAATTGGCGCGATTGATAAAAGAATCTCGATCTCATTGATCTCAGTGAAAGAGGTAATGTAGTGCCGAGCACAAAAAAACAAGTGCGATGGCAATACTGTCGACACGTTTTGCAAGTAACGATTTGCGCCGTTGATTTTATAAACATAGCGGGGCGCTCCTAAAAAGCGACTGCTCGTGCTACGCGAAAGCTCCTCGAGTCGAAATGGTAAAAATCAACATTTGCCTCGTCGACGCGCGTTCGCGGATCGAAGAGAAGTTGCTGCTCTCCTCAGAGTCGGCGGTTTTCTCATGGAAAATTGCAATGCCGCGAGCGAAACGAAGCCTGCGATAGAGCTCGGACGCAGCCAACGAAAGCGAAAGTATAGCGCGGCAATGTTTGCAGGTGACGAGACGGTGGAGATAACGGCCCACCTGGAGACGTCGGTCAACTTGGGCGAGCACGCGTTCACGCAGATGCAGGGTGATCTGGACCGACAGCGATTGTTGGGGGAGCGTCCGACGGCCGATCCTATAGCCGACATCATGCTCAAGGAGATGCAGCACAAGGAACGGTAAGGGAATACGACCCAAGTCATCGATATTTCAGCTGGCTCAAAGCCCACGTCATCGACGTCAAAGACGACGACATCGGTGTCTATTTCACCGGCGGGCAAACGCGCGCACGCGACGCTGCTCGCGCGAGCCGGGAGGAGAAGCGTCCATTATGAATAGGATGGCAGCTATGACGGGCTTATTGATTCGCCGAAAATAGCCCAGCCACGTCCTAGAAATAGACTCGAGCGAGCATTTCCTCGGGGCTCGCTAGCGAGACTGAAAAAATAGGACACTGGCCTCGAGGGGCTCGCTCGCGTGGCCGTGGTGCCGCTGCTACTGGTGGTTGACCCGCGCACTTGGTGCGCGGCTACTCTCGTTTAGCAGCGCTCTTGCGCGCCAGACGGACTTTCTTTGTCCGCTGGCAATTATGGCCGTCCGATGTTGAGACGTAGTTTTTTAACGATCGAAAACAACTTGGCCACGTGGAAAATGTTAGCGGATCGTGCGCCTAGCTTTCACTTGCCCTCCCAAGCTCGACTGGCTTCCCAAAGTATTCAGTAACTAGCTTTCCGAATGTATTATCCAGCTCAGCTTTAAAACTGTATTGGCAATCGCACAAATGTAGCGTGAAACGCAGGCGTTTCTGGAACTGCTGACTTGTTACGATTCCGATTTGTTTTTTTCGTCCGTCAGACAATCTCGTTTTCTTCTCCATTGTATAATGTTCCACGAAAAGACAACGAGCATGTTCAATTATTTAGCCAAATTGTTAAAAAGAATGATCGATGGCTAATGTAATTTTCATGGAAGCAAAGTTTACGTAACGTGGCGTGGTACTTGACGATGAACCTAACGTTCTTAGTTTATTAACTTTACTATGTGACTCAGCTGTGAATCATGTAAAAGTCTTTCTCTAACATTGTACACCAGAATATCGATTATTACGTAGCGCTGAAAATTTCGTTGAAAGACGCTCTTCCATTATGCATTATGGAGTCTATTTATAATTTTGATGCACAATTGATCGCGAGTTCGACGGATATTGAATTTTCTTCCTTATTAAGTCAGAGTAAGCTTAATGGATGGTTTAGCAATGGAAGAGAGTGACGAAATAGACTATTAAAATGACATTGCGCAAAAAAATGAGGGAAGTTGAGGATGAAAAATGTATAGCGAATTGTACAAGCGGATAGCTAAAGTTTGATAATGAAAGTCTTGTGGCATATGCAAGGATGGATGATCGATTGGATAGACGAGTCTCTGAAATCGTTTACTTCTTAGAGTTGCATTTCCGCGAACAGAAAGAAAAAGGAAAAATTACCTGGTGCGCAATTAGCGATGGGCGAATACACAGGCCTTTACACTAACAGACTCCGTTGATATTAAGTCTTGACGATGAACTCGTCTGTCGTCGCACGCGTCGCAGAATTCTATCACAATAGAATCTTCTAATAAACTATTGCACATTTCGCCGGTGTGCGCCTTGGCCTGAAACTAACTAGATGGCAATTGTGCGAATAAAATTGCACTGACCCACTTTCTTTGAACTCGAAATACGCTCAAACGTACTGACGCGCTGCGTCTCGAAAAACACATTAAACAGACGTGACGCTGGTCGCCCAACTGCCGACAAAAAGCGAACAATGGGAAAAGGAAAAAACGAGACTACGCAGGAACTCGCCACGAAAGCTGAATACAATCGTAAACCTGATCTTGTCATGTCTCGCGAGGCAAGTTCATCACCGAGCAAACACACTTCGAGTCACGGAAATAAATCACAGAGAGCGTCACTCGCAGGCCTTGAACGAGATTTTCCATCCAGAAATTCACGTAGCCGTGCTGTTGCTGGCGTCTGCTGCTCGCCACGCCGAATTCGATCCGACAATTATATAACGAAACATTTTGTTAGCGCGCGAACATCGTGGCAGATGAAGCAATTATCTCTCGTGAGATGCCGCAGATAGAACGTTTCTGCGCGGGAAACGTCGATTGTTATAGTTCGCGATCGTGTACAGAAAAAAAAACGGCTAGACCTCGTAAAAATGCTTGTACGCGTGAAACAAGCCTTTTCAGTTAATTTCTTTTATCAAACTGCATCTCCAAGTGTTTCATTAATAAATTGAACGATCGTGAGTTCAAAAGAGATATCATTGCGATTTCGCGAGGAGAAAAGCTAGGGCCAATAAATCTCACCGGATGCTTATAACGAATTGACGTCAATTTGCATTTCTTCGTGCGCACGCGTTCGTGCTATAAACTTGTCACTACCGAATTCCATATTTTCATCTCTCATTCCCGTCCATGTCTTGCTATCCGTCGTTGAATTCTTTCTCAAATGCTTTCACTTTTTTTTATGGAATGTAACAATGCATGTGGCAGATAGTTTGACAATGATTGATCACATTTGCAAAATTATACGTCGTCGCATTTACTGTTTGCATTAAGAAAAACAATCGATTATTTACTTAAATGTATCGATTTGTAAGCACAATTAACTAAAATAATTGAGTATAAAAGATTGTGTAAAATAATTATCTTCTTTCAATTATTTGAAACGATAATTGGTTCATTATGTATCAGCAATTAGCAGTTGAAATACTTGCTAAAATTATATACATTAAACACTACACGCGCAGCTCTTTTTTTTAACAAATAACGTTGAAATTCTCGCAGGTCGGCAGTATCCCAGCAACTTCATTATAACAATAGTTACAATAATTTTCGTAATAAATAAAAGCGTGTTTTCCACTCTCGGGAGAAAGAAAAAAAGCAATCAATCTTCATCCGCGTATTAAAATAACGCACCTTGTAGAAAACAACAACAGAAGAGAAAAATGAATTCGCATCTTGACAAAGAATCTCGTTATGCTTAGGTGGTCTTGATAAATAACTCGTAGGCAGAGTATCCACAGTGGCATTAAGGGAGTCGATCGCGGCATACGCGTGCTGTAAAAGAAAGGAAATATGACGCTCTCACGGGCAAAAGTGGGCACAGTCCATCGACCACAATAAAGGAATTTATCATCGCGACGTAACATTGATTGTCGGGTGAGAGCCCGAGAGTAAAGGCTCGCAAGCACAACGGCCGTGCGCAGCGGCGAGACGTTCGCGCAATCGCGTCAGCAGTCGCTCCAGTCGCGATGACGCACGCGAGCGCGGCGATTGCCCGGAGCTTTCGACGAAGGTTACGTAAACGCTGGGCCAGGAGAGAGCTAGCGACAGATCGTCGCCCCCCCCCCGTGCCCGTGCGAGCGACAATTGCAAGCGGCGATCTCGCGAGCACGCCTCGTCGTCGGCCGGCGGCCGCGCGACGCGCCAGGAGGCGGAGTCGTCGAAGCTCGCTGGCGAGAGCTGCCTGCCGTGACGTCAGAGCCAAGCAGCAGCGAAGCTGGCGCCGAGCGAGCTTTTCGGGCATCGCCTCGCGTGTTCCGGCGCGCCCCGAGTCCTCGCCGACGCGCCGGAACACGCTCGTCGCTCCGCGCGAACGGCCGGGAAAGCTCGGCGCGCCGCGGCCAAGGGGGTTGTCCGCGCGCTTGCGCTTCGACTTTCCGAACGGCGCGCTCGTGCTGGTAGGAGAGCGCGAGAGCGGAGAGGAGGGGATCGGCTATATTCGTCGGCGTCGCGCGTGCCGACGACTCAGTTGCACGCGAGTACTCCTCTCTCCGTCAAGTCTCTCTCGGCGCGCTCGATAACGGTCCGCTGCTATCAGTCGCTCGCGAACAGCAGGCGAACAGCAGGCGAACAGCGCCAAACGCGTCGTCGCGAGGTGCCCCCGTTGCCGGCGCTCGTCCAAGTGCGCGTTGTGCCCTCGTCGACACGCCCGAACGTCGCTCGCCGATCCAGGCAGCCGCGGCATGGTGATGATCGACATGACTGATGTGATCGAGAACGAGGACCGGTGGGTACACTCCGTTGCTCGGTCCGCCGAACGGCGGTTTTCCTCGCGGCCAGCATGCGGAAGAAGCCTTATTTTTCCGCATGCTAGCGCCGGGGGAGAGTAGGGGCGTCGGCCTGCGCGCGCGCGCGCGCGCCACCGCCACCACCACCTTCCCGGGAGGGCGAAGGCTTATTGTCTACGGCACGTTCCGCGCGATCAATCGCCCCCGACGCTCTCGCCACTGCTGCCGCCACGAGAGGGTTGCGCGTAGAACCCTTCGCTCGCCCGCTCTCTCCGCCGAGAGAGCCAAGGATTAATTGACCTAGTTTCTCTTTTCCTTCTCGAGGATTGCCTGCGACAATACGAGCTGCCGGCAGTGCGCCTCTGATAATGTCTAATGGCCAGTCAACAATTGCCGTATTTTCGTCTTTCTTCTTTCTTCTTTTTTTTGTCCTTTCAGTGTTTTGCGTAGCGCTAACGCGGAAACGCGCCGCGACAAGTCGTATTATCAAGAGCTCGAAAAATCTCGCGTAATTGTGTTCCGCGATCGATTCCGCAACGGCATACGTGTGCATCAAAGGCGTGATTCGCGATGCATGACAACAGTCACAACACAAAACACAAAGAGGAATAAAAAAAATAGAGAGAGAATGGAACAAAAGCGGCGACTCCTTTTGTCAAGTTATCTAACTTTTGTAATTGCATTATGCAGAATCCACTCGAATGTGTACGTGTGTGTCTGCGCCGGGCTGTGTTATTAAACTACTTTCCGTAACGGACGTTTCGTGTTTGCATTCTTTTTATTCCTCTCTGCGCGCGCGAACGAAGATACAGCTCGTCATCGGCGATCGCATTCGAATTTCGGATTGTCGGTAGACTGCGGCGAGTGAGGTTATCGGGCGGCCGATGATTTTTGGTAAACAAGAGCTTGGTGCGCACGTGAGGCGCAAACATGCACAGCGGAGCGCGCGTTTCCGTATTACTCATCCGGCTATGTACGCGCGAGGCAAAAGCTCCTTTTTGTTTACACTCTGCAACTCGCAGCGGCGGCAACGCTTCTTGCGCAACTGTATAATGTTTATCTGCGTTTCTGATTCGCGCAATCTTGATTGCTTGTCGCCCGCGTGCCCGCGGTTGTAAATAATTTCGGTTTCGCGTTGATTCCACCGAGGTGGAGCATCGAAAATGGTGGCTCGGATTGTCAAACTGATTTTCTCACGAGCTGCGGCTCAATTAGAACGTCGATTTGGCAAATTTGACGCGTGCGTGCTTGTGTGTTTGCAGATACGAGCGGTTACTCAGACGTGCCAAAATGGAAGATCTGACGGAGGTGTCGGGAATCGGATGCCTCTATCAAAGTGGAGTCGATCGTCACGGACGACCGGTCGTCGTCTTTTTAGGCAAATGGTTTCCAGCCAATAACCTCAATCTCGATAAGGTGAGACAGGCGCCAGTTGTGCGTACGCCGATATGATGCGTTTTGTACGTGTCTCCTTCTTTCTTTGTTTCGGGAGCTACACGCGTAGAAACAAAGAGAATACCAACTGTGGCCCTGATTTAATGAATCTGATAAAAATGTCACGTTGACTTTTCCTGATTTATTGTATTGAATCTGTTTCTTTCTTTTTCTTCTTTTTATCTTTTTTTGCGAGGAACTCATTCATCGAATGTCTACGTAAAAATGTATAGGGGAGCATACAAGAATTTCAAATTGACTCCTCAACGTGGACGATCGATAATTTTAAACATGGTATTCCTCGAACTACGATAAGGGGAGAGAGAAAGAGAGCGAGAGAACGAAGAAAAGTATACTCCGTGTCCCCCGACGTTTCTACCCCCGAAACGAGAACTCGTAAAAAACTAAATCGATAACTACACTCGGCGCGTCCGTCGGAGTTATCTCCGTGAGCGAGCACGCGAAAATGGGCCGTCGTAAAATTTATAGACGCGTGCGAAAATAACTCTTCTCGCCAAATTCGCACTGCTTTGGAAGCTGTCGTGTAGTTTCTCGCGATGCAACTACGAAACGTTGACTTGCAACTTTGTAAAATTACTCATCGCATTGCCTTACCAAAACAATTAGGTCACTCGCTTGAAATGAACGTTTGCGAAACTGATCGAATCACTTGCCAGTTGTCACTCTCGCCGTATCGTGTATACGGTCAATATTTAAATGCGCGAGTGAACTTCACCAAATGTTTTACGTTTTTTTTTTTATAAGTATTATCGATTGTGAAAGTTACTAATATTATCATGTCATTTTCTCAGTAAAAATAAATGACGCGTAGCTACGCGGTCAAACGCAAAATTGTAAAAAAAAAGTTCAACAGTCTATCTGAAAAGATTCTTCTCGTAATTTTGCGCTCGCGGATTTTCCACGCTAGAAATTAGCGTATTTGGATTCTGGATGGTGTTAATACGTGGCTGCAGAAAAGAGCTAGGCATAAAAACGAAGAACGATTAGCATAGAAAGCGCAAACGAGCGCAACTACGCTCACGCGGCACAATAATCGATCTGCGCTCTCTTCGGCAATAAAAGCCGTCGACGCGTCGGCCCTCCGGGGGGTGGGGGGGTGGGGGGGGGGGGGGGGGGGGAAGGAAGATGACTCGACGCCGCGATAATACTCGAAGGGCGAAGAGTAGGTGGAGGAGGAGACGACGACAACGCGGCACCGTCGAGAGCGCAGATCGATTCTCTGGAAATAGACTTTGCCGCCAGCTCGCACGCGCAAGGCTACGTGTATGCAAGCTCGCACTCGTGAACGAGTGACCTTATCTACGACGATGCGTTACGAGGCTCCAAACTTTGCCAATTAAATGATCGGCGCTCGTTCGCAGGCCTTATTGTACCTGATACAGCTGATGGATCCAATTGTCAAGGGGGACTACGTGATCGCCTACTTTCACACTATGACCGTCAGCAATAACTATCCCAGCTTGCATTGGCTCAAGGAAGTTTACAACGTACTTCCCTATAAGTAATTACTATCCTTTTTTATGCGTAGTTGTTAAAAGAGGCAATATCTTTACCTTGTTCCTTTTTGCTCAGGTATAAGAAGAACTTGAAGCAGTTCTACATCATCCACCCAACGTTCTGGACCAAGGTACGTCGTTATCCATTGCGCCAACGATCATCGCCTTCCGCTGCGTTTCCGTCTTTTTTTTCTCACGGCTTCGCTGCACTCGCGATCGTGTATAATTTTCCCGAGTTTTTTTTTCCCCCGCCAAAGCAGCCTTCGATGTACGACCTTCGCACCTAGCGCGATAACACTAGGAAAAATGATTCCTGTGCTCAAAGTAAAATCCCACGGAATTGATCGACAAGGCTTTTTTGCTCTTCGCGTCGCTCAAGTAATCGATACTGTGCTTTTCCGCGTGCTCTGCTATTCCGATGCAAAGAACATTTAATTTAACTCGAAAGTATTTGAAGGATCGCTTAATTAAGAATTTCGAGAATTAAATCCAGAATAAAAAATTATCAATGCAAATTCTGTAGAATATATTGTTGTAAAACTAGGTTATTTCTAATACAGGGAGTGTATATTTAGGAATTTGGAAAGAATGACATGCGAACGTTATCTTACGATTTAGGATTTGTTGAAAAAATTGCCTAAAATTCTGTTTACTCCACGAATTTATGGAGTCAGCAAAGTAAAGGAAATAACGAGTCAAGAAGCCGGATGCGGAGCAGACTGATTTTTATTGAAAAACTGATCGTAATAGTAGATGCACAAAAGTGGCAATAAACGCGAGCATAATGCGATGAAAAATCGACGAATCAATCAATATGCAAGAACAAGCGTAACGCACGACTGTAATTGCAGATGATGACCTGGTGGTTCACGACGTTCATGGCGCCAGCGATCAAGCAGAAAGTGCACAGTCTACCTGGAGTGGAGTATCTGTACGAAGTGATGTCGCCGGACCAGCTGGAGATACCAGCCTACATAACCGAATACGACATGACGATAAACGGCCTGAGGTACTACCAGCCGGAGCACTACAGCAGCGGCGCGTCGACGTAACTGCCGGCGGCGATCCTCGTCTAGCTAGACGAGGCGGCCCGTCGTCAAGGTCGACGTTCGTCAGCACGTAGGGCTTGCTTGATCAGTGGCCGTATGATGCTCGTCGAGTACGCCACTTAGAACATAACCGAGAGCGGGTCGTGAGCAGCAACAACAGCAGAGCATCCGTTGCAAGGCAGCTCAAGTGCCAAACGCGCCACTGCCAGACAACAACAAAAAATTAAGTAAAGCCGACTGCCATCGGTGGCCAATATGTCTTAATATTACTCGGGACGATCATCAGCCTTACATGTACACATACACGCGCATACACGCGCATACACGCGCATACACGCGCATACACGCGCATACACGCGCATACACACATACACAAGTATACGTACTCACGCAAATCCGCAAATACACATGTTTTTTCCAACTTCCTAATCAATGCAATTACTGTGCTTTATGCTTTGGCACTTGGCTGCCTAAAAATTGTCACACATTCCACGTTGGATACTTACAATAATAATATCTGTTGCGAGAGTGAGAAGGAAAGAGGGAGAATTTCGTTCCGTTGGTTATGTACACATGTCGAGTGCAAGCGCGAAAGCTTGAATGGTGCGAAAGACGAATGAGACGTTTTTATTAATCTAATTTTTTTTAGCGGAAACGTCGTTGTTATATTACATACACATACTTGCGCGACGTAATGGCCTAGGAGCCCTACACTCGGTCGTTATTATGTTTTTCTTCTTAAAAATAATTATTTGTCTTTTTTATTGCGAATCCGAGCAACGGTGATCGTGCTTACATATGCGTGTGCTGCATGTTCAATTTTTTTTGCTGCGGATGTGCTTTGTGCTTACGTTTTTGTTTTAACCGTCGTGTTTTTATTACCTTGTGATCATAGATGCGTGCTTTTTATAACTACCTGTTCATTTTACGCTTTACATAATTCATTTTAATTATTGTTAGTTCATACACAGGATGGCGTGGAATACAATATTCGGTACATAATACAATAGAGAGAATAGAGGATATTTTTGTCAGAGTAAATTATGAAAGTTGCCTATGTCTACATCCAGAAGCTTAATTATACGTATATTGCGAAGGGCAGGCACGATGAAACTAAATGTCACTGTACCATTTGTGATCCCATTTACAGGAAGAATCGTCGGACTACGTAGTATGCTCTCGATTATATATCTCGTGTGAAACAGTCGAAAAAGGGACATTTGCGGGGCGATCCCTTGTCTATATATACCAAAAACTGTATTAGCACTTAAATGTTGAATTTCATTTTGAATTTTTGAGAGTTTACGCAAATGAGGCGTTTTTAAGAAAGGAAAAAAATTGTTCAAACTACGAGAAAAAATTAATAAATATATTATCCATTTATGAATATACCACGACAAAGAAGGTGTTCGCATTCACATAGTCGAGTATAATCGTAAAAATACTACGCAAAAATGCTGAAAATAAAATGTAAAGTTTTTTATTTTCAAACGAAAAAGCATTTCCATGTTTACGGTGTTATGAGGATTGTAATTATTTCAGTAATTATAATATTTTGTAATTTTCGCGGCAATGTAGATGAAGAAAAAAAGAAATTGACGAAAGATATTACCTTAGATTAGGCTAACAATAAGAAAAACAATCAGCGTAGTATAAGAATTAAGACAGTATGTAATGGGCGGAAAACGAAAATTCATAGCGAGTAAATATTATATGACAGCCAGCTCAGCTATTTTTTAATAAAAAATTAGCATAAATGCATCAAAAATTGGTTATCTGAAGACTCAGAGATTATATATGAATAAATGACAACAAAGATCCACGTGTATAACAAATCAAGTCGGTCGTTAAATGATGTTCTTGGTATGATGTCTTAAATAAATGTGCTACAAAACAGATCGGTACCCACGTAAATGCGCCAAATTTAAAGAATTACAATGTAGTTAAGCCGTAACGAGAATCAATTAAATTTTTACTTAGTAATAGCTTTTGAAGTAACTACTAATTGCCGAAGAACGATAAAGCGACGTTCAGTGTAACGCTTATTAAACTTTAGGACTCAAAGACCGTAAAAAAATCGCTCGGGTGCAAGCATATCAATCGTTTCAAAGTATATTAAAAAAAAAGAGAGATGTACTGTGAAATAATTAACATCAACGTTAGGAGGAAATGAGTTCTACAATAAAAAAATTCAATTTTTCACTTTTTGACTCGTTAAATACTGCACTGAGAAATAATTAAAAATGCAAATTTACCGTTAATGTTATTATAATAAAAGAAAAACAAATTTTTTAATATTAATGCGAGAAAAGATCGTTGTAAAAAAGTCAAATAATTGAAAAACAATACGATGACAAAAAATGAAAAAAAAAACAGAAAATTGATATACTCTGTAAATCTAGACATTCAAATACGCACTTCTGTGATTAGTTACAATTAAAAAATCGCTGATTAAAAATTACTTTGTTAATCATGCGTTGTGAAAATATATATCCCATTTACAAATTATGAATGAATGATGTCATACCCGTCATTAACGAACAACATACTTGTGTACTATCTATAAAACGCTGAAATAACAAATCGTTCTATATGTAAATAATGGTGACAACCAAATTATATCGATATTATACCGCCATGATGAAAAACGTAAATGTATAGGCGCGTAGATGCTTGATCGGCATTTATGCGTTCATACGAACAACAAAAAAATAAAAGAGCTAACTTATTTGCATTATGTTAAAGGACAAATCTATACGTAAACTTCCTTGGCAGGATAGAGTAAAATGATATATTTAGTATCTAGAGAAGGACTTAAAATATGAATATTACAAAAAAAAGAACAGAAAACTCGTATATACGCACCTATATTATATATAAAAAAGTAAGATGTGGAATCTATTAAAGGCGTTGTTGCAAGAAAAACGGAGTAAATAAGGTAGTTTTGAAGTGTCAGATAATAGAACTGAGAGCAAAAGCCTATAAAAAAAAAATATATATATATATATATATACATATATATTACGGGAGAAGAAAAAATCGGTATTTCCTAGTTCCGATCTGCTTGTAACTTTATTTTCTTATTATGAATAATATCGATTGTTGTTATTGTATCGAGATTATATCTATATTCGAGATCGTAGACGGTATAAACAAGAACGATATTTTACTATGTGAGACTTTGCATCCTAGATAGCACTAAATCGAGAAATATTTTCAGTATATCAGTGCGGGCGTAGAAAAGTTCCTCATTGAAGTCTCTAAAAAAATCTCGTTGGCGTTTTCATTTTGTATTTGTATATACAACTGACTGTAGAAAACAATCAAAGCATAATGTAATACACAACGTTCTTTTCGAATCCTGAAACAATTGGAAGAAAAAGATAAAAAGCAAAGGGAAATGCAGTCGTAGTGAATGAATATTTTTTGAGACTTCAGTGGAAAAAAAATTAAGATCAAATTTAGCCTCGAATTTAGCGGTAGGTGAAGAGTATCCACTAAAACAAATAGTACGTACACACTTGCGAGTGAGATTCCTCCGGTCCTAAGCGAATTTTTTGGTGAAGTGAGTTTTACCGAGTGCCATTGATTTTTTACCGTTATAAAACTAACAATATATAAAAATCAACTTTCAACAGTTTTTTCTCCGCCGTACACACGTTTGAGAATGACGTACACACACGCACGCGCGCGCACACACACACACACACACAACTGATTACATACATAACATACATGTGTTGAATGAAACTTGCCAATAGTTGCCGTCGCTCGATGCTCGACAAGGACACGCTTTGTTACAAGCCTGAAGGTGAGAAAAACTATATAAACAGCCTCCGGCGTAATTTCGGCTTCGGCAATCGGTTTTTGTTCTTTCGTTCGTAATCAAAGGAACAACGTCGAGAACAACAAAATTAACCAAATTAACTCGTTATGAATCGTAGACTAAATCGCGTCGTTATAGATCAATTATAAAGCGTTATTATGCATGTTAATCATTATTATTGAATTGTATTGTTATATTTGGCATTGCGCGCCAATTGGTCCAAGTTTTTTGAGTGCGAATGAGGACAGAAGCTGAGGAAGAAGACAGGGGGCGAAACGCACTTAAATCGCGAGCCGATTGGTGGAGCCGCTCGGAGGCATCTATCCCCCCTCTTTTACGATAAGAAGAGCAATAAATTTAAGAGCTTCGCCACATTATTATTAACCATCGAGGCCACTCGACATTGTTAAAGATTTTTAGCGATCGATCACATTATGAATAAATTGACCAATTCATTCGTTTTACCACGACTTTTTCTCTCCTACATCGCACACCTCAGCCTACGCAAATCGATTTGCAAATCTTTCTTGGTTTCATAAATCGCTTCCTTACGTATTCATATTTCCTCCTTATTTAGATAATGACCGTCAAAAATGAGAAAGCAACACTTACAATAGAGATTTTACAGTAGGCATTTCATTTTCATGTTTGAAACAGTGCTACAATGTGAATTTTTTAATAATTTAATTTTTTAAATGAGTAGTATTAAAAATGGATTGCAAAATCTCTTTGCAACTGCAACAACGCTTTATTGCATTCCAATGAAAGGATTAATTTTAATAGTGGTTTGGAATTCCTACTTTTAGTTGAAAAAATAAATATTATAAGACGAAGATATAGAGAATTTTAGAGCAACTTCGATAGTTTCTCTTTGAATTGCATTTTCTGTGGAGCTTTTCCTAGTGGCATTCGACATTATAGGATTATCTTTATAAAAAATGGCAACAAAATACTTTCTTGGATTGACGTTTGAGCTTATTTCCCTAGATCTACTTTCTCGAGAGCCATGGTTTTGCCGAAATAATTTTATACATTTAAACCAAGTTCGTCAACATAGTCTTGTATAGTATATATATTTGAACCGTTGCATTGGTTAATAAATTTCCTTTTTCGATATACTAGAATCGTAAATAAAAATGCGCGTATTACCTTCCATCGGTAACATGAAAAAAATGAACGACACGCATATAATAGAAATTCTGATGCTGGTCCGTCGACCGTTGTGGAACGATATGGAAATGGTGTATTACGTACCTATAGGCCGGAAAATCTTGAGTCCGTAGCACGTGAGAATCGGCTTGGTCTCGGCCGTCAAACACGTGCCACGGGCTTACCAATTTCCCGGCCGTGGTGCGCATAAAATTTTTTCGGCTTACGATCGCGGCCAAAATTGCCGCGTTATCGACCGAAACGCCGACGGAAAATGCTTCTTTCGGGCCGCTGGACAAAAAGCATAGCGTACGCGTCATGGCCGGGAAACTGGCAAGCCCGTGGCACGTGTTTGACAACCAAGACGAAGCCGATTCTCGCGTATTTACGACGGACTTTATCACCGCTACTCTGCTATTAAGATAGGCGCTCGCGTTTCCAAATGAAAAGCGCTTGAACGGCAATCGAGTCTGGATCTTCATCCGGACAGCGACTTTTGTCAGGCACCGAAAACACGAATCTTTTTGAAAGAACCGTTGTGAAAACGCATGGTCTAACCTACCGTAGCTAATACCGCTAGGTCACTTCTCGATTGACGCGCAGGCTGGAAAATTGTCATTTAGCCTCCGGATGTACCAACGAGTGCTGCGCGTCGCGCGAATTGCCGCGCATTGAATATCGGACGCACGGGGCAATAGCCAGGCGACGACGTCAAATGGACGAGATCGCGAGATCGTTCGAATATCACGTACGCGTCGGATATTTGATTCCGAGCAGGCGTTAATCTGGCAAAGCCCAGGTACACAACGACATCCCGCGCTCGAGAATCCTCCGCGATAAGATAAGAGCTCTAGCTGTAGAGGAGCGTTCGAGCCTAATTGAAAGTTGGAATGGGCGGCGCGCGGCGTTACGCCTGGAAACGGGTAACGCGTGGCACGGCGAGAAATCCCCTTAGTTGGGACACTGGCGTCCTCGTGGTCAGTTCCATTCTCTCTCTCGCTCCTCTTTTCCCCCGGCCTTCTGCTTCTTTTTCCTCGTCTCGCGCGCGCGCGCGCGCTCTCTTGTTCTTTCGTAATCCGCGGCGCGCTCGATCTCACAGAGGAAAGTGCCCGCGCGCCTCGCATCTGCCGGGTTAACGCACTTTGCGCTGTACCGTTGCTCGCTTCTTCTTGCTCGTCTGCGAGAGGAACAAGCACTACGAGGTAAGTTTATTTCGCGATTTGTCGGCTTTGTCACTGCAGCTGCGACGAGCGATACGCTGACTTTTACTTATTTTTGCCTATTTCTCTCGTTCGCGTTTAGCAGCCGTTATTGGTACGCGTATGCGTTATATCGGCGCGCGTAATCGAACCGCGAGCTACTCTCGTGCGGTTCACCGCGAAACTAATAATTTCCAACAAAGTTTCCCGAGTGCTACTCGTTGATTTTTTTCTTTGCTCAAGGCAAATCAAACAAACTTGATTGTCATGGAGTCGCTTGAGATCTGCGAAAAATTATGTAACGTCTTAGCTATTAGTCCTCGTCTATATTTCCATAATTTACAATTTGCGCGTTGTCATGTTTGCAATAGCCTAACGAGCTAGCGACTCATTGTTGTTCGTTCGCGTACAGTAAAGCATTCGATACCTTATAATTGACATATGATACTGTCTGAAAACACGTGCCCGCGGAAATCAGGTAGACGAATTATCGCGACGAAAAAAGAGGATCAAGCTTACATAACTATATAATCGTATCTGCGACTAATAACTCTGGCAAAAAGTAGAAACTCGATTAGCATTATCTTTGGAAAGGCAACTGCGCGTAACGAGCGACACGATTTCAAAAGTGAAATGACAGATAATTTTTGAGCAGTCGATCGCCCGTCGGATAAGAGAGTCATAGAGCGTATGGGCGCTCGGGCGGTATATTTTTAGTCGTCACCGGCGCGCGCGTACGGCGGTGAGAGTGCTGCTCGTACGATCCGATGAGTCGGTGAGCAGGACGGAGAAAGAGCGGCACATATAGAGGCTTCCCGCGCCACGACCAGCCATGAGGTTGCTTGGCTTAGAGTTCGCGCCGATGAACGTGCCCTTGGAGCGTCGACTGCAAACGGTAGCGGCATGCGCTTGGATAATCGTCACCGCTTTCGGCGGCTTGATCTCCTGGTTCGTCACCGCTGCCGCACTTATTTTTGGTACGATCTGGATGAGACTGCTTATGATCGCTTACCTGCTGTTCGCTTACTACGATCAAGATACCAGACTGACTGGTGGTCGAAGGTACTGTAATTGCCTACAATTTTATCATTTCTTCGACCTTATGAGTAATGCTCGGCTATTTTATCTCTCGTCTGACTAATCCAATCGATAATTTTATCCAAAGAGTCACAGCTTCCTCCTCGGTATGTTTCCAGTTGCATTCTTTACTGATAGTGTAATATTTATATTTGTTCAAAATTCTAAAAGTCAACACTGTCAAAGCGCTATACGAACTTGTGCCTCTTAAAAAGAAACCATTCAGCAAGTACGCGAGACTATCGGAGCCTGACTCTACGTATCATTTACGACACCCTGGAAAATTCTTTGCCTTCAATAGAAAATTCAAAATTTGCTATTTTGATGATCAAGTGACAAAGTACATGTGCTAATAAGGTCAATAATCGTTGAGTTTTCATTCGATTACATTATCTTCAGAAAAATTAATGATTAGATATCACGAGCGCGGCATTGTTTTCTCCTTGTCGAGTCACTGACTCGGTTGATCTATTCAAAACATGCGAAGATGTCACATATTCTAGAACGTTTTCCGAAGGTTGTGCAGTGCCGACGAGCATTTTAGATTTTAATGGCAAATCGAATACTTTGACTCGTCGCTCAAAACAACGTTCAATCGAACGAGCGAGAAAGCGTGACAACGATTACGTGGCTCTGCTTTCGACTTGACAGTGTCAATCAACAGTATTATACGCAAAGTATTCGACGTTCACGACGTATGATTTCTTTTTTCTCAGCAAGTGGATAACTACGAAGTTCCGAAATCTGGCATGGTGGCGCTATTTTTGTAACTACTTTCCTATCAAACTCGTGAAAACGGTGGATCTCGATCCGTCCAAGAATTACCTGTTCTGCTCGTTCCCGCACGGCTTACTGTCGACCGGCGTGACTGCCGCTTTCTCAACCAACGGCCTCGATTGCGCCAAGGTTTTCCCAGGACTGGACTTCAGGCTTGTGACCCTCGACACGCATTTTCAGACACCATTGTTCCGCGAGTATGTACTTAATTTTGGTAAGTTGCTCACTGCGGCTATTGAAAGAAGAGTTTCTCAATTTGATGGCACTAAAAATTTTAAGAGATCAGTGTTTCTTGTAATGCTGACCGAAGCGCAAGAATAACTTAGACGTTCGATCTCGAGCATTGAACGATGATCGTTCGAAAGTGCAAGTTATTGTAACAGAACGAACACTCGACAGTTTCACTTGTCAGGCTACCAGCGCAGGCTGTGTACGATTATGCAAATGCGAACGACTGTTTGCAGGTGTGTGCAGCTGTGACGAAAGAAGCATCAATTATTTGCTTTCGACACCGACGACGCAAAATGACGGGCCCACGGAGGATCCAGTGCAGGGCCGAGTTGTCATAATTATAGTCGGCGGAGCCGCGGAAGCCTTCAAGTGTAAGCCACGTACTTACCACATTTTAGTCAAGAGGAGAAAAGGATTCGTCAGAATTGCACTCAAGACCGGGTTAGTTTTCACTTCTTTAGTGAACGGTACTTTCAAACGAACATTTCCCTGGGCTTGACGATGTGTTCTTTTTCTCTCTAGAACGCCTCTGGTGCCCGTTTTCTCGTTCGGCGAGACCGACTTGTATGACCAAGTAAACAATCCAGAAGGATCTCTGCTCAGAAAGTGCCAAGAGTTCGTCAAGAAAGTAACGGGCATCGCGCCCGTTGTGCCCTGGGGAAGAGGTTTCTTCCAGTACTCTTTTGGCCTTATACCCAATAGAAGGCCAGTCACCGTTCTTGGTGAGTTATCATTCCGACGGCTCTTTTTAATCGTTCGCACGCCTAAATCAAGACGTTCATTTTCTTCTCGTAGTTGGAGCTCCTTTGGAAGTTCCGAAGATAGAAGAGCCAACGAAGGAACAAGTGAACGAGTACCACGCTAAATTCACGGACAAATTGGTTGAACTTTTCGAAACGCATAAAAGTAAATATTTGCAAGATTCCGATAAGCTATCTCTCATCCTGGAGGATTAGAATTTGTGATATAATTAATGCAGGTGATGTAACGCGCTGCGGTGTGCGTTCCAGTATAATTGAAAACAAATAGAACGTTCAGTTTTTCTCGTGCAATGTTCACCGAGATCGGTCTATGGCAGATTTATTTTTTATACAAACATTATATATTATCGTTCCAACTTCATAGTAGTTAAAGTTTAAGAATAATATGTTTCATGTGAAAAAGATCACGGCCTCGAAATACTCTGACTCATTGAAAGAAAACAACAGTGAGTGATCAACGAGTGATAAAAAAATCTATTCGTATGGGAATGTCTTGACATTACATGCAATGGCATGTCAAGCGTGTATAAAATAAGATTCACAGATCGAGTAAATGAGTCATCCGGCATTCGTTACTGCCAGAGTAGCCAAAGTGGCGACAATTACACTTCCCGCGCAAACAGCAGCTCTTTGAAGAATCTGAAAGCAATTTGAAAAATATATATTTTGTAACAATCTACGAGCCGTAAAGCAATGAAAATATAATACCTTGTCTTGCCAAGCTTTGTTCTCGATGCAGTCGCGATAACGCATTCGCGAAAATGTGACCGAACTGTAAAGTGGAATCCACTTGTTTGGGAACAACCAGAATAATACAGTGTCCAAGTATTTACGTGCAATATACGATTTTTTTGTTACCAAATTGCGCATCTATCGATGATAAAAATATTGTTTATACTTTTGATACACACATTGAAATGTAAATAGTTGTAAATAGTTTTCATAGAATAAATAATAGCAAATCTGAACGTTGCGATAGCTTTATCATTCGCTAAAAATCATACCTCGAGGTAATTGTACATGGCAAGCTCGACAATTGCGTGCGCATCATCGCAACGTAATTCAGAAAATTTCGGAAGTACTTTTTCAGGATCACTGTCGTAAAATTCCAATAGCTGATCCAGTAGCAGAGCGTCTTCGAAGCCCTACAACAGTGCGATCTTTATTGTCTAGCACCAGACATCACTTTTAAGAAACGAACATAAGTATTGGTGCAGCCATTAATTCATTTATATAATGATGAATGCAAAAATTGCCTTTAGTTATCTGAAACTTCAAGAACGCGTTATATGAGCAAAGTTGTACTTACGCAATTCATACCCTGCGCGTAAAAAGGTACCATAGCGTGCGCAGCATCTCCAATGATAAGAGCTTTGCTTCCAACGTGATAAGGTTTACACTGAAATGCAATATTCTTTGTTCTTTCAATAGAAATAAGACGACATTATGACAAATGAAAATTATAGATTCTACAATAAATGACAATCGACTCTCCGTTAAATAGTCACACCTTGATTGATATAAGAGTCTTGGGTGGCGTTTGGAAGAATTCTCGAACCAATTTCTCCTCGCCGATTAATTTGAGCGCATCGGGGAATTGCTCGCGATAAAAATCCAGCAATTTCTCGCGCGTGTCAAGCGCTTCGAGGACTTTGAACGGTGCAAAGATATTGCCGGTGAACGTGCGGTCGTCGTTCGGTAGAGCTATCATCATAAAATCGTCACGTGGCCATATGTGCAAGTGGTTCCCGCTCATAATATGCTTCGAAAGAATTATCGACGTCAGTCACGTGTAAAATGTAAAGGCAGATAGTCCGAGATTTTTCACACCTGATTATCTTTTCCAATCGGATAAGAAAGTTCCACGTATCCGTGATCGATGTAGGTCTGGCTGCAATTGAATCGCGGCCTCTTCGACATCAATCGCCTTACGAAGGAGTAAGCTCCATCTGCTCCTGTTATTAAATCCGCTCGCGTATTCACTTCCTTCTCCGTTTTTGTACTGAAAAATTCGGCAAATGTAACAATGTCGCAAATTTTGCGAGACAACGATGTCTTGCTCGCGTTTCAATGTTGTTTTCAGCGTTCAGAGATATTTCTTATAATAAGTGGCTATAGATACGAGCTGAATATTCCAATTAGTAACGATTATCTCCACTCAAGGGCGATAATGAAAGATAGTTATTGAGCGCACAGATTAAGCAATACCTTTTACAGAATTGTTGATACTTACTTCATGAATTGCATAGTCCCGTCGTCGAGATTGGCATCGATTAATTTGTGGTTGAAAAATAACGACACATTTGAATACTCTTCCGCGGCTGGAACAAATCATTGCTGGCGTTTATTCTTACGCAGAGTAGCAAGGGCAAAGAACGAAGGTAAATCTGAGCAGGAAAACTAAGTACGAAGCTTATCTAATGGAATCACTTGTTTGTCGTTAAATAATAAAAAGAAGTTGCTATCGACATGCTCCGCGTCTGTGTGGCAATCTTTTACGGGGAAACACGATAGGACGGTATTTTTGCGGCTTCCCGCTCTACGCGGTAACACTAGACTCGCTACTTTTCGTATATAGAAGACCATAAAGCAGAAAAAATCGATCTGAATGTCGCTCTTTTCAATGACGTAACCACGCCCGTATAGGATTACAAACTTTGCGTTTGCTTACGCTTATCGTTCGATCGTAAGATCATTTGCATTAAAATAAGTAACAATTTACTTACCATTCAGGAGAACTTTGTTCAGGTGCGTTCGATTCACCGAGTAAATGCACTACGGTGAAAAGATAACATATCGTTAATATTTTTTTATTATTTTTCTGTTGGTTAAGCGATTAATTCCATAAACGATTGTTATCAAATCACTCACGTTTTTGTTAACATTATCGTATATGATTTCTTTCAGAGATTCGTCTTGAAAATGAATCATTCGACCTTTCATAGGTGTCCCGTGCTCGTTAATAATAGTATCTTCAAGGCCGACGGCCCTCAAAGCCTCCCTTCCGCGCACCGATAAAGCCAAATCGATGCTCACTCCCCGTGCACTTTCCACTCGAATATCTGTCAATTGATTTCACTACATTGGGCGAGGTAACGTGAATATCATTCAAAATTGTACGGTACGGCAAAAAAATACTCACCAGAGCGGTATTCGTACAGACATACTCGGTGACCACGTTTGGCGAAAAAACAAGTGACCAAGGCACCGACCTAAGATAAATTTCAGTTCTTTCGTAATGTTTTCAATTCTTATTGTGTCCAAATATTTTCGGGAATGAATCTTTGATACTTGACAAATAATTTATACGCATTTTTTTTCTCGAAAACCGATCGACACGTTTACACAACATACGTTCAAGTTACTACTTGATTCTTTACGAATGTTTTTTCCAAAATACATTAGTCAGATGAGCGTTGAACACGCTCGGATATGCTGGTGCGACGTTTGAATAAAATATTAAATACAAAGTTACCTACCAGTCCACCCCCGATAACAGCCACGTCTAAGCTTTGAGCTTCGTTCGTCATGCTGGCCGCAAGAATACTGACCACTGCCGAGTCAGTGCTACGCTACGCGTCAGTGAGGCCATATATCAAGCAAACGGTCTTTCGTCAATGCAGGGAGCTATGACACAAGAGAAACATAAAATTGATAAAAGATATTATATATTGCACGTTAATGTTGTAATAGCTTGTTCTGTTTTCGATGAGACTTAACTTTCGATATTGATATACCAAGAGACACGTCCATAAAATAGAAAGAGGGAATGCATCACCTATTGCGGTTATTCGCTTACCTATATGTCACGTTCTTTAAAATAAAAATTTGGAAATAATTTTTGGTACATGAAAATGTCTTCTAGAGAAATCCTTGAGCTCTGCCTAAGATCATAAAAAATACTTCCGAATTCTAACTGTGTAAAAATTTGATATACGTCAGTAACCTATAAACCTACTAATAAATAAATTATTTAGGTCCGGTGTTGGATGATTACAGTGACGCCAAACATCAGACTATTTGATAAAAGATCAGGCTCGAGATCGTATAGCGGCAGGCGTCTACGGAAAAATGTCGTACTCCTAACGACGGAGTGTAACAGTTGTATTGAAATTTCAAGCGTTGAACGTTAAAACCAATTCGGAAATCATTTTGTCAATTTATAGAAATCATTGAAATAATTCAAAAAGATACTTCTGAACTTTAATATTGTCAATTGAAGAAAGAATTTAAGCATAAAAAAAATAAACATTCTAATTCATCATTTTTCATCATCTTGCGCTAGGTGTGAAAAATAACTCATTTAACAGTCGTTAGTGAAGAATTAATTAATGAAAATGATTCAAAACGTCGATAGAGAGGTGTTCAAGCTCTATTATGACAAACACACAAACCATGATCAGATATGAAGCTAAAGATCGAAAGGGAAAATCGGCTCAGTCGACGAGCTTGCAAAATGCCCAAAACAAAATCCAACGAAAGAGCAGCAGAAAGCACATGTCGAACAAAAAGAGGGAGTGAGAGCGTGTAAAGAAGAGTTGCACGCGGTGGTCGCGTCATCGCGAGCTGCAACCTCGACAATCGCAAGCTCAAGCCGAGCTCGCGTTGTCCGAAAATAGCATTGGACGTTGGTTTGCAGTGGCGCCGCGAAGCGAACAAGCTCTGCGATGCCGCTGGTTGACTAAGGGAAGAGAGAGAGAGAGAGAGAGAGAGAGAGAGAGCTTGCAGAAGCGGTGGCTTCGCTAGCGGAGAGCCGAAGAGAGAGCGAGCAGCTAGCAGTCAGTGCGGCGATGTCGACGACGAACGGCGCATCGAGGGGGCCGCGACCGCGGCAGCATCGTCTGCTGCTGCTGTCGCTGCTGGTTCTCCTGGTAGCGTGGACTGCTGCTGGGGCCCGGGCCCCCGTAAGTGGCAAAGATTCCGGAGCCACGTCGAATGGCGGCGCTGCCAAGGAGTCGCATCACGCCAAAAAGGAGGAGCCCGTCATCGAGGAGGTCACTAGTAAACAGCTCGAGCGGCTGCTCAAGGATAAGGACTTCGTCGCCGTGTACTGGTGTGAGTATTCGCGACTCCGAGCCTCGACTGGTCGTGTGTGTAACACTAGACGCGCGCACCTCGCGCGCTGCCTCTGCCTCCTGGCTTCGGCCGATGTGGCTGCTGCTGCTGCTGCTGCTGTATCGGGTTGCAAGTTCTCTTTCTCAGGCCAGAGCAACGATTATAAATAGGCCTCTCTCGGCGCGCGACGATAGGTCCTTCTTTCGCCCGCGCAACCGCGCGCGTAGACCTCCCTGCGCTTTCGCTTTTTTCTCTTGGTCCCCGTCGCGCAGCCTATTCGTCTCTGGCCTCCAGACCTTGCGCATCAAGGTCGCCTGCCTAACAGACGTCGCGACCACTCCAGAGAGCAACCCAAAAGGTTTGCTAATGGTCTTCCTTCCTTGCTTCCTCCCCCTCCCGCTCTTTCTATTTCGAGTGACGACCTTAATAACTAACGGCAAAAACTTTCAGAGTTAGCGGTCCAGAATCGCGCCTTACGTCACGTTTACGTGTTTTTCTCAAATGTTCAAGTAAAAATAGAAGCAAGGTGTGTGTGTGTGTGTGTGTGTGTGTGCGTGTGTACGTGTGTGTATGTGTATGTGCGTATGTGCGTGCACGCGCGCGCGTGAAAGAGCTAGTTACACAACCCGGCAATCGGAAATTCAAAAATAATTTGTTTACAATTGCACGAAGGATGGCATAAATCGTAGAAAAGGAAGAGTGTACGCGCGTGCAAAACTCTGGCACAATGAAGTTTGTGTCACGGCACATACCGACGGCTTGTATTTATCGCGAGTCGCCAACGAGAGTCACAGTTTGTAATAATTGACAGCCGATCGACCCTCAAACCTATCGCTCGACAAATTGCGATCGTAGGCGTGTACGGGCTAGCGAAGCCGCTTGTTCGGCCGTTAAACGCGCGACACGTGTGCCACGGCACAGAGAGCGAGAGCTCGACTGGCAGACTAGACGAGAGACCGAACCGCCTTTGATACCGAGACCTAGTTTCTACATACCAGTTTTATTGTGATCTTTCAAAATTGCCAATGATTTGTGTGTGAATTTCGGTCAAATTTGTTCGGCCTCGACGCGATTCGTACGACTGATGCTTTGGTTTGTTAACTCGCTTGAAATGACAAAATATCGAGATTCAACAGGGGTCGGACCGTGATATTAATGTCATGACAATTCAAACGAGTCAAATGAGGAGACCGTATCCATAAAAATTACGGAAATCCATCAAATAAACCGCATTGTCTAAACTTTTTAAGCGAGTGACGCTTGCCGCAAGCTCACAACGCACCAACTGAAAGGCCGACTCTATACGTGAGCTTTTGTATAATGGTCGTACCGGCAGTAGTTTATAATTAAAGACAGACTTTGTGATTATCCGATTCCTTTGCTCAACGCATCCAGATGAGCAAAACAAACGATTGACGAGTAATTAAAAAATGAATTACTGCCGGTCATAAAGAGCCGAGCTTGCGATAGCTGTGCAGACGATTGACGGGAATAATCGTAAAGTTCTGATCGGCTGGACACTCTAGCAACTGATTCTCCTTAGCGAGACCTCTAGTCCACACGAACGCGCTTATAAAGCGGCTTTTAGCCGGCGGCTCTGCTTTTAGATAGCCAGTGAGTTATTTTGGCCACGCACCGAGTATCGCCATGCGAGTATCTGTATGCGCGTGTGACTTGGTGTGTGTACGTGCGCGTGTCTGCGCCTACTCGGCCGATACCTACTCTGATAAACTACCTACTAAGCTTTTACAATCACTCTCTCTCTCTCTCTCTCTCTCTCTCTTTCTCTCTCTCAAATTTACCGTGTTTACTTGAACATTGCAGATTTTAGTCGAGAGCTCGGTTTACTAGACTTTAGAAGGAATTCATTTCTAGAGACGCAACTTAAAATTTTCAAGTCCTGCGATTTAGAAAAGCAGCTATATTTTCTCGAAATTTATAAGATTGCCTTTGTTTACTAGCGAATAGTTTAGAACAAAAATGATTTTCCACACCACGGCCCAATGTTATTATGTTGATTTACATAACAATGTTCAAAAACATGTTTTTATTGGAACAAGTAAAGTATTAAAAGCACGCTTAGCAGTCTGCTATATTGTTTTGAGCTTATTTAGTGATCATAGTTGCAAAGAATTTTTATCGATGTTTGTTTTAGTCTGCGGTGGTCCACGCTATTTTTATAGGACTATATTTAAATTGCTCGATTCTTGCGATCCTTTTTCACAAACTCACAACAAATTTCTATTTTTTAATCGCAATAAAATTTAAATTGCACACCACGAATAATCGTCGAAACAATAATTTCCCCTTCCCGTCGCGTTGAATTTTGCAGACGGCGAAAGGTTGGAGTATTTAATGGCAATTAACAAGTTTCAGATTTTGCGAAGAAAGCTGGTCGATATAGGCCTACCACCGATCCCTAGTCGCAATATTTCCTCTTATCTCTTTCTTTCGCTGCTTTTGCATCCACGATAAACATAGACACGCGTGCGCGTGTACAGTGCCGATAATTTAATTACCTACGCGGCGAAATTAGTGGCGAGTCAAAAGAAAGAAAGGCTGTTTTCGAAAAAAGCTTGCTGCATTTATTTTCGTCTCGGCTGTCCACGAAAATAGAAATAATTAGTTGACTTAGTCGAAAGAAGAAAAGTTTGTTTACATCTTTCGCCAAAATAACATGCAGCGACGTTCATTTAATCTCGTTGTCATTGGGCAGTGCCGCGCGCAGTGATAAAATTGCGCTTTGCTTACAACTCGAGCAAACCAAGCAGCGCCGATCGCAAGCAGACGCTCTCGGGAAAATGGAAAGCCAGCGTGGATCGTTGACAGCCGTCGAACTCCCTCGACACCGTGCGGCATGCCGAGCCCCCCCCCCCCCTTCCGATCTCTTGCGCGCATAAATAATCAAACAGCAAAAATAAAAACACATTGAGCTGCAGACCAATGAGCCATATATCTCGGTTACTGGTCCGAGATACGTCGTCAAGGGTAGGTGCGGAGCGGCGTCATTCGAAAAGCGCGCAATTTATACAATTGGTCGTAAATCAAGTAGCGAGCTGACCGATGAACGCCAGGCTGAATACCGCCCGCTTAAAGCGTACGAGCGAAACGTTTACGAAACCGAGCGCATCGCTTCCCGTTTCCAGCCGTCGGGCTCTGCCAATTCTCCGACGATGACCCACTGACCACTTATCTGCCTCGGAAAACATGGCGAATACTTTGCAGTAGTCTCGTTGAAAATTATAGAAAGATAATGCTAAAGCAGCAGCAGCAGCAGAGGCAGCAACCCAGCTTTACATATAAGGTCTGCGCGTCGCGACGACAATGTGGGAAGTTATCCAATAATTTTCGAAGGCAGATAGAGATCGAGCGAAAATCGAAACTCGTGTGGCGGCGGCGGCGGTGTCCGTGAGCTAAAATAACAACGCTTCTTCTTCGCGAGGGGGTTGCGCGCGAGAGCGCCGCGGCTCGCTTTTACTCCGCCCCCGAGCGAGCTTTTAGAGACGCGCGCGAGCCACGGCCACTCATTTGGGCCAAGCTGCGTGGGCGGCACTGCCTGTCTACCTACTGTTCGACGCGTTCCATCCTTCACTCGCTGCCGCGCGTCAACCGCTTTGTTGCTCTTTTCTTCCGTGGCGTATATGAATTTTTAGAATTTTTCCTTTGCGTCATCCCTCGCTCGGACGTCGCGCGCTTTTCGTCGTCGCTTTCGTTAATCGAGGCCGGTTACTTTTCCAGATTGCCAGCTTTTAATAGACAGCTTTTACTTTGCGCTCTTAAGGTACTTTCAGTGAGGTATTGAGTGACAGGAAGGCACTACTAATTGATTCGAATGCCAAGAACACACAACTTCAATTTTTCAATTAAAATTTCATACGCTCGCGGCAGCTTCAACATGATTTTCCGCGCTTAATAATCGTTAGAAGTTTAATCTTCTAATTAGCAATGTAAACAAAGGTACAGATCACAGTTCCGAGTATAAATTTTTATTCAACGTAGATAGTTACAATGTGTAAACGCTGACAGTGCCAAGAATTTCAATGACGCATTGATTATAGACTACCGTAAGCTCAAGTAATACAAGTGTACCTTTCAAGCGATATGTATATGCTGCCAATATATTTGTTTCTCATCAGCTGTACCACAGTTCTCATGGCTCATACTGAAATCCAGAGTTTATCGTCTGTCAACCCTAATATAAATTTCCAACGTTTCTTTCTTGCTTTCGTTCTCTCTCTTTCTTTCTGTTTCGAAATAAAAGCCTGCTTTGAATTTAATATGCGAATCAACAACTCGGTCTGCACTGGCGGCCTGGTCGTTTTCGCATTTTCAAAAATAACCGGGAGCTGGAATTTCATACACGTTAAACGTGAAAATAAAAAACACGCACACAGAAGCGCGAGAGAGAATAGAGTGCAAATAAATTTAGTCGATTGCTAAAACCAGTTGAAAATCGCACTGACGATTATTATTGCAAAGCTCGCGCTCGCGGCGGCGGACCACACACGATGACAAAATTAGTTTTGAAAACAAGCCTCATAATAAAAGTGGGCTAGCTGAACGGATTTGAAAGATTGATTTATATCTGCTAGTATAGCTCGTTACATACCGCTCAATAATTTTCGCAATCAACAATCGATCTTTCGACCGACCTGAACTGGCTTCCTGCTGACGCGTAGGTGGGCCAAGTTTGTTACCGCGCGAGCCTCGTCCGTGATGTCCTATATTTCACCTCCAAGCCATCAGCTGAGCTCGCGATTCGTTATTTAAAAGGGGCTCCAGCGCCGTGGTAACAATAATAATTATGCAACAATCAATGACAACAAAATAACTGTATTCGTAAAAGTCTCAAGCATCTGACAGTTTTCTGCCGAAATGCGCCATGTACTTTCGTTGATTTAGAAAAAATTGTAATTTCATAAATTAAAAAATTTGTATCTTCAATTCACAAGTCTCTAGAAAATTTTCAAAAATCCAAATTTCTACTGTTTTATATAGTTTATTAATCACGTTCGAATATACATATCGAATATCAATTTGAAAGTTTTAATATTTATCAGAAAAAATTATCCAAGCAGTTTAGTGAATTAGTCTCACATCGCGGCATCGACATTTGCACTTTTCAGCGATATTTTCGTTAATAACTTAAAAAAAGCCCATGGCTACCTATAATTTGTGACAAACCGTCTGAAAAGTTAAGGTTATATATATTAAATGTTAGTTTTCTACCGCGTAACTACTTCATTAAGTAAATAATTCATTACGTAAATACTCCGAATATTATATTAATCTCTTCAGTTTTAAATTTTTTTTTAAATCTTACAGTCATCCGCCATTTTTATTAACTAAAGAAATAATGAATAGCTGAGCTACCTACAATAAGTTTAAAACTGAATAAGAATAATGTAATATTGTCGGTAAGCGCCAATAACCCTATGTATTTTAAGATGAAATATCTAAAAAATTTTCACAGCTACAAGATAAATAATGATATTGGATTCAGCATATTTTGATCTGTAAAAATGACGATGAAAATATCATAGATAATCTCTGATCTTTCCACGCTGGAGCCCCGTTAAAAAGACAAAGTCCATTATATCTTATTTTTCGTATTAGTATGTTTTCCATTTCCGTTATGACTTTTGAAATTAGAATTTATCGTTCGACAATTTTGCTTTCATACTTGTGGAAAAATAAGCTAATTAGTTAGAAATCTTTACTGAGAAAAATAGCTATTGAAAACAGAAATGTAAAATCAAATCAATCAGCTCAAACCCATCTCCAAATAGAAGTTACATCGGAATTAACAACAAAAATATCCCTCGAATAATGCGTTCGAATCACTTGGACATCGCCTCTCATATCCGATATGCATAGATGTTTGACTAAAAGATAACAATGGTTGAAGCTTCAAGTAGCGCGGGTGTCTTTCTCTTTCCTGTGTCGTTGCTCTTACGTAATGCAAAAATCGAGTGTGTTGAGCTATATTTTGAGAGCTTGAAATTTGGCCGCTGCTTTGTCTCTCCCTCTCTCTCTCTCTCTCTCTCTTTCTCTCTCTCTCGTTAGATTGCCACCGTGCGACACACGTGCAGCCAGTTCAAATGAATGAATGAAAATTTTGGTTCTGCGCTGTTTTGCAGACGCCCGAAGCTGCACGACATGCGACAAGGTATTGGCTGAGCTGGAAAAGATCGACGACGACACGGACACCTTTGGCGTGGACTTTGTCAAGATCAACGACAAACGACTGGCCAAGCAGTATGGCATCAAGACCTTCCCCGCGCTCACCTACTTCCGCGAGAGGGAGCCGATCATCTTCGAGGGTGAGTAAGCGATGTAGTTGGTTCAGTCAGCAAACATATTTTCTTGGACCTCAGCCCGAGCGCTCTGACCTTGCCGCTGTCGAGTCAGCGCGGTTTTGCTCGAAATTCACGACAATGATGATGACGATTAACAGGTGACCTGATGGACGAGGAAAGTGTACTCGAGTTCCTCACCAGCCTCGAGGCAATGGACTTGCCTGACCGGATCGAAGAGGTTAACGCCAAAAGTTTACAGAAGAACATCGAGGAGAGCGACTTTGTTGCCGTTCTCTTCTGTAAGTCCAGACCCGTCAATTTTCACTTTACAATAATCCACCTTGTATATATCAAAAGTAATACAATTTTTTTATACTCACACCCTAATGTTTTGCCGGCGTCAGTGTCTCTCACGAAATCGCTTCTCACTATTGTAAATATATTGTCTTATTTGTAATGAACGCAACGATTATACTCACATGGCTCACACTCAAGAAAAAACATCAGAAATTACAAATACGTGTGTACCTAGCGAGAGATGAGTTACTCATATTTCAACGTACAGCATCGTGCCAGCAAATTAATTGTGTAATATTGCGTTCATTATATACCTCGTGTCTTTCACCTAATCCTCATCTTCCTACCTGTTTTTCTTCCTAATTTCTACCACTATTTATCAAAAGATTAACAAAGAAATGAAAAAAGGAAGTTAAGATCCCAACCGCCTAGGAACGACATTTTTAGTCTGTTGGGATTGCAAAAACTTGTTGTAAATAGCGTTTATAACATAACAAGCGACACGGTCGTTAATTGTAAATAATATACATACATGTGAACTGTTTTTCTGTGTGCGCCAATGTGGGTGTCAGGTCCGGGAGCTGATAAATGCACTGGCAGCGACTTTAGTAAGTATATAACATGTAACGTTATTAACGTATTGGTAGAAGCATCTCTTCTCACAATTTACCAACAAAATACACAAACATACTCCACCAGGAGGTACATCCCATCAATCTCTATAACAGTCACAACAAGCGACGCTTGGTTTTTTTACAAATATAAAGCTTGATTGCAACGTATGTCATATAAGGCCACTGCTGCCCTATGCCAAAAAAGTATTTTATACCAATAATGTAGAAAGATTAATAGCACCTGCTGTATAACGTATCGCGAGGATGAAACTCGTATTATTTATTTCACGATGGATGCTACGCTTCTGTATGCTGAAGATATTTTTCATTTTCGTCTTAACCTACACTTGTTGGAGCAACTAACTCTTGTTTTTTTTTCAGCTGAATATTATAGATTTTAAGAGCTTACTTTAGCGTTTATTATTAAGGATCATGAAAAGTAGAAAGGTTGAAATTTAAGTTGTGGTAGCTATTATATTTTGAAGTATTTGAGTTTAATTGTATCAATTGACTACTATTGAAATGTAATCATTTTTCTTCTAAGCAGTAGATCGACTTTTTGATGAATTTTGTTCGCTTATATTTCTGATCTCAAATATTATTGGGAATCAGTTAGATTTTGTATAAAACTCACACTAATTGAGTGCCTAGTGGAACAAAATTTTCATTTGCTTTGATAAATTGAATATGTACAAATATAGTGACAATGATATATTGCGAATTTTTCATTTGAAATGGGATAGACAAGCCGGAATGCAAAAAGTGTGCCAAAGCTCTCCAAGAACTGGAGAATATCGACGACGAGGCCGATCAACTTGGCATCGGATTCGTTAAGATCGCTGACGAACGACTCGCCGAGGAGTACAATCTCGGACCACTTCCCGTTCTGGTGTACTATAGGCATCAAATTCCCATCGTTTACGAAGGTAATTATAATGTCAAATATATTCTCTAAACATTTTCGAATAATCAATTTGCAAGCTTACATTTGACTTCCTTCAGGCGAACTGAGCAGAGAAGAGGATGTACTCGAATGGCTGGTAGCGAACAAAAGCACAGGTGATGAGGAGGATGTGATTGAAGATGTGACTGTAAAAACCCTCCATACTCTGATCGGCAACATCGACAATCTGGTTGTTCTCTTCTGTTCGTATTCAAGGTTTTTTATTCACGTACCTCATACAATCGTTTTTACCTTTTTTTTAAATTAATATCCGTATTATTTCGCTTCATAAAAAAATTTCAAATTAAAAAAGTAACGATATGCTTTTGCGACTAATTGTATTATTTTATGTTTGCAGACGATCATGGCGATGAGGATTCGATGCAAGTATTGACAGAGCTGGAAAAAATAGACGACGACTGTGATAAACATGGAATTCAATTTGTTAAGATCGATGACAATAAAGCTGCCAAGGAGTTTGGCATAGATTCCATCCCTTCAATCGTCTATTTTGAAAAACAAATCCCAAACGTTTACGACAGTAAGTTCATAAGCATTTTTTAAAACTGTGGTAATGAAGAAATGATCAAATTTGTATTTCTGAATTCAGAAGACCTCCAGAACGAAGATGAAATATTGGAATGGTTACTTTCACAACTAGAAAAAGACGAAATCGAAGATGTTACGGATGAAATGTTGGATCGATTGGTAAAAGAAGGCAAAACTCTGGCTGTACTTTTCTGTAAGATTATCCCTTTCAAACAGTTTTATTTTTTTGAATAACATAAATATGATTCCTTGTATACAGATGACAACAACGATCGTAAATCGCAAAAGGTGCTGAATGAACTCGAAAACATTGACGATGAATGTGATACTTTGGGAGTCATTTTCGTAAAGATCGATAATCCAGACGAAGCTAAGGAATATGGAATCGATAAAATGCCAAGTTTGTTGTACTTTGAAAAGGGTATACCAACACTATATGAAGGTAATCTTGAGGATGAAGAGAAAGTGTTAAAATGGCTCGAACACCAACAGAAAAGTGATCATATTGAAGACATTACCGATGAAATGTTGGACATGGTAATTGACAAAATGCCACACGTCGCCGTCTTATTTTGTAAGTTTGTCTAGATTATTAAAAATTTTAATTATATTAATAAAACAATTTCTTGGTACAAAATTTATTTAATTTACAGATGATAAAGACCAGAAAAAGAGCATGAAAGTTTTGGACGAACTCGAAAACGTTGATGATGATTGTGACGAGCATAACATCGCCTTCGTCAAAATCGATGATGCTGAAGAAGCTAAGGAATACGGAATAGATGAACTGCCTACTTTAGTATTTTTCGAAAAAAAAATACCACATGTTTACGATGGTCAGTAATTCTATTTTTATTTTTTAAAGATATTATTTTGAATAATGGAAATACATATTTTGCGCTTCTTTAACAGGGGATTTGATGAATGAGGATCAGCTCTTAGGTTGGCTTTTACACCAAAAAAAGCACAGCGAAATTCCAGAAGTTACGGACGAAATGATGGAAAAACTCATTGAAAATACACCTTATCTAGCAGTTCTATTCTGTTAGTTCATCCTAAATCTTACTAAATGGTTATATTCATATTTTTTTATAATCATTTGATTGACTTAATTCATTGCAGATGATAAAGATGATAAACAAGACATGCGAATACTTAATGAATTAGAGAATATCGATGATGACCTTGAAAAAGAAGAAATAGTAATTGTTCGTATGGACAACGATGCCGAAGCCAAAGAATTCGGAATTGACCACCTTCCAACTTTGGTCTATTTTGAAGATAAAATTCCTGCAATATATGAAGGTGATCTTCTCAATGAAGATGAAGTACTTAAGTGGCTTATTGAACAGAAAAATTCAGCCACAATAGAAGAGGTTACCGATGAAATCCTTGCTGATCTCATTGACGAGCATGAATATGTGGTAGTGTACTTCAGTGAGTGTACCAATTATACTCTTTCATTTGTATACGTACATGAAAGGTTTTACTGATATGCTGATATAACTTAATTTGTTAGGTGGAAACTGTGATGATGGAGATGAATGTGATAATGTTTTAAAAGAACTGGAAAATATCGACGATGAACTAGATGAAACTGGTATAATATTTGTGACGACAGAAGACACTGGAGTAGCTAAGAAACACGGAATAAAAAATTTACCAACACTAGCTTTCTTCCGTAATAAGGAACCATTGATTTTCAAAGGTGATATCGAAGATGAAGATGAGGTTCTGTCTTGGTTAACTGATGAAAATACGCTTGAAATTCCGGGAAAAATAGAAGAGGTCAATGCCAAAATGTTGGAAAATATTCTTGATGAAAATGATTACGTTGTTGTTTTCTTCTGTAAGTTTATACGAAAAATTAACTACACAATAAGTTTAAAGAGTTATTGAAATAATATTACCTTTAAATTTATAGATAAGGAAGGTGATAAAAAAAGTCAGAAAATTCTCCAAGAGCTCGAGAATATTGATGACGAATGCGAAGAGAAGGGCGTCGATTTTGTAAAAATTTCTGATGAAGGAATTGTAAAAGAATATGATCTACCAAGCCTACCAGCACTTGCCTTTTACAGGCACAAATTCCGTCAAATTTACACGGGCGATATGATGCATGAAGAACAAATTTTGGATTGGGTATTAGATCTGCGTACATCCACTCCAGATGTCATTGAAAGCGTTGATCGGAAAACACTTCAAGTCCTCATCAATGATGTAGAACATTTAGCCGTATTTTTTTGTAAGAAAAAAGATATTCAATATTTTTAAATCTTATAAGCTAATTGTATGATAATGGTTAAATTCTCTGATTTATTAGACGATGATGATTGTGAATCTTGTAAAGAGATTCTGGAAGAACTTGAAACCATCGATGACGATACCGATAAACATGGCATTCAGTTTGTCAAATCGAAGGATGCAAAACTAGCAGCTGAAATTGGCATATTCTCCTTCCCAGCGCTCGTTTATTACGAAACGGGAGTGCCTATCATGTACGACGGTAAGTTTGGTTTGATGCTTGCACCATCCCAAATCATGTCCTCATTGAAATTTGATACGATGAATATTATTATTAAATTATGATTTATAAACATTTTAGTTTATAAAATTTGGAGTTATGTAAAAAAATAATTAATTTTGTGTTGTAAAATCGAATCCTAGAGAAATTATTTCTGCATACGAACTTGCATTAAATGTATTGAAGAAATTACTTAAAAAATGAAAAATATTGTATGCACAATTATAAGTCAGAAAAAGCTACGAGCTGAAGGCATGATTGTCAAAAAATCCTGATTGTGCTATGTATAACTTTTATAGGTAATCTTAAACAGGAAGACGAAGTTCTGGAATGGCTAATCGAACAGAAAAGTAAGGAGATTTCTAGAATGATGATTATAATAACTGGTGTACTGTTCGTTGTAACTCTAATCTCGGTTGTAACGATACCGCCAGATTACAATTATCAGACACAGGCGATCGTTATAACGCCAGTAACGTTGCCACCTCCGCGCGCACCTTAGCCGCGTTATGATATCTAATGATATTTTGACTAAAATTATTAAATAATGCATTCAACAAAACATTGTACAAGAATCAAAGGTTAAGGAAGGTTCTAATTCGCGCAGACGTGTTATTATTCTCAGGAATCATTAAGATTTTATACGTTAAGTTTTTATGGAACAATTAGCTATGTAAGCTAGCTCTTTCCGTGAATTTTATTGTTCAAAACATCTACGCAGGTGCCTTGAATATTCTAATAATATTGCATTTCATAGTGATACTAAGAATACAAGCATTTTCCATGAAACGAGCTTAAATCTAATTGAAACAATTTTTCAAACGTTTTTAAAAGACATCTTCAGAATAACGCAGCTTTGCTTAGTTAACTTTAACATAAACCTCTTCAACTTTTTGAAGTGTTAAGTCCTTTATCTGTTTCTTTAATTAAGTTCTATGACAGTTTTTTGCTCTTTCTATTTTGATCTCTTTCTTCTCTCATATCTTATCCCTCTATTAATTTTCCATATATGTACTTATGATTGATCTTATTATTGATTTGTCACACTGTATTGAATTTTACACATACAAGGATAACAAAATCTAAATTATTGTAATCATAATTTGAAATTTAAGTATGGAAATACTTTACGCAAAGAAAAATCCGTCTATGAATTCGATACATCACAAATACACTAAATAGGCATTTAAATTTTTGATACGGGTCAATCTTACTTGAACATTCGTACTGTTCATACGCAGGTAATGATAATGACGATGATGATGATGATGATGATGATGATGATGATGATGATGGTGATGATAATGACGACGATGACGATGACGATGACGACGATGATAACGCTCGTACTCGTAAATTCCGTACGATCTCAAAAAGTAAAAAAACGGTCTCAAAAAGTAAAAAAGTTGAACGTGGTTACATCTCTAAGAAGAAAGATGAAGATGATGACGATGAAGATGATGACGACGAAGATGATGATGAAGATGATGATGAAAATGATGATGAGGATGATGAGGATGATGATGAGGACGACGATGATGATAAAGATGATGAATGTAATGGGGATGATGATAATGATGATGACGACGATGAAGACAACGACGATAACGATGAGGAAGATGACGACGACGACGATGCACCAGAATCTAGCAGTAGAGCAATAAAGCAATTCGTGGGCAAAGGTAAAGCTAGAATGCGCTTTCGACAGGCAAGACAAACTGAAGCATGACGAATACTTTATTCGAATGAAATATTGACGAAGAGACTCATCTTTATTTTTATATTATATTTTTTGAGACCGAAAAAGATTATGATCGAATAAAATTGACAGTAGATCAGCGTCTGGCGTATATATGCGTATTCACACATAATTAGCAAACGTAGAAATGTATAAAAACTTGCCAGACGAAATGCGTGTGATCTTATATACTGTGTAAAAGAATACATTTAATAGTTTGAAGTAGCGCTAGGCAAACGGTTAAAAGAGAACTTAGCTCTGTAACGAGAGAAAATCGAGAACATTTGCACGAAGTGGGTTTGTTTATCCCTACCTAATGTATCATCTAATGTGCATCAATTTTGATATTATCTGTATCTACTACAAACGTGATTCACCATGTATCTAATGTTTTACTTGCATGTAATACATATTATACATCACGTTTTGAAGCCCTCAAAAAGGATTGTATTCGAATGCTCTAAAAATTGCAAAATTATCTTCGAGCGAGCTGATGGATTTCACGTTTATCGCATCATTTATTAATGTTATTATTACAGCCTGTCGCCTGTAGTTAGCTTCACGTCTGATAACGATTCAGAATCAGTCTTTCAAGAGTTACTTTTAAAAACTTCTTACAAATCGTTAGTGTTACATTCGTCATCAAACACATGAACATTGAAAAATTCTAACACGTTTTGTTTTCTTCCATCATTTTATTAAAAAAAATGATCTAAAGCATTTAATTTGATTTATTTATTGAGAGTATCAGGAAGTTATAATTTAGACATTTTTGACGACGTCAAACGAACTTTTTATTTTTTATTTTTTATTTTCATGTTATATTTTCACACTTCATGCAAGTTGACTCAGCTGTTTCGGTCATAGTATTTTCTTTCGTGTTTTTTGAGCACTTAATGTCGAAAGCTTAACATATACTCTATGAGAGATTCATCGACTTGCTGGAAGCTCACGTCAATCGCGCACTCACGCCATTTTTGAACGCAATTTTTTACTGCACCTATGATCGCGGCATTGAACAGATTGCACGTTACGCTTTTGCTGCTCGCGTTTATTGGTATGGTAGTGAAGCGTCTATGCATCTGATGAAGTTTTTCTTCTAGCCACTAACACTTTCATCATTCTGTCCACTCTGTCATTTCTTTCTTCACTCATTATTATGATTTTTTTTTATTCATTTATTCGGTGAAGACGCTATTTTTATTGATACACTGATAATTCATTCAAAGCTTAGCAAATTTTTCGAATGAAACATTGCTATCGAGCAATTATAGCAGTTTGATAAGTCTTTAGTGAAGCGCAAGTCTAATCTATCAGTGTCGATAAAAAAAGCGATGAATTGAGACAAAAAGAGCAGCCACGTAAAGAGCAAAGTGGAACAGCTAGACACGATTTTTTTGTCTATCATGTAGAATCAAACTGTCTCTATTTCTCTCTCTCTCTCTCTCTCTATCTCATCTCACTCGTAATTTGAAGCAAAGATTTATAAGCAAATTAATCTCCATGAATTGATCAATCGTGTATATTTGCTTACTACAGGCGACGGCTGTTTCTACATCGGGATGGGAGCTAAAAGCGCGAAACCCACGATACCCTCGTATGAGCCTTACCAGTGCTGCCCGTCAAAGGTAAGCCACGGCACGAAGGTGGCCAAAGCCAGCCCCTTTAAATCCAAGGCAACAAAGACGACACCAGCTCCCAAGAGTCACGACGTCAAGTCCAAGAGGCCGAAACTTAGCTCGTCACCGTCGACTGCAGCATCCAGCCTCAAGCCTATTAACAAGCTGTCAGCCAAGGACAGCCGCAAAACCCTTCAGCCACCACCCAGCAAGAAGGACGACAAAACCAAGAAAGACACTGCCAAGCCAAAGAAAGGATTTTTTGGAAGCGGTAACTATCATGGCTAATCAAACAAACAAAACAAAAGAAACAAACATGGCAAAAAAAAAGAACAGTAAAACAAATCGTTTCACTTTTTTTTAATGCTGTTTGTAATGAGCAAAGACTTTTTAGATTTACGAGACTGCTCTGTCTGTTGTTCCATTTCACTGATACTTGTAATCAACTTGATCCAGCTTGTGTCGATGTGTTATCGTGACAGTTGTTGAACGATCGACGATAAACAAAGTAACGGCTATAGCTGCGATCGTGCGCTCCGATCAAACGAGCGCTCTTCTTGACGACTGAAGCTAAAGTTTGACTGAGGACGGATTTTATGAGAGTACAAACGAAATACCAAAAAAAACAAATAATAAATAAAATAAAATAAAGACTTTTGTTGGGACGAACAAGAATCAGAACTGCTTGTTAGAAAGTTAAGTTTCAATCGCTGGCGGAGAGAGAGAAAGATGTATCCTCGGCTTTTCCAGTGGTTGCCGGCCTACCGAACTTCATGAAGGTGTAGAGACTGCACTGGCCACAATGACGAAGCCGCCGCCGCAGCCGATCACGAACACACCACATCAACATCACTCTAGTCAACACCTTGATCAATTTTTTTTTTGTCTCGTTCTTCTCTCGCGCGAGCCTGTGGGGGACGCCCGTGTGTTTTTACGCACTTTAATTCTATCTTCCGTTTTCATTGTCTCTTTTACTCCTCTGCAATACTCGCGCTTCGCGAACACGCGCAAAGTTTGCTAATCTCGGAGAGCACAGAATAATTCCTACTTGAAAAACTTTCTCTTAAAACTAACTAATTTCCCGCGAGAGCGAGGTACTGTAATTTTATTTTGTATGGATCGCGTTTCTACTTATAATCACCGAGCGCCGTTATTCGTCAACAAACAAAAAAGAAACAAAAAAGAAACAAAACAGAAAAAAAAAGAAACTTGTCTTTGTATCTTTTTAACACTGCTGAGCGGATTTTACAAGCTTTGTTAATTACGACGTTCCCGCGCGAGTGTAATGTCGTTCACACACACCCACACCCACACACCCACCCACCCACCCACACACACACACACACACACACACACACACACACACACACACGTTCGATATATATCAAAAATTTTATTTTATGTATAACGTTTTCGATGTAACATTTCACTTTTTCTTCTTTTTCTATACTCGATATACGACATTCATCCGTCATGATGCATTTTTTGTTTTTTTTTCTTCGTTTCGTTTCCGTTATCACGAGAGTCCGTTCTAGATTTTATTACATGTCGAAAATGAACATATAGTTTTCACGTTGAGTTGAGGCTCCCCTTGCCGCCTTCCTTGTGTACGATGATGAATATCGACGATTTTTTTGTCTAATCTTATAATTAATTTTCTAGCTGATCTGTTGCCCACTACTAATCCTCTTTTTTCATCAAACACTGCGTTTCACTTTCTGCCATTCACTCTTTTCTCTATCTCACCTATCGAACTTAATCCTTTTTCTAAGAAAAAAATAATGAAGAAAAGTGCAAAAGCACCAAAAAAATGCAGATATGAAGAAAAAAATCGATCGATTCATTACTCGTTAATTGTTGAGACGTAAACTCGTCAGATAATAGACGAGTTACAGTTTATATATTTTACGAATTGTTGAGCGTAGCTTATAATTTTATCTTTGTTGTTATCATATACAGTGAGAGGATGAATGGAATCGATTTTGCGAAGTGCGTTGTCTTCCATTGCCGGAAATCGACTATCATTTGCGTGTGTACATGTCTTATTATGGAGTGCGCACTGAATAGATTGTAATAATTAATTTTTAAGCATTTTACTTGAGCTCGTGTGTTTCGCGGGAAGCGGAAGGAACAACAAACCTGAACAAATGATAAACTACACCGAAACTGATCGAATGAAAACACTTGTTTAGTAGACCTAGTTGAAAACGAAGTGCCAAAGAGATATACTCAAATCGTGCCATATTTGACGCGAACCTCGACTGAAACATGTAAACTCAAAGATCGAAAATACGGCAATAAAGAAGCAACTTTCCTAGTACAAATGTCTGGCTTTTTTCAATTTTCTCCATGAAATAAGCTAACGATAGTCAAGAAATCGTGTTCTACGATCAAAAATAAATAAGCAAACAAATAAAATAAAAAATGAAATCGACCGTCGTGGAGAAGATAATCTGTGATAAGAAACTCCATCATTATTTTCAGCTCTGAATTTCGAAAAGCCATTTCAGAACTCCAAACGTCTTCGTTTGCCATCAGAGAGATAAGTCTTTTGGAAAGAAAGAGAAAGCTAATGCTCAAAGTTTGAAAAGCAATAATGCGTGGTATGTTCTTAATCTCAGGTAATCTTCTCGACGAGGCTGAAGTATTGGACTGGATGGTGAGGCAGAAAAATGACGAGAGTATCGAAGAAATCGACCGTGATACTCTCAACAAGTACATCGAAACAAAGGAATTCCTCGCTGTTGTTTTTTGTAAGGAAGACGCCATTTATTGCAATTTTTGCACAAACAATTTTTCACTGGTTTCATCATTTTTTTTTGGATCGCATTGTCCGAGCATTAGTTTCTTAGCTTTTTTTTTTATATACGGAGAAAAAGTTTTCAAGTATTTGCAAAACTTAAGAAATTACTGTTACACTGTCATGTCGGACGAGTAGACAAGGACGAAGACCCGGAAAGTCCGCGGGTCTTACGACACATCGAGTTGATCGACGACGAGGCATCCGAGTACGGCATCAAAATTGTAAAAATGAGCGACCGACTAATGGCGAAGAAGTACGGATTCCGAAATCCACCGGGAATCACGTATTTCCGCAAGGGTAAGTACATCAATTACGACGGCGACATCGACGACGAAGAAGAGATACTCGACTGGCTGACCAACCCCGAGAACATGGAGCTTAACGATCACATCGAGCGAGTGAACCGCAAGATGTTCCAAAAGATCAGGCAGAACTCCGACTACGTAGCTGTATTCTTCTGTGAGTATCTCTGCTCGAATTTCAGATCCCGCGGAATGGGTTTTACCATGAAATTCGTTCAGATAGCAACGACTGCAAGCAATGCAGCCGTGTCCTGAGTGAGATCGAGCACATTGACGACGAAGCTGATGGCGCTGGAATCAATTTCGTCAAGATCGACGACAAGCAGTTGGCTAAAGAATACGGGGTGTTCGCTCTGCCTGCCATTCTCTTTTTCAAAATGGGCTCGAAGGAACCAGTTATTTATGCAAGTACGATATCTAGTTCAAGAACACATTCCGTGGCAATATCCAATGAAAAACTGTCTTTTAAATGGACGTAGGCGACTTGTATGACGAGCAGCAGATTCTGCAATGGCTCTTGACGCAAAAGGATCCTTCGGGAGAAATGATCGAGGATCTGCACGGCGAAGAACTTCTGAATATGATAAGGGAATCTGAGTCGTTGGCTGTGTTCTTCTGTAAGTCTTATAGTCCTCGGGCTGCTGCAAGCTGCAAAGCAGGAATGTATCTCTAGCCTGCTGCGAATCTCTCTGTCTCTCTCACAAACAAAACGCAATTATGATCTTTTTGATTTCGCTCAATCCACCTTAAGCATTTATCAATTTTTACTGCTCCATTTGTTCTTTCAATATGTAATCTCATCTCTTTCGATTGACTTTCTTTGCACTATCTGGTGGTCTGGCCAACCAATTGACTTATTGTTTTCTAAACTTTATTCTTGCAAATTTAAAGTATATAACACTCGCATAATCAAAATAGCTGGTTACTCGACTGTAATTAAACGTCGAGAACGACAAATCGTACGTGACAATCAATGCCGCTTGACGCAAGTAACTGTAATTAACAATCATAACGCTGCGACTTACATATCAAAGAAAAGTATAACGTCGTTTCAGCAGGCTCGAGAATCGTGTATCTCCTCTCCCTTAATGATATAATCGGTGAAAAGCAATTTCTATGAAATTGTCGCAGGGAATAAAACGCTTTGCGATATCTGCCAATCGAAAGCATATCGCAAGCAGAGACGTCACAAACAAGAACAAAAGGCTGCTGCTGCTGCCGAAAGCGAGGAACAAGAAGAAGGAACAGTCGTTGATGGTACAAACATCGTCGTGAAAAGTCAATTTCTTTGCCCCCCTCCCCCCCTTCTTCCTTCATTAGTGAAGTTCAAATGAAATTGTTGGATAATTTGTTGAAACCCCAATACTTTATTGTTTATATACAAATATGTTTATATATGTTTACAGATATTGAAAAGTAATCTTATCCAACCTTATTATAGGTTTATTAATGGAAAGCTTGTTTAATGCTTGTGAATATTGCTTTAGCTTTGAGTGAAGTGGCTTTTTATTACGGCTTCTCGCTACTTTTTATAATGCAATGCTTCAACTTTATAGTACATAGTATCAAACAAACGCAAACTTCACGATTCGAGTACAGTTCATAAAAACTATGATGAAAATAAGTACAATACGAAATTATCCAATGTTACAATCAACATGTCAATATTCGTACACACAATATGATTAAAACTAGCTTTCTAGATAATCGGAAAAGTGTGTGTCTATTAATAAAGAAAGCGACACGGAAGTGGACTTTTTAATTGAGAAGTTGTTCCACAGATGGTGACGATTGCGACCACTGTAACGATATCTTAGAAGAGTTGGAAAACATCGACGACGACTGCGACCGACACGGCATTACATTCGTAAAAACTGAAGTAGGCTTTATTTTCAATAGTATTTGAAATCCGCCATTTGTCTAAAGTGTTTCTAAAGTCTTACGTGTTTGTAAACGCTCAGGATTTCAAAATTGCCGAGGACTACGGAGTGACGGACTTTCCAGTATTGGTGTACTACGAAAATCAAATACCAAACGTATTCGAGGGCAACCTTGCCGAAGAAGAAGAGGTGCTGCAATGGCTGATAACGCAAAAGACGGAGGATCGCATCGAGTTGATAACTCGCACAATGCTCGAGTCCTTCGTGGAAGATACGCAATACTTGGCCGTGTATTTTTGTAAGTTTGGAAAGGCTGTTCGCGCGAGACTTGTTCGGGCGGAAACTCACCGCTTGGCCGTTGATTTGCAGACAAGCAGAACTGCTTCATTTGCGACGAGATCCTCGAGGGTCTGGAGAAAATTGACGACGAGTGCGACGTATTCGGAATTCATTTAGTGAAAATCCAGGACATACAATTGGCTAAGCGATATTCCATTAAAACGTTCCCTGCCCTGGTGTACTTTAGAAACGGCAATCCGTTATTGTTCGAAGGTAGCGCAGCGTTGTCATCGTCTATTATGGTTTATCGATGAGTTGATCCGAGTAACAGGCTGAAATTGTTGAAATCAGGCGATCTGCAGAACGAGGAGTCAGTGCTGGAGTGGCTGATAGACGACGACAACCGCGAGCTGGCGGACGAAATCGAGTCGGTGAACGGAAGGATGCTGGAGAGGCTGCTCGACGAGTCGCCCTTCCTCGCGGTCTTTTTCTGTAGGTGCCGGGCTCGGTAAGCCAGGCCGGCCGAATGGCTCGGATTAACGAATCATTTGCGCAGTAGACGACGAAGACTGCCCCGAGTGCGACGACATCATGGAGGCCCTGGAGAAGATCGACGGAGAAGCCGACCTCTACGGCATCGACTTCGTCAAAGTGTCGGATGCCGGGGCAGCCGAGAAGTACGGCATACTCAACGTGCCTTCGCTGGTCTACTTCCGGAAGAAGGTGCCGCTCGCCTACGACGGCGACCTGACGCAAGAGGACAAGGTGCTGCAGTGGCTCACGTCGCAGGACGTGTTCGAGATCAAGAACGAGATCGAGGAGGTGAATAAGAAGATGCTGGACAAGCTGCTGGACGAGAACGAGTTCCTGGCCGTGTTCTTCTGTAAGCGAGCGGCGAGCGGCGAGCGGCGAGCGGTGGCCGAGCGAGGTTGCGTTCGCGGCTGAACTGCGCGCGTGTGTGCTTGCAGACGAGCCGGGCGCCAGGGAGAGCGAGGACGTGAACGAGAGGCTGGAGAACATCGACGGCGAGACCGACAACCTCGATATAACCTTCGTGAAGATGGCAGACCCGCGGTACGCGCGCAAGTGGGGCGTGACCAAGCTGCCGGCGATAGTCTACTTCCGCAAGCGCTTCCCCAGCATATACCGAGGTGAGCGAAACGGCGCGACGGCGCGACGGCGCGGCCCAGGCCCGAGCCGAGCACTCTCTCGAGCGTGTCTGCTGCTTGCTTTCAGGCGACCTCACCAGGGAGAACGACGTGCTGGAGTGGCTGCGCAAGAACCGCTTCCGCCAGCCGGAGCTCAACATCTACATGTACATGCTGATCGCGGTGGCCTTGCTCTTCGCCATGTACACGGGCTTCCTGCTGTCGTGCTTCCGCTCGGAGCCGCCGCCGGCCGCGCCTCATCCCAAGCAGGCGTGAGGGCGCCGCGACTCGACTCCGTTTGCTCGATGTCGCCTCGTCGCTGCATGTACATACGCTGCTGCTGCCGCTGTTGCTGCCTTGGTCGACCGAGCCGAGCATAGCCATTTGCAAGATCGTTCTTTCTCCTCTTTCGCCAAATCCTAGACGCGCTGCGTGAGTCCTCTGGTTCGCTTGTGACACGCCTGTTATCTTGACTGGACGTGGATAATGAGCATTTACGCGCAATGCCATCCGATTGCCAGTACGATCGTGAACAAGGTAGGATTTTAGTATCGCTAGACGAGTGCGGCTAGGGCCGAACAGACCTTCCATCGACAACCAAACTCTACTTTTCCAACGCGAAATCTTACGGAAAGAAATGCGAAAATTGGGCGCAATGTAAATACGTTTGAAATGCGCGCTTCTATGTCAGTCAAGAGATTTTTGGGACCAGCGCATTGGCCTATAGTTCATTGAATGTCAGTCTTGCCGAAGCACACCGTGGGATATGTAATCGTGGAGTCAGTATATTTTCAACAAATTCATCACCTTATCGTGTCCAAGGCGTTATATTTTACTTGAAACTTCAGTTACTGTGTAATCGACTGCGTTATACCGTGTAATTGCGATATATTTCAGTGAAAACAATTTCTTCGGGTAAACAGAGATTTTATACACGGACGCTCGCATAAAATAATTGTTATTGTTATATGTATTCGATAGCCAAAGCGCGTAAAACCGATCTAGCTGAAGGAAAAAAGAATTCACCATTTTATACATATATGTTAAGCCTTATTATTCATGTTATGTTGATTTCCAATGAAATTCGTTTTTCTTTCTCATTGCATTGCGGATATCGTTGTAAGCATATCGTTTAGAGAATAAAGTGTACGTTCTGTTAGTTACTAGTGAAATATTCACCATGTATTCTATATGGAGAGAAATACCCTGGTAAAAGTGACAATATTCTAGTTTCTACGAATTTCGTCAACATTGTCAGTCAGGAATCGTTCGTTCGACCTGCAGTCCGAAAATATTACAATACAATGTTTATTCCATGAAAAAAAAACTCATTGTAATCCATTTTTCAAAATAAAGCCATTTCTGATCCTTTTGAAACACAGAGATCTTATGAATTTCAGAAACAAATATTTATCTACCTTTTTTGAGTTATATTTATTTCATATATACATAACTCCCTGCATAAATTGAATTTGACCATTGTAAATATTGCCGAAACTCCAAATATTCTATAGAAATAAATCTATTGATAATTGAGATAAACTCTACCTTTTATGTGTACGTACTGCATTTTATATTTTTCTTTAAAACGTTTATCCTCGGAGAAATGTTTTAGTTTTCATCACATTTACTTTATACTATTAATATATTTACACTGTATATAAAATTAATTTCAATAGAAGTACTTAAGTCTATTTTTTACGGATATTGAGCGATTAACAAATTTTTTCTGACACTGGCAGTATTTCACACAATTCAAATTTTCGCGTCAAGTACTTGTTAAATCAAACTCATCATAACCTCAAACAATAAATATATATATATATGTATATATATGTATGTGTATTTTGTTGTTCTAACTAGACAACACCCAACTAAGATTAATCTCAGCTAAAATAAGTGACAGTAATAAAAATTACATGTATCTATTAATTTTATTCACGGAAATAAAGAACATTTGTAAAAATGTCAGTTATGCTAACGGCGGATTGGTTTCCGCTAGGTCGAGACACTTATTTTAGGTATGATAAAATTACACTTCATCAATTGACAAGTTTACAGATTCACTACAAATTTCTCATTATTTAGAAAATTTGAGATATATCCACTATCCTTCAATTATGAAACCAGTGCAGACAATTTGGTTGTTGCTGCTCCTTATGGTGGTTCAATTGCTATCACTCGAAATCCAAAGAAATTTGTCAAAATACAAGGCTCGGCTAAAACTCTCATTTCTCTTTATTCGTCATCTGGAAATTTGATGGCAAGAATGCATGTAGGTTTATTAATGTTTTAAAAACATTAATAGTAACTTAATCTAATTATGTTCCTTTATTATCCAAATTATTAGTGGAATAGTGGACAATTAGTTTCAATGGGATGGTCACATCAAGAAGAGCTACTTTGTGTACAAGAAGATGGAATGGTTTTAATTTATGATATGTTTGGAAATTACCAACATACTTTTAGCATGGGAGATGTAATTATAACATTTTAATATTCTGAGTTTCTTAAATAGATCATTTATGTTTGATTTTATTCATTTAGGAAGTGAAAGAAACAAAAGTTATAGAAGCCAAATTTTTCCCAAGTATAAATGGTACAGGTTTAGCTGTTCTGACATCAGCTAATCGTATTTTTCTTGTTAACAATGTAGTAGAACCTAAAGTGAGAAAATTTACAGATGTACCAAGTAGGTCACACGTTCATTACTTAAAAAACTTATGATACATATTGTTCTATAAATAATTTATTGTTTCATTAGAAGTTGGTGGAATAGATAGTTGGTGCATAGTACGTCAGGAACGTGATTCTCAAGTAGTACTAGCAAATCAAGATGGGATTCATTTGCTTCATCATTCCTATCAAACACCAATTTCTTTGCCATTTGTACGTATTAAGGTGTTTTTAATTTTACATAGATTTTCAAAAATAAAAACTAATATATAAGTCTATTTTCAAGCATAAATTGTTCAATAATAAAGTAAATGGAGTTAGTGCAATAGCAGTCTCTGCAAACAGTCGGCATATTGCTTTATATACAGATACTGGAATGTTGTATCTTGGTTCAAGTGATTTCAAGGAGAAATATCATGAATACAACACAAATATGAAAGATTTACTCACTGATATTGCATGGTTAGCATATAACATAAATCTTGATAATGCTATTTAGCTTGTTTGAAAAACTAAATTCTTCCAATTTAAAAGGTGTGGCTCAGAAGCAGTAGTTTGCTGTTGCGATAGAATCATGATGATATTTGGATGTGTTAAAGGGGGAGAAACCATATCATTTTCTTATGATGGACCTATTCATCTAGTCACAGAAATAGATTGTGTGCGAGTTTTGTCAGCTTATTCTCACGAAATATTACAAAAAGTTCCTAATGTTGTACAAAAGATATTTAGGATTAATTCAACAGATGCTGCTTCTTATTTATTAGAAGCTTCCAAGCAGTTTCTCAGGAAAAGTCATAAAGCTGATAGCTATATTGATCTAGTAAAAGATAAATTAGATGCTGCAGTTACTGATTGCATAAACGCTGCCAGTCGTGAATTTGATTTTCAAACACAAAAACTTCTTATGAGGGTATGCGACTAAATTTCAATCCTAGTTGCATCATACACCATTGATTTGTAATTAGATATTTTCATGCGTAATTATTTTCTTCAGGCTGCCAAATTCGGTAAAGGATTTAGTAGAACAATCATTCCAGATCATTATGTAAATATGTGTAGAACGTTACGTGTTTTAAATGCTATAAGACATCCAAATATAGGAATACCTTTGACTTATGTGCAGTATGTATTTTAATTGAAATTTGAAAAATAATTATTGTATTTTTTTTATTCATTGAATAATATATTATTTTGATACAATTAGATTAAACACATTGACACATCCAGTGATGCTGGATCGGTTAGTTGCCAGAAGACATTATTATTTAGGCATTCAAATAGCAAGGCATCTTCAATTATCAGAAATCGACGGTGAAAGTAGGATACTTGCTCATTGGGCTTGTTATAAAGTGCGCCACTAATTTAGATAAGAAATTTTGTAAGATGCTTTAAAAAATAATCACTAATGTCATGTTTTTCTACAGGTAAAACAAACGGCACTCGATAAAGAACAAATTGCCGAAGAAATTGCTGACAAATTAGGATACACCCCAGGAGTATCGTATAGTGAAATTGCTATAAGAGCGGCCGATTGTGGACGCAAACAATTAGCCATTAAAGTAAATATATAGTCTTAAAAATTATTGGAATGACATAGTAAAAACAACAATGGTATTTTCAGCTGATTGACTACGAGCCAAAAGCTCAGCTGCAAGTTCCGTTGCTGTTGCGATTGGGAGAAGAACAAGCGGCCCTTAAAAAAGCTGTAGAGAGTGGGAATACAGATCTGGTTTATACAGTTATTCTTCATTTGAGAGAGCATATGCCTTTATCAGATTTTCAGGTAAGAATTTCAATTTAATACCTGTTGTGGAAATTTTACATATAATTTTACAATTTATTTTTTCAGATGTCAATTAGGCATTGCCCATTGGCCATGACTCTTTATATTAAATATTGTCACAATCATAATCGAGAAACGTTACGAGATATTCATAATCAGTATGACGACTACTATTCGCAAGCTTTATGGTTTGTCAGAGAAAGCTATCAGGTATTGAAAACAAATGTTTTATTGTATATTATATATGATTCTTTCCGAATGAAATAAAAATACTTATGTATACATTTTTAATAATACTAGAATCCATCTTCAAGAGATGCTTTATTACAATCTGCATTGGACAACTTCAAACTAGCTAAATGTGATACAAATGCTAATTTGACTGACGAACAAATCAAGCTTTTGCGATATCAACGTTCTTTAGAGGAAACTTTACATGATAATTTGATTGGAAAGCCACTACACGATACTGTTAAGATCTTACTTTTACGTAACGAAATTAAGTTAGCCGATAAATTACGATCGGAATACAAATTTCCGGATCGACGGTAAGAATTTGATTTGTATTTTCAAATATAATAAATAGAACATTTTTTTTGATACTTGGAAGATTCTAAAATATACATTAACAATAGATATTGGTGGTTACGAATTCAATGTTTGGCTGAACAACAATTATGGAGCGACTTAGAAAAGTTTTCTAAAAGTAAAAAATCTCCTATTGGATACGAGGTATGTTAATTTATCCGTAAAATCAAAGCATTAAACTGTTAAAGAATATTGTTACCTAACTAATCGTAATTTACATTCTACAGCCTTTTATTGATGAGTGCTTAAAACATAGCAACGAAATGGAAGCCAAAAAATACCTGACACGTGTGAAAGATGAATTGAAAGTAAAGTACTTGGTCAAATTGAAGTATGTAACATTGTTTAAAAATATTTAATGTAATTAATGACTTCGTTTATTACTTAAGAAACTATTAATTATAGCATGATGTTAGAGGCTGCTCAAACTGCCTTTGCTCATAAAGACTCTGCAGCTTTAACTTTTGTACTGGCAAATTGCAGCAATGATACAAGATTACAAGAGAAAGTTAATGAAATGATTGCAACTATAAGAAATTAATCAACTATATATTCAGGTAATTAAAGATCTATTAAGTAATCTGCAAATATGTAGTATAATATCTATTTTAGTTATAAAAATTTTGTTTGTGTACATATAAATAGTGCTCGTGATAAAAAGTAAATTCATATATATTTCTATGAAGACTATAAAATTGTAATAAACATTTTTCACATATTAAATATATTACCAACAATTTCAATAGTTAAAATTTTCTATCACCTTCAAAAGTTATATAATTATGTAAATTTTTCAAAAACTCATCTGTGGAATACATCATAGTATTACTATGCTATAGAGCAATATTATTATGGTTTACATTATAAATGCATAACATTTTTTATGTACTCTCTTCTGAGAGAATCCAACTTTCATGTTTTTTAACAAGATCAGAAACTATTAGGTTTTCAATCTCTTCTCCTTTGGAAATTTGTTCTTCAGTGAGTGACAAAGTAACATGATCTTTTTCACTTACCATGATTACTTGAGTTCTACGTGTTTGCAACATGTTTGCTATTACCAGCTGAAAAATTTCAAAGACCACAGAGAAGAATACATTTTTTGAACAATTGATAGAGATACTTATTATTTTTACTTTACATTATGATGATATTTTTCCAAAGCCTGTCTAGCTTTCTTTAAAATAATACTCTCATCAGTTTCAAGCTTAAATGACACAACATAAGCTTTAGGAACCCACAGATTAACAAGAGGTTTCAAAACTTTTGGTACTAGTTGTAAATGAATAGATGGAGGTCCATCTGAAGATATTTTATGTACAGACTGGAAATAAAAAGTTTTATAAAATGTAAATGTTTATTAAAATTTGTAAGCTTTTTTAAATTCTTATAATAATTTATTTTTTTACCATTTCATTTGAAGGAATATAAAAATCAGATACTGCAGCAGCCAAATACAAAATAGCTTGATTTTCCAGAGAAGCTAAAGTTTGACATGTGCTTCTTAATAACCATAAATACTCCGAAAGGGTAGTGAAACTTATTGACAGTAGCTTGTTTTGCCTCAAAGTATCTTTATATTTTTTTAAAATTGACGATACTTTATCAACTTGCTCTGGGATAACTATTTAAATAAACATTTATATTGCAAGATTTATATAAACATATAAATGTTTATATAAATATAAATATATTTATAAATATAAATTCTTCAAATCTTGTCGGACTTTTTTGAATACCTGATATTGAGAGAGTATTATTTGTAGTTGTCATTTCTAACATATCTAAACACTTATATCCTGAAAAATGTCTTGAAAAGGGCTCCACTGATTTAAGCCTAAAATAATGTAATGTAGTAACTAACTGTTTACATAAAAGTTGAAATGAATATATTTTTGTACCTATGCATAAAAATAACAGCATAACCATAATTTAGAAAATATTCAGCTGAAATTGCACCTCTTGTTCCAGCACTAAAATTATCAACAAATCGAACTGTATTATGTTCCAATGGAATTGTTGTACCACCACTCTGAACATTGAATTTAACATTATTTATTTAACTATTTGAAAAATTGAAGAAAATAATAACGTACTTACTGTTACTAATACTACTTTCACATTTTCTTTAGCATGTTTTTCTACAAAGTTTTTTAAAAGCCTTTCACTTTCATTTAGATCCGCTGGTTTTGGATTCCTGGTATAAAATTCTTCCCAATTAGATGCCATTTTTAATAATACAATTATGACAATTTTAATCAAGCCTATAAATTGATATTTTTTTAGATTCTATGTATTACATAATATTATTTTAATATTCAGAAAGTAAAGATTTCAAATCGAATGTTACAATTGATGATTATGCAATAATTAACTGTATTCACAGTTATCTTTAAATATGAAAAAGTAATTTACGAGAGAATTCTTAAAAATATTGCAATGCTAGCAACACATGTATAATTCCTACAGAATATTTACTTCTTTTAGGTTAGAACTAAAAGTCTAACATTTGTCAGTCACAAGACTGCATAAAATTTATAATCGGAAATTAACTATACGAAAATATTCGAACTAATGGCATTAATTAATGAATATTTACCAATTTTAATTATTCAATTAATTTACACCAACCATGGAGTAATTAAATTAAAAATATACAATACAATTGCTTTTAGAGGATTTCGCATTTGATAATGATTCAAATAAAATTAAAAATGATTGTTGAAATAAAAATTATACAGAAATATTTATTATTATGACTTGGATCATGTAATATTACAAGTAAGCATTTTTATTTAATTAATATTCATAACAGTTGATAAAAGCAACTTGAAAGATAAATCAATTACATTTCATTGACAGTTGTATTATCAAATCCTTTATGGTCTATGAAATATCTATTTGTCGTTTGGACTATGAGACAATTTTTAATATTTTGGAGCTGGATTTTGTGAGTAATCATGGCCACTTGGGTTCATGAACTGAAAATTAAGAAAAAAAAATAGTGAAAGTTGTGTAAAACTAAACATAAGCAGGTAAAGAAAATGGTCCTGTATATTGTAAAAAATACATATACATTTATGCATGTATATACATTCTTGTACCTTGTATTGTTTAGTTGAATATTCTTGCCATGGCTCAGGATTTTTATGCTTGTTCCATGAGACATCCGGATTTTTGGTAGCTAATCTAAGCGTGTAAACAACAGAAGCTAACATTCCCAAACCAACACAAGCAAACAAGGGAATGAGCTATGAACAATAAGAAAATGTTGAAATTACGTATCGAATTTCGCTACTGATAAAATGATTTAGTAACTAAATTTCTTACAGCAGGATGCTTTTTCAAGTCTTTAGGCGATAGTCCTTGCATAACCATCTTTGCTTTTAGATATGATATACTTTTCTTCAGCAGACAATAAACTCGACGATTTTCTGGCAGAAATCTGCACTAAAAAGGATGTAGCAGACGAGTGGATTACAATGTGAAAATATAGCTCGGTATAATGGCATAGTTTACAATGCGCGTCGAACGTTGAATTACATTTTGTATCGCCCTCAGCTGATTGGTGGGCATGCCATTGCCCTCGGTACATTTTGCTTCTTAGGCTCGTTCCACAATAAATTTAACGTAATGTTTTTTTCATAGATATCATTTTAAATATATTTGAATAATTCTTTCCATTAAATGAAAAATCTTCTTAAGCTATGAAAATAAAAAAAATATTACATACATAAAAAATAAGGTTTTGAACATTATAAATCATTAGTTCGTAATTTTTCATTCATATATTTTTTTATTTTTCGTTACAAAACTATTTCTTTTTATTCTATTTGCAAGTATTACATAAATGTATTTACATTGCTTGAATTATTATAAATTAATACACAATTTATTAAATTAACAAACTTCAAATTATTCACTATTATAATATTTACATAATAACAAATATATTTTTTAAACAAGTTAACTTCTTAAAATGTCTAGTTCTTCAGGAGTAATGTGTATTCTTAACTCCTTTTCTTGAATTAAATCTTGAATTTGTGACAAAACTTGAGGTGCTATTTCTGCAGCACAAGTGTACACATTTTTGTTCCAAGGACACTGAGAAATAGCTTCATAAAAAATTTCTTCTCCTTTTTTTGCCGATAAATTATGTTCTTGAATCAACAACATGTAGAACTTCCAAACCAATGGGCAATTTTGTAATTCTTCAAATTTAGATACAGCTGTATGAAATGAAAGCATTTTGTTGACCATTGCAGCATATCCTTCTTGAGATTCAATATTTTTCATATGAGCAATTCGGACTCTTCCAGCTAAGCAACGAGCAATAATATACCAAATATTTAAATTTTTACTTCTGATATTCATTTTCCAAAATGGTTGTTCACTTTCAAACAGAGCTTGTAAAGATATAAAGAAAAAATTATTTTGAAAGTTTTCATAAGCTTCTCTAACTGTTTCAAACAATATATTGTTATTTAGATTAACTTTATCTTTACATATTTTTAAGAATACTATTTTTATTTCTATAAATCTCTCCACTATTCTAGGGCAATCGCCACAATGAGTTATGCATCTGTCAAATAACTCTACAATATCATTTAAAGTATCAATACTGTTATTCTGTACAAGTAGCAAATAAGCATAACAAATTAATATATCACAGTTATGATTTGGTAAAAAGAAAGCATCTTCAGTTTCATCTATTGGAGAATCTTTTAAAAAGTTTAGAATTTCATTGTATAATATTTCTGTGATAGATAAATTTCTATCACAATCAAAACTGTTGGAAACATAATTTTTTAGTAAAGTAATAAATGGCTGTACATTTTTCAAAAGCAGTGGTATATCAATGTTTAGATTGAAAATAATTTCAAAAGCTGTTCTATACAAACTTATGATGGCTCCTTTTTTGTCAATATCTTGAGAACTATGGTCTTGTGATTCAAGAAGTGTTTTCAGCATTTGAATACATTCGTCATAAGAACCCAGCTCAAATTCTATCATTGCATATTCTCTATAAAAATGAAGATTTTCTCTGTTTTCAGGTTTCTTTAAAAAGCTCTTGATTGCTGATTTCAATTTTTTGTCTCTATTTGCTTCTTTAAGCGGATCATGCTTAGAAATATAAATAAGTAATCTTTCAAATCTAAGCCACCATACTAAAATACTAGTTCTTTGCAGAGGTGGAAGCTCTTGTGCTATTGTATTAAATACTAATCTAACAAATTCAAAGTAGAATTCTTGAGAAGGATGGTACTTTAGGAGTGGAGGTCCTGCAGACAGCTTGCCTTCAAGTAATTCTTTAACTACATTTAGATTACTAAATCTAGCATCTACATCACATACTCCAATTGAAGGATAAATCATTGGTAATATGAACTCCAATGAATCTGGAATCCAGTTATGTTTATCCAAATTAAAATCTCTAAACGTTGAATCTCTAGAGGGTAATAATGGTACTTTAAGACAGATTATAGAAATTATAGCTAATAGAAAATTTGAATCATTTGATATTATAGGATATATAAAATCAGCTGTTTCTTCAGCAGATACTAAACGTTTTTCATCTCCAACGAGACTAATATCAACTTTAGTAACATCAAGACCAATCCAGTGACAACATTCTCTTAGCGATTCAATTTTTAACCACAGCTGATTTGAAGGAAGTCTAGTTGATAAAATAAGTTCTTCCATGGTCATAACCGTTTTCTCGTCAAATGTTTTAATGTTCTGAAAAGATTCTTGAGGCACAGTGAGATTTAAACAGATATTTATTTTTATAATTTCCCACATTTGCTCCCAAAGTCCGGCATGTCTTAAGAGCATCAAACATTGATACAACAGTGCTAATATTTGCTTGTCATACAATTTTGAATTTAAATTTCTATTCTTTTTTAGGACAGCAAAACTTTTTTCATACAAATTTAAAACTCTTGAAATTTTGAATAAAGCACAGGAAGTTTGTATCACTGTTACAAGAGTTTCCCACAATATAATATTTTTAGGATCTTTCTGAATCATACTTTCAATTTCATTTGTATATTGGTCAGTTGGCATTAACTCTGACAAAATTTTCAGTTTCATTTTTAAAAGATCCACTGAATCATTGTTTAAAGCCAAAGCTTTTTCAACAATGGATAATTTTTTTTGTCTAACTAATTGCTGTAATTTTTCTCGTTCAGATTGAAATGGAGAGATTTGAATTGTTTGATCTTGAAATGATATGTACTCAAGCCAAGTTTGAATATCACTAGGATACTGTGTTAGCATTTGATTAAAATTTTCAATCAATAACTTTTGATTATCTAGATCTATAGAATTTAATAAATGAGTATAATTTTTTGAGCGCTCAGGTTCACTTTCAGAATCTTCATCCTCATTTTCTTTTTTCTCTTGTTTCTTTGACTTATCTGATTTTATTTTGTAGTATCTACGATAATGTATTTTTTTACCTTTCTTTCTATAAGGAAAACCAAAACCTTTATCAAAGATACTATAACTTGGTCTTATACCACGATCAAGGGTTTCCATAGTACATAACCTTTTGTTTCTTTCTTTGTCTTCAAAATAAATATCTTTCACATGAGTTTCATATTTTTTTGAACAAGTTTTTTTTTTATGTTTAGTCTTTTTATTGTGATCATACTTAACTTCAATTTTAGCAGATACATTACTTTTTTGCAAATCAGTTATGTTTTCAATTTCTTTGTTAGAATCACCAACGAAATTTTCATCTGAACTATCGGACCATACATCTTGTAAATTAGATTTTTCTAAACATTCAGATATCTGTTGAGCACTTGAATTTTTGAGCCATGGTAGTTTTTCTGTATCTTTTCCAGACTTTTCAGTATTTTGACAACTTGTTTCACTTGTATTTTTAGCAAAAGCAGCAAAAAGAGACATTTCTTTGTATTATTTTATATTCAGTAATACTGCGAAAAATTATTCTTTAAGGTTAAGTTGCCATCAACAAACCTTCAAGCATATACTACTAACAGCTACTAAAGGCAGCCTGCAGGGCTGCCGAACCGTCATCGGGTATAGAAAGAGATAGCGCGATTACTGGATAGGCTATTTCTTTCGCACCTCAGCCAATCAGCGTGTGGTGTGAGAGAGATAGCCTATCCGGTAATCGCGCTATCTCTTTCTATACCCGATGACAGTTCGGCAGCTCTGCGGGCTACCTCTATTGTATGTTCGAAGCAACAAACTCACGGGTTACACGAAAATGAAAAGCTTATGCTGCATTTCCAATTTCCATGTTAAGATTTAAGTTGTAAATATTTCAAATCAATTTTTGTTGTGAAATATTTTTGTGCAATATTATACTAGTATGATTAAAATAAAGATTTTAAAAGATCAGGTTTTGAATAAAAAATAATTCAATTATATTCTACTTATAAAAACTTAGCATATCAATCGTAATCATATTAACCAACAGAATGAGATTAATTTATACACATGTCAATCGTTAACTTTCTGGCGATTACTATCAATCAATTTACATGGGACTAACAGCATTTTTGGAATCATGCCTGGAACTCCTGTATGTCTCTGTGTATTTTGTAAAAGTTTATGTTCAGAGTGACGAATTTCAGCTTCTGATATCAATTTACATATATCCATTTTTATATCAGCCTGTGCTTTAGGAGGTAATTTTTTGACTGTCTGAGCTACATAACTAAAAAATTCATCTGTGCTTCCTTTGTAATCAAAACTACTATTGTTAATTGGTAAATGTTTAACTGTTTGAATAAGTTGTATACTCTGGGTAGTTGGTTTCTGTAATGGAATTATTGGTTGAGTGTTAATAATGATTGGAGTAAGCGTATTGACATTGTCATCTAGTTTAGCACACTTAGGCCTTATTTTTCTAAATTTTGATTGAATTTGTTTTGCATATTCGTCAATAGCTTTTTGTTGTAAGTGATGACTTTTTTTTGGAACATCTTCGACAAGTTCCACTTTGTGATGCTCTTGCGTAAAGGATTCTTCAAAATTAAGGTCCTCTTCAAGTACTTCTAGATACTCACTGTAATCTTCATCTTCCTCATTATCATTTAGTTGTTCTAAAAGATCCTGTGGATTAATAACTTCTGTATTTATATCATTAATATAATCTTCTGTTAGCTCAACTGTCTGAGCTTCATAATTAGGTTCATATGGAAATCTAAGAAAACTTAAATGGTGTTCAAACGTCCACTTTTTTCTCCTAGCACCTTTGGGTGACTTCTTTTTGTATTTTAATATTCTGCAATATGTATCCCTTAGATTTTTCCATTTTAATTTTACCCAATAAGCTAGAGTAAATAAACAAAATATAGAATATTAGTTTTGCAAATTTGACAATAGGTTATTATTAGAGTATTCAAAATATTTACTTACGATCTAAACCAAGTTCATCAGAAATTCTTTTCCAGACCTTCTGTCGAAACTCTTGCAATTTTATAGCATTTCCCTTTACTTCAGAAATATATAATACTGGATGCTGCTTTATTGCTTCAATTATTTTCAAAGAAATTGCACGGGAATCAGGGGAACTTATATCTGAGACGTTACTTGTCATCTTGGTTGATATTTTTTATATGAACTTGAAGTCAGAATAAGATAGTAATTAAACATTACGTCTTTTTATACACTATAAGTCATTATAATAAACAAAAATGGTGTTTTGTCCATTCAACATTATAACGTTGCTGATAATAAATCTGTGGATTCCCGATTTGTAACTTTACTGATGCTTAGATTGATCACATACAAATTTTGTAGATTGTAAATATTTCGCAAAATGTTTTGTTATTGAATTAGTTACACGCTGTAAACTTATTGCAAGTACTTTAAAAAGATATCTAGTGTTTTTAACGATATTCGAACTTTATGAAAATTGTTTTTTTGTGATTTGAGATTCTAGCCACGCAGCGTGTTTACCGGTGTGCGCATTTCACTTACACTACGAGAATACTTGGATTAGCTCAGCTCAGCTGTTTTCATTTACATAAGAGTCAATCCTTACGCATGCGCATATTCCGTCAATCCGTGCGTACTTCCACTTTCCAGTTCCAACTATAATATTATTAGGTCAAATACATGTATTTAGCCTTTTTGATGGACTGAAATTGCATTAATTTGTTAAAAATGGCTCATATTCCAACTGGATTGGTTTCGCATTCAAGAAAAGTTTGCAACTTTTACAAACGCGTTATACGCCACATTGAGAGTATTAACCATGAGTTGGATGAAATCAGGTTTGTGTATTTGTATTTTATCTTTTGTAAACTTTTATCAACTTAAAATGAATTACTGCCTAAACAAATAACAATATCATTTATTAACCCAAAATAATACAAAATTAAAAATTTTATTGAATTGTCATATGTTGTATGTTGTGAATAAACTAAGTCTGACAGATGAAAGAAATTTCATTTTGCTTTAATGATCTAGATATCAAGCAGTCTTAATGAGATCTCAATTTGACAAAAACAAGGATATCAAAGATTTCAGAGTAGCTAAAAAGTTATTATGCAATGGTGAAGAAGAACTTTTTCTGAAACAACATTGGCAATACAAAAAGTTCCCTGAATCACCCGGTGGAGTTGCTTATCAAAGAGAACATCCTCTCCCAGATTCTTTATTAGATTATTGGGATCCAATTGAAAAAGCTAAATATCCAAAATATTTTGCTCTTCGAGAGAAAAGAAAATTAGAATATGAAGAGTTTTATAAAAAAGAATATGAAAGGAAAACTTCATAATAAACATTGCTAGTTGTTACTGAACATCAAATATTAGCAGATTTTTAGTTGAATTTATTATTAAATATGTTATGAGTCTGCGCTAAATATATATTAAAAATTTGGTGAAACATTGTTTTATTTTCTTAACAGATTCGCCAACCTAAACATGTTTCTTGATATATAATATAATTGATTAAAATTTGTATTTGTTTTCTGCTTCTTATTCATCACTATAATCATATATATACAGATGTTATGAAAATTCGCCATCTTACTCATAATTCATTTCATGTAAACCGATCTATATAAATAGTATTTGAAGGTTATGTTCATACTATATGATACGAACATTTCGTATTTTGTTACTATGATCTGATTGAGTTTTAACTATTTCAAATATATTATTTAGCTTTATAATAATGTAACAGAAATATAAAATGAAATAATCCGAATATTTTTTAAATTATTGCTCTACTATTTTTAGTTCTATAATGAATCTAAGAGAATATCAAGAAGAAGTAAAAAAAATAAAGAATTTTGCAATTAAAAACAATGTATCTGAAGATAAAGTTAATAAAATATTTGGACAATGCTTCAAATCACTCGAAGAAAAACCTCAAACACGTGTAACAACTGTTTTAAAGTTCTTAAAAATTTTTGTAGCAATTTTTTTAATTGTTATTTTAAGTAGTTTAGTTTTGTATAATCATCCAAAAACACATAATGTACTTTTGAGAAATATACAGAGTTTTATTTATCCTGGTTTGAAAATTTTTCGCAAAGTTGCTGTGCCTATCATAACGTTGTATCCATCACTTACAGGTATCTTTTTGAACTTTTCTTAGTGTTTTTCAATTCAATTAACAAAAATTATATTTTCTTATATAGTGTGGTATGATGAATGGTGCCTTGTTGAAAATCCTTATTTTCAACTAAATGAAATGGATTGTTGGCCTTGCAATTCAGTAAATTCAGTAAAAGACTTGACTGGTTTTAATATAACACAATCATTTAATAATGGTATACCATTTATACGCTCAGAGAAAATAAAAAAAGTTAATGTAAATGAACTATTACAAATTTATTCTGAATATCAAGATAATTTAAACACAGATAGTGAACAACTTCAAATTAGAGAAATGAATTATAGGTAAAAAAATGATTCCATTTTTTATGTAATTTAATGCTAAAATACAAATGCATTGACTTTTAGGACAATAAACGAGATAATGCACAAAAACATGAATAATCCATATACTGACAGGAATGCTCATATGAAATGGAGAATCAATCAAATGGAGCTGAGCAGAAAGCTTAGAAAATTATTTCCTAAATTACCAGGAACACCAGATTGGTGGAGTCCTAGTACAGAAAAATTTATATTTATTGATGAACCTAATGCTTCAGATTATGTTTTGGTATACTTTAAAAAACTTTTGAACAATCTTTCTCAATTGTTTCAAATTTATTAATTTCAAATATATTTTTTCTGAAGCCACATTCTGAATGTGCTAATGTGATAATTCAATGTACAAATGGAGAGAGATTGATACAATTAAATCCAAGTCCAGAATGTACTCAAAATTGCCAAAGAATAAGTGTTTTATTAAGTAATAATCAAAGCTGTAAGTTTTATATTTTATATAGTAATTAAATATTTATTGAAAAGGGAACGTAAATTTAATATTTTTTAGTATGGTACAATTGGTGGTACTGGCGTCCAGTAAGTCTTCCTTCAAACAATACAACAGCAATAACAATAATGTACCTCAGCTCATTTTGCTAACTTTGAAAAAAATGCAATTGAAAACAAAGAAAATTTAAAAGTATTATATACATGTATATTTTTATATTAAATAAATTGATATCTATACAAGAATTATTATTTTTTAAAAATCTTTCCCTGCTCTATTATAAAATTACTGTTTTGTGTTAAACTGGCAAGATAAAATATGTAATATTTTATTTTAAACACATATTTAATATGAAAAAAATCTATTCAAATGTATATTTTCAAAACTTCATTATTTAATAACACAATATACACTTATGTACACTCATATACAAATATTACACGTATAACAGCAAATCGAGGTATTAATTAAAATAATTAGAATTATTTCAACTAGAAAAGTCTCCTAATTATGAACATGAATAGTATTTTTTCAAACCACATATAATGAAAAAATAGTTTAGGAATTCAATGAAGAATTCTGCCATACAGAATTGCAGTTGACTATCTAATTTGTACAAAAATTAGATGTAAATAATAAAATTAGTCTTGATTTCAGAATTCCAAATAGCATTTGTATATATAACATTCACTCAAATTTCTCTCTGATTTGTCGTTTAAATATAACTGGTACAAGTGACAGTAATGCAAAGACAATTAGTAAAATAATACTATTTAATGAAAAGGCATCAGTAGAAGATGTTAACTTATTCAATGTTTGTCCTGCTTGTATAGCAACAAATGAAGGTGGTGCAACACCCAAAAATGTACCAAGTATAAAAGGCCACATTGGTACACCAACTACTGGGCTTGCTAGGTTTATGAACCAATTAGGTAACAGTGGTGTGATTCTTAAAAACAGCATATAATTCAGTAAATTATCCTTATGTTTATGCACAGCTTCTGACCAAGATTTTGCTTTTTCTGGGAAATATTTACGTATAAGTCTTCTGCCTACCAATGTTGAAAGTAAATAACACAGACTAGCTCCAATTGCACTGCAGGTACACACAAGGGTGAGAGCTAACAGGAATGGGAATAAAAATCCTGAGAGAATAGATAGAAAGATTGAGCCTGGAATTGCAAAAGTTTGAAGACTACAAACATCATCGTTAAGTAAAATTTCAAAGTTCAACTGTGATATAAACAATTTTTTCTAATAAATATAAAAGGATACAATATATATGTGACAAAAAGTCCTGTCAACACTTGAATATAATACAAATCTTTGTAAGATTCCAGAAGTCTTCCCAAATTCTTTGCATCCTCAATATCAAGAGGCAATTTTAAATGCTGTTTCTCTTCACTGAAATAATTATAATTTTAAAGTAAAAAATAATACAAATAGATTAATTAAAACATAACAGATTATTTATGAAACTTACGGCTTTAGATCTGGAAAGCTTGTGTAAACGTAGAACAATGCTGTCGTTGATAGTATAAAAATTAGGCTAACTGTTAAAAGACCTTTACGGGTCGACAGTTCATCATCCATACCTGGCAATTAAAAAAAAATCCAAAAAAACTTTCAAAAACTTTCACTCTCACAAGTAACATATAGGTTATACCGCCTACGATAGATTTCTCTAGCAGAATTTTTTTTCTGATCAGTATCAGCTGATGCAAAAGAACAATAACATAAACAAGCACTCAAAAATGACATGTCATGCAGTGAAATGAAAATAATAACAACAGAAACAAAGTGTACGACATATAAGGCAGCGTTTAACAAGACATAATTAACGATAATTGAGCGCAGTTTAAATATCAAATACTACATATAGCCTTACTTTCTAAACCGCTATCACATGATCGTAGAATCATGAGAGAAAAATGAAAGTGAATGAAAAACGTGGCAGCGCGGAGTAAGAAAAAAGGTGCAATTGATAAATAATTACCTTTAGAATTCGTCATTATCGAAAAAGGGTTATTCACAAAATTTTGAAAGTAATGCTCGCTGCACTTGGACTGCGGGCAGTCCTCGCTACTGTCTGCAATATCAATTCGAATGAAAGTGGTATGGCCGTAGGTGCGGAGAGTCACAAAAGCGCCGCCGCCGTTTATTGCTCGTACCATCGTTGAAGCCATCTCGCTCTTACTATCAATCAAATTCACTTCTTAATTGACTTTCCCTTTTTCACGTAGCCAGTTGCCGTAAACGCCGGATATGCAGGTGCACGTCAAATGCGTTTTCGCAAATAGCTAAATTGTTATTACCTTCTTGCATTAACGGCAATGTCAAGTTTCTTCGTCGTGCAGCACTGGTAAAACGTTGCGCGTAGCGTGATAGAATATAGACAAATAATCTAATTTACGCAATGGGCATTTTTACGAAGATTAGCGCGCGTGTAGAATAGACATGAATCGACTCGCTGATAGCGTGCGTGATTTTGCGTGGGAAAAGCTGCACTGCGTACTCCAATAGATTATAGGAGTAATCAAGTTGAAGACCTAGTTGTAACAACTATATTACATTATAAAGCGAATGTATTCGCAGGACGTTCGGGTTACTGCATGCGATCTAATATTTTTTCTTTCACACTCTATTTTCACTGTGTTCGATTACCAATGTTTACCGCAAGATAATTTTCTTTCCTTGAACGAATAATTTTCTTCTCGCGTGCATCGGTATTTGTAGATAAGCCAAGAACTTCATTTTTTACGGACACAACGATTCTTCAAAGTTGCAGAAACAGATTTAAATGCAAATTTAAAAAATTATTGACATGAGAGTACCAACTACTTTAATTAGAAATCGCGAGTATTTTATTTATCACCATTGTCACAAATAATGTACGAGTCAATATTGGATCAATCGACACTCACTTAGGTATACTACTTAATGAATATTTCCAATTTCCAGAAAACAAATGTATGCCATACAAAAAAACTATGATCATATTTAATATACATTCTTTAAAAAAATAAGTATTGATAAGAAAAACCGTGCAGTTTTGAAGTATAAAATAGAATGTTCTGATAAGTTTATCGTTAGCTATCTACAAAAGATGGAAAATTTCCCGACAACTAAACAATTGTTTTGAGAAAATTTTATCCGTCAATTTTTCTTTTTAAAATGCTAACAGGGCTGTAGTACGAATTGTATATAATTAGGAAAATTTCACGTATGTTTCACCAAAAATTAAGAAAAAGCATGATAAAATAAAATAAAATCACTCATTCAGTTCACAAACTTATTAGTCACAACCTATTGAAGGGGATGACAAAAGTTGAATTAAAATACCTTTATGCTTTATTACAATTAGTATGTATTTAGCTTTTGATACCCATTACACTGTAATAACAAGAACAATAACTTTTTTACAAATTAAGAAACGTACTCGACGGTTAATACCTCATCATAAATTAATTACAAGGTACATTTCAGTATTTTTCTATCGCATTGATGCATTATTCGGTAATAAGTTGCATGAATTCGATCTGTTGCATGAATTCGATCTATACATTTTCAAAACTATATACTTTTACTTAATTTTTTCTTGGTAAGCGCGATCACAGTATAAGGCATGTTTTATACTCTGGTCTTGTGTGAGGAAAAAAGCTGTGCAAGGCTTCTTTTTCCAAACAAATCTTTGATTTTTGTAACCCATTTAATTGGTGTGCATTCTATGCATTTCCTTTTGTCTTTCTTTTCACTATGTTTAGTTTTTTTTAATTGAAACAAACTTGGAAATCGCAATATATGGCTCTCTAACTAAGTTTTTGATGATTTGAATTCTTTTCAAAGTGAAAGGATTGTACAAATAACTGAAAATAACAACGTAATTAGAAAGTCACTTATTGCGCTCCTTCTTCTGAGAAGCGAGTACTAATGATTTTTTAATTTGAAGATTTTACCGCTACCTATAGTGTATAGTCATTTAGACAATTGAATTTTTGTAGTAAACAGTACGAATAAATTGAATTTTGTTCGCTATACATGTATTAAACAGTTAGCACAAATTTACGGACAAGAAGGCAGGACGAATCACGTTGATGTGTGAATCAGGCACTTGTTAACACTTTACTTTTTTTGGATTTAAACAACGTTTTGTAGTCATTTTTACATTAAAATTTTATAATTTATACCTAACACAAAATGAACATATAGAATACATAGTACATTTTTTGTTATTTTACTCGTAAAATTATAACAAAGTTCAAATATTATTCGTTTATTTTAAATAAGTGATTTGAATAGAGGTACGGATTGATAACATAGAAGAGAGCAAGGTTATGCCATCAATTTCAATTATAAATAGATTACAAGCAAATGAGTTGGAACTTTTGTTTCTGACATAGATTTTGAAAAATTGAATCTTTGGTCTCTTCTTTATAGAATATACACAATTAAAATTGAATTATAATAACTGCATTAAAAATGCTGGATGACATATAGTGAATTCTTGCCTGAGCTTTAAGTAAATTATTATAGTCATAATTGTTTCTATATCCTATATAATGAAGCCAATAAAGACGAGTCAGTGTTTTCTTTTTAATTTTCGTGGAATGCAAGGCAATAAGTTACTTATATTCTAAAAGTAGATCTCATATCAACTACATTTTTCATTAAATATTACTTGGTACATAGAACATTTATTACATAACTATTAAATAACCATCTATAGAACATTACATAAATGTGGTATATCTTCATTCTCTGTGAGAAGTAAATGCAAAAATTAGATAGTTATGCGTTGCTTTGTTTAGTGCTGCTAAAATTGAGTTTTGTTTTTAATTCGCTTCTTAATTAATTACATCTCTGTACAAATATTTTTATATAAAATAATTCGTTAAACTAGAGGCAAAATACAAGCTTCATTCATTTGCTTTCAACACCTCTATCACGAATTCTTCCGTTGATCGAATATTAAAATTCTAACATTAAAAAATCCGGTGGTTTTAGTGTTACTATTACTTTTACAATTTATTATTTGCTATGAAATTAGGCGTACAAATAAAATTTGATGAAAGAGCTTCCAACATAATTCCACAACGTCTACGATGATTAATTTAAATAATTCAAAGAAATATTTTGCAATTTTGGAATGACAAGTATTTGTACTGAATGTAAAATAAAATCTAAGTATATTTTACACGAAATCCTGACTTTTTTTACGTGCATTACACTTTTTGACTTTTAAATCGTAGCTATTCAAATCTGACATTGACGATGTAAATGCACTGTTATTAACAAAAAATTATAATTTACAAAATTGCTACTAATGAGCAAATATATTACAAAATTTCATTTAATTACGCAAGTAGCTTGTGTAAGTAGTCATTAGAATTGTAACAAAATAAATGTATAAAAAAAGTAACGAAAATCATAAAAGTATTCTAAGAAATAAATAACATTCAATGTATTACTACATTAATATAATTAATTGGAATTTCTATCATAGGTTGGAAGCTTGGAACCACGATACATTGTACCTTAAATCATAATGGTTTTTAAAGCATTCAAGTCATCAAAAGTTGCATAGATATAAAATAGATTAACTTCTATAAACTAATTCTATCTAACAAAGATACAGCTTGTTGCTTGATTTATTTTTAATTAGTTTTATTGTTCTATGCATACGATATCTATATTTTATTCTTAAACAACTAAACGGTTAGAGCTTGAAATAATTCGATCAAGCTCGTGGACGGATCTAGCTCTCACGTGGTGACTGCTTGATGGACGAGTTTACGTGTATACGTATGGTGTGTGTGTGCGTGTGTGTGTGTATGTGTGTGTGTTGCGATCGCATTTGTGTGTGTACTTTTGTATGAAGGCACGACTTTTCTCGTTTTACGATAATTTTTACATGTATTTTTCACGGCATCAGCCTAAAACATATCGGCTTATTCACTTGGCCTTTAAATGTATGCATGATTACTTGTAATTATTTCAATAATAATCCCTTGATACATACTATAATTTTTTTCATAACAAAATGCAATAGAATTTATATATTTGCCAATTGTCCAGCTCCATTGTCGTTTTTATAAAATTTACTTTTGTTATTATAAATTTTTATACAATATTTTGTCTATATATCACAGGTTAACCTTATCATCTATAAGTAAAAAGTATTTAACTTTACTTTCGTCAATATTTTCGTATTAAATATAATATTCGAATTAAGTTCATAATGTTTTGCATAGAACTGCATAAATTTATCATAAAAGTAATCATAGATAATGAAATTTGAAATATTTACAAGTATCCATGATTTTTCGAAAGTTTTCCATCTCTGGTGTATACAAAATGAAGCTTCTGCGCAATATTAAAGTAGCATCCTTCTCTCTTATGTTTTTTGAATAATTAAAGTTCAGCGCGACAAAAGAACAAAGAATGCGAACTCATAAGAGCGTCAAATATTCGGTAAAATAAAAAAATCTAGCTACTGATGACTCTTGCTAAGTAAATGCGAATTAAATTGATAAAGATTGCAACACTGCTCGCCGCAGATATTGCATTTCCAAGGATTGCTCTCACTGTGGCAGCCCTTGTGCAGAAAATAAAGAGTTTGGTCGGGAAAGGTGATTCGACAGTGACTACATTGAAGACCACTGTTTCGTGGATCAGGTCGCGTGGACGTTGGAGGCTCACCTCGTGATTGTGTGCTGCTACTGCTGTATGACGAACCACCACCATTGTTTGCGTTACTACTTGTACTATTACTACCATTATTGTTTTTACCAGCGCTGCTGTTATTGTTGTTATTATTGTTGTTACTATTGGAGAGCTTGCGACGCAAATCGTCGCGGAGCAAAGATTTTAGAGGTGATACCTTGATCAATGATGGTAACGATAAATTGCTTGACGTCGCACCGTTTTCGTCTAATAATCCGTTGCTGTTTGGTTCTTGCTTTATAGGAATCAAGGAAATCGACGGGGTAATTATTTGCTCTCCTTCACTGTTACTGTTGCGTACAGAAGTATTATTAATAAAACTGGAAATTTACTTTAAACATGTAGGTATATATTATATTAAGTATAAAATACTGAGGCTCCCGACTCACCTATGTGTAGCACTAGAGTTTCGAGGTAAATGAAGGCTGCTCGACGGGACGTTACTGTTACTGTCAGCGCTTTGAGGACTATTAGGACTGTCGCCGTTCAAAGGCACTGGGCTCGGATTTCTCGCGGTACTTGCTTGCTCAGGGTATGGAATGGATATTTCGACATGAGGTGTAAGAAAATGCATCGGAGGCGTCGCATTGTCGGCCGACCTATTTCCAGTGCTATCACCACTATCTGATAAAGGTGCTGATGATATGGCTTCGACGGCCGCACAGCTGTTTAATAAAGACGTCGAGCTGTTTGGACCTGGATTATCTAAATCTATTCCGTGTCTGAAAAAAAAAATTAAATTATTTGTAAAGTATACTCAAAGAGGTAACATGTAAATTTTAAAAATTTTATGTGAAATTGTGTGAAACCTGTTGAAAAAATGCAACCTCAAGCATTTCATGGTGGAAGCTCTGTAATGACATAAAGGGCAAGATTTGACCATATCGTGCTGACCTACATGTTCATTTTGAAAGTGAGCTCTCATAGCAATTTGACGCTGAAATCCTCTATTACAAATTGGACAATGGTAAGGCAATGTTTTTGAATGAGTTGTAAAGTGCTCAGCTAGATGATCTTTTCTAAAGAATCTTTTTTGACATACTCTGCATTCATATGGTTTTACACCAGTATGTCTCATCTATAATATCAAATTAATTTCAATGTTTCAATTAACTGTCTCTAATATTCCAGAAATATTAAAGCTCATAAATGGAGGTAAACATACCTTGTGTCTCCGCATGTTAGCTCCATTTGAAAATTTCATGTTACAAACATCACATTCAAAGATTTTTCTAAGAGATCTATGGCTTGAATGTCCTTCATCTCCTTCATTTTCATTTTCTACTCCTTCTAGGCCTTCTGCACTTTCTACTATCTCTCCATTTCCTGTACATTGGTCTTGATGAGCACATAAGGCTGTTTTGTTTATTGTTTCATAATTATCACATCTATCACATCTACACATTCAAGAAATAATTAAAATTTTACAATAACAATCATGGGACGTTTTTTATCATAAAAAAATACAATTAGTTCATCACTAAATACCTAAATGCAGGTACAGCCCCATCACTACTATCATAATTGGTATTTAAGGCAGCTTCACTATCAGGATCCAAGGCTTCATCATCTCTGTGATTGATCAAGTCATTTGTTTCAGCATGTGTAGAGGAATGAGAGTCTATCTCATTTTCCCCACCACCACCATCAACACCATCTGACATGATCCTGAAGAATAAGGCTATCTCAGGTCCTTCATTTAGTTAACCTACAAAAACAATTCATATTATTTACAAAACATTTTTTTTATATAAAATCACAATGTTAAAAGTTTAATAAATCATTAGTTAATATTACTATTCAGACAAATAAATACTGATTTTATGATGTGTTGATTATTGAAAAAGTATTGATATATATATGAGATCAGCAATATTAGCATAAAATTATTCAATTATTTTTTCTATTCATGAGTCATATTACTTTTCCACTCTTTAACAAATAATCAAACAGCTTATCTACTTCAAATAAAATATGCATTATATTTATTATAATGAAAATAAAAATTGACCAATCACTCAATTAATGAATTTCTTCAATTCATTCAAAGCATCATAGCCTACAAAATAAACTGTCAAATGTCATGCCTAACTAAAAACTAGCTCCAGTTAATTAAAAATACAATTTATTTAAGGAGCAACTGACAAGAGATTTGATACACTCTTTGGCCAAATAAAACTATGAAATAACCCACCACCTGAAGATTCACCTAGTCCGTTCAACATGCGTATAGTTAATTAAACTAGTAAAAGGTAAAAAAGTGCTCGACCACCTAGACGTGAGCGTGTGTATGCTGCGTTTATCGCGAAAAACATCGGCTTAGCCAAAAGTAATGTATACGAATAAAGCTGAATGTAACGACGACAGAGGAAAGATAGGTGTCCTTTTTCAGAGAGCGCGCGCGCAGGTGAGAGACAGAGAGGGAGAGAGAGAGAAAGAGAGAGAGAGAGAGAGAGAGAGAGAGAGAGAGAGAGAGAGAGAGAGAGAGAAAGAGAGAACGTTTTACACGCCAACGGGACGGGAGCAGGCAGGCAGCGTATTACCCAATCCTGGGAAGATTACGGCATAGAAACACCTGGTGGGCAAGAGAGCGCAATGCCAGAGTGCACTGCACTTTGTCCCAGATTTCAGCGAATCCGTCACTCATGACGTGTAGCTTGCGCGACTCTTTTTCATGTCATACCGAGCAATTTAACGAGCTTTATACATTTCGCATATACCAAATTTATCGAATAAGATTCATAAGTAATGCTAATGAGAGTAGCGGAGACCAAACGACACTCTTACATTTTCTTTAGATAATGATTGTATTGAGGTACTTACTCTGCATTCTTTTGATGCGAGGAAACTTTGTTACTATAACGTTATATTTTAAAGCAGCAAGTGATTGTTTTGTTTCCTTCGTGAATTAATAGAGCTGGCGCCTAACATCGATACTTCTTTACCACAGCGTTTGGCGTGCAATTCTTCATGTTCTTAAATCTTGATGATGGAGCTCGCGTTATAGATCATCGAGTTAATTCGATTGATGATCACCGGAAAAACACTTTGAATTGATCTCCTTTTCCACACATTTTTAAACACTTTCTTATACAATTATCTGGAGGAATAAGGTAAATAGATTTACTTGATATATCTAAAGATTTTTCGAAAATAGTTTCAATTCTACGATATCCTAACCGTGTTTGTCCCTTGATGAACCTGCGAAAAATTGACAAATTTCGCGTGCAAATTGTCCGCTGATTGTTGAACAGCGCATCGGTGCTCAACACTGCGACTCCCGTATCATACACTATAGTATGTACATTTCAGGACGATTCTATAACTTTATGATATGCGATTTTATCGACTGAGCTGGAATGCTCCGATTTTAAGTATGCCAATTTTTATAACTCATTACCTAAATCAATTTTAATAAGCAATTTTTTTAAAGTTACTTACAAATTGTTTATTTCGATTACATCACAAATAATTACAATTTTTTATTTTAAGTGAAATTCCGTATAAAGGATATTTTTTTGCATAACTATAATTATTGTAGACGTTACCTTCAAAAAGTACTTTAATTTTTATTAATTATTCTAAATCACTCTAAAAAATATATAACACAATAATGGGCTTTTGTTGGAAGTAAAATATGAAGTGTTCATTAACCGGTCATTGCCTTAAGTTCAATTAGGATCATACGTTATGCATATATTTACAGAAATAAAACAATGCATCGCAAATGTAGATGCAGCCGTAGCTTACAAGTCCACTGTCACACCCGGATCTCGCACTGTATAGTTAAATCTCTATGAAAAAGAAAACGTAGTTGGGCAGTGTACATATAGATAATTATGTAGTCGTTTGAAAAGACGTACTACATACATACAAGCGAGATAGAAGAGAAAAAAATGTTTACGTACGCGTTACATTTTTAATATGCATCGCCTTGTAGTTTCTTAAATTTGCTGCTGGATGTCTCATTTATGGTAAATATTAATTTTTTCGTCACGTTTGATATAATAGAGTAAACCTCTTGCAGCCATAAGATACATACCTGTTGAAATGATACTTTAATATTTCAACAGGTATCTTATTCCTCTAAGTGATAATTTCAATAATAATAACGAATTAGACAAGATTCTTAAATACTTGCATAGAGCTTTCTGAAATAAGTTTTAATTTTATCAACTTGATTATGTATATATTTTAAATATATTTAATAATTTTTTAAGTACAGACAGTTCAAAATAATCTATATACTATTTATTCGGTTTTACATATGAATTTTACTGTCCTATAGTAAATTAAGATACATAAAATTGAATAAACAAAAAAATTTATTCTACAAATATTTATTTGTTATCTTAATAAATATACATAATATTTTAACCAATTCATCGTGAATACAATTTTAATTATTATAAAAAGTAAAAAATGATCTATCTATTCAATATTGATATTTATTTAATGTAGATTAACAACAAAAGTAAAAGGGAAATTATTAACGAAATAAAAGGAATTCAATGTATTAAATATGTAATGTGTAATTTGATTTATTTTAGAAAGTACTTTTAGTGTAACGATCAATAATTTAAAAATTGTAATTTAATGAATTTATACTCTCATAAGTACAGAGTTTTGAAGAAATTTCTATTTGGTTCAAAACAAATAAAGATGTTAAACATGACTTTTTGATAAAAATGATTGCAAAGCTCTTTAATCAAACAGTTTTCATTGTACCATTATTATATTTTAGACATGCGTTATGGGCAAGAATCAAATGTGCAGTGAAATAACAAATGCAAATGACTCAACAAATCATTTAGAAAAATCAACGTCAGAAGCCAGCAAAATGCTTGAAGCGGCTCTCCTTCAAATGGATGGAATTTTATCTGGTAAGAACTATCACATTTATTATATTTTTTTTTTAATTTTCAAGTTGGTATCTTCCTAAATTATGAAATGCTATGCCAATTGAGTATTATATTATTTTACACCTTTTCACAATGCTTATATGTAACAATTTTTTTTACAAAATATAGTGAAAATATATAGCTTCTATTCTGCTACTTTATCGATGTCAAAGATAGCTTACAAAACTATTAATGTAGGTATTTTCAATATTAGTTACCATTAAAATAATCTAAATATTCTTTGAAAAAAAATTAAGAAAATAAAAGAAAACAATCTATCAAGCTAATTACTTTTTTCCTATATACTCAAGGTGCTGAGAAAAGCTCAGAATGGAAAGAACCTTTGAATAACATCACAAGAAATTTGATCGCCGCAATTGAAAGCGCGCCTACACCTCCTCCACCACCCGATGGAAGGACAGTAGATATTTTATTACGATGGTTGCAACCGGTAAGCTATTTTATACACCATAAACTATGGCCTTTAACTATAGCTTGCCCTGTAATCTTGCGCTATGTCCTGTTCGTATGATGACGTATATGCTTCGCGTTGTCACAGATGGAAACACGTTTATTTTTTCTAAAAAAGTGTTTGTACGGTTGAATGTTAATAATTTGTATTTTACAAATTCATCATTTGTTGTTTTAGTTTTCAATTATTTTTATTTACTAAGTGTATTAATTGCAATGAAAAAGCAAAGAAAATTAATATCGAGGTAAGTATTTTTATTAATTCTGTTGTGAATAGTTGAAATAATTAACATTTGTTTGGCTATTTATAATTTATACTAAAAATACTATTTTAATAATTTCGATATAAAGACTTTGACCGTGTGCGAAAAATTTTAGAATCATAGAAATATTCTCTGAAAATATTTATTAAATTTTAATGGTTTTTATTCGATGAATCATTGTACTGAATTTCAAGCTGATACGCGGTCAATGTCTGCGGTCTTTACATGCTATGCAGCTCTCAGAGTATCAAGAGCCGCAGACTCAATTTCTATTTATAAAGCGTATATATGCTTCTCTGTCGTTTAATTTTAGTTTTAGAGAAGCAGTCTTACGCCACGCGTATTAAACCATCGAATTGTCTGGTACCAGAACACCCGTATTTTCATTAATTTTGAAGCAAATTATTATTAATTTTGAGTGATCAATGAGTTACAACGATTTGCGAAACCGGCGACTTTATGATTTTCAAGTTCAAAGAGGAGTGTCAAGTACAATCAATATATTCGCTAACGCTGTTATAAATTGCGCCTATGAAAGTATATTCATCGTGAATACAATTTGTCGGTAATTTCATTCATAAAACTGCATGCGATCAATCAGTCATTCACGATACGAAAATTGTATTTGTAAATAGAACAGTAAAACTACTTTCAGACTAGTTTTAACAAAGCACGCTCGTCGGTAATATGGAGGACGAAGAAAAGCACTGTTCCAAAGGTTTTTTCTTTCATTACTTTCATCACTCTTAACAATTTAACATCTCTGTATTGACCAGTCATCCAAACAAAAAATGCAATTTATTATCATATTTAGATGCTCAATCGGAGTCGTCAGACGCAGCCTCGACAGTGAAACCTTATCCGGACGGCTGGACGAACTCTGAAAATTATGATTCATCCGAAACCACGTCGACATCCGAGCCAGGAGAGGATTGCTCTACAGAAGACTGTCATTTATCCAGGCTGAATCTTATTCATAATCAAATTCATTGTTTTTACAAATCTCAAAATTGTCTTTGTCAGGTTGGTTGAAAACTTCCACATTTTAACCAGTTTTTTTAAGTTGTAACAATAATTTATCCGTACACTTAGTCCTGTTTGTTGAGTTATGCGACGACGATGGCGCTACAAGGAAGTGTGCCAAATATTTGTGCAGCTGCTAACATTTCTCATTTGATGAGCAGTTCTATGTACAATCAGCCTATTTGCAGGTTTTCAATTTAATTCAATAATCTTATAATTAATTAATTGTTCCACATGAAAATAATTATTTCGTTAAAGCTTCCTGAGAATATTAATGAAATTATTTTAACAGTGGAATGGGTCAACAAAAAAATCAACACGCACATAATTATTGTCCAATGCACGTGCAAATACCAGCACAAAAGTCTTACAAAAGTGAGTTGGCTGCTCATAAAGAAAATCAGGAAACTCCAAATTCAGCTAACTGCGGAGGTAACAATTACATTGGCTCACTGGATCGCCGTAAACGAAGATTCAAAAGTAAAGTTACACAGGACCACAGAACCAAGAGTCAAAGCAATTTGATTCGTTACGATCAGCGTGCCAAACCCCACTATTGTTCAATTCAACAGTTGAATGTTGGGAACAATTCACATTATAAAAGTCGTCCGAAAACTACCGAGGTACAAGTGTATTAAATTCCGAAAAGCGATTTGTAAAAATAAAATGTTTAGGTAGTTACTTATTTTAGGTACTTTTAGGTACGAGTTGACGTAAGTATTAAATATAAAGGTTTATTGCAATCATTTTTCAAAGAAAAGCGCAAGGTATTAAAAAGTGTCGGTATAAAATTGATTCGAGATGGGGCAAGCTATCTCTAAAAACAAATTTACTAATATAAAACTTTTAACGTCTATTTATTAATGCTAAATGTTTATTAACTGCATCGTTGTCGTACGTAATTACAGGAACGGCTGAGAAAGTTAGAAAATGAACGAAGTGCCCTTCATATGGAAATATCCATTCTATCGGAGCAAGTTGACGCACAGTCTACTAAAATAATCGAGCTTGAAAATGCCTTACAAGAGAAGAAAGATGTCATGCGCCAGATGGAAGAATCCTTACAAAAGGTACAATTTTTCAAATCACAGAGCGACACTATGTAAAATAAAAATATCACTAAATTGTGATCTTGCAGGAAGTACTATCACGTAGTGCTTTAGAAACACAGAAATTAGAGCTACTCACTTCACTGTCCGAAATGAAGCTCAGACAAGCAAGTTTGGAACATGAGAATATAACACTGCGGACTACCAGTCCCCTGACAAATGTAATTACTTTCAGCACTACCATATTCATAATATATCATTTTAAGCAATCGTTTGTTTATAGGGCGAAAGATTTAGCAGACACGCGGGTCATTACAGTAGCCTACCGAGACCACCGACAGCAAGCAAAAAAGGTGTTGCTTTTGGTAAGACTCCAAGTCTATCAGCCGCGCAATCTACCAATTATTTACCAGTTAGAGGTGTCTCAGAGAGGTGTCTGACAACTCCTATTTTAGGTTTCGTCAATATGTTCATTGTCTATGCATGAGTTTACTTATGCAATCGCTACACGAGTGAAATACTAAACGCAACTTCTGTTGTATATGCTTCTTTTACAAATTAACTGCTGCTTCATCGTTTTTCGCTGTATTTTTATATTCGAGCTATAATTTATCACCCTACTAACTTCTCTGTAAAAGAAGTATTTATCTAGTCATTTGCCGATTTTTAAAATATCATAGATAAAATCTCTTTTTAAAATATACATGCAAAAAAAATATTTGCTTTGACGTTGTGCTTTCGTTAGCATGTTATATTATTATAATCAATTATGCACGTTTTGAATAAAATGATATTTGTATGATTGGCATGATTGAGTAAAGAAATTTTTTTAATTATATATTGGATAACACAATTTATGAATTTTTTTACAGCTGCCGAAGAGAAAATTATTAACGATAGTACAAGTTACATTCAACCAGTGCCTATAAAAGCTTTTGCAGAGATGACTCTAGACGATATAAATGATTGGATGGCTCAGCTTGGATTAGAATCTTACAAAAATGAATTAAAACGTTGGGGAGCAACCGGTTCTAAATTATTAGATGCTTCTCATCATCAGATTGAAAAAGAGCTAGATATTAAAAATGCTTTGCATAAGAAAAAGCTACTCTATGCCGTTGAATGCGAAAGATTGAATGGTGCAGGATTTCTTGGCTCTGAAAAGGTTTCTTAATTTTCACTATAAATATGTAACATTTACAATTCTAGTCATACCATAATTTTTGTTCCTTAATTTACGATAATATTGCAGATGGACAATGCAACAGTATTACGCTGGCTTGATGATATCGGCTTACCGCAACACAAAGAAGCTTTTTATAATGCTAAAGTCGATGGCCGAATTTTGCATAGATTAACAACTGATGATTTGGTAATGTTAAATATTACCGCTCAACTTCACGCAGCGAGTTTACGACGTGGAATTCAAGTAAAAATCGCCATAGTATCAGAAAGTAGAAGAAAATCTTGAAAGACGTGTTTTTCAACTTAATATATGTTGTGTTTTAGGTGTTACGAGAATTGAACTTTGAGTTTGATAATTTAGAACGACGCTCAAACAATGACGACAGTTACGATGATCCAGAAAAAAATAGGAATCCAGTTGTTCTATGGACAAATCATAGAGTAATGGAATGGTTGCGCGTTGTTGACCTTGCCGAATATGCACCAAATCTACGTGGTTCTGGAGTTCATGGTGGTCTAATGGTCTACGAGCCTCGTTTTACTTCTGAGTTATTGGCTACTTTGCTTAGCATACCACCAGCAAAGACATTGCTTCGACGACATTTGACGACGCATTTCAATCAAATTATAGGCAGAGATGTCGTTCAAAGAAAACGAGAAATGGAGAATATGCTAGGTTTTATGCCATTGACTCTTACAGCCAGATTAAAAGTATAATTTTACATTTTCAAAAGTTTAAATGTAAATTATATCTGGAAACGTATTTGCTTGAAAAAAACTTATTACAGGTACCAAAGAAAACACAGTTTACTCTGAAACGTAAGAAAAGTAAAAGCGAACTGGACTTTGGAAATTTAGTGTGTCCAATGGAAGAATCACCACCAGGTACACCATCATCACTATCAACAAGTACGGCCAGCTCTAATCTCAACTCACCTACATTTTAACAATTATCAAAGATTCATTCAAGCTGCCATCTTAAGATTAACTTGTAAGTTCTAACTCGACTAATACCAATTCAGCCAACATTTCATATTCTTATGGTGTTTATAACTAATGTTTTCAAATGATTCTAACAGTATTTTTATTCCTCTATTTTATTCTATGCTTATTAACTATAAAATCAGTGATAATTAGAATTTCAATAATTATCCTACAGCATATTTAATTTATTTCTAAATTTTTTGAATGAGCATTTTATAACACAAAATATATCAATTGCCAATAGTTTAGACAATATTAATGGTTATTTTTTTCAAATTATTAAAGTTTAGATTATCACGTATAAACTTACGCTATTAGATTTTGATAATGACTTTCTTTTTTGCGTTTATTTATCTGTCTGATGCTTATGTAAAATCGTAGTTAAAGATTTATTCTTGCTAATTATAGCATGCAATCAGTGAAAAAAAATCTTTTTTTCAGTTTCAGATAGCGAAATTGGAGAGCAAAAGCGCGTTATTAGTTGTATATAAAATAAAAAAAATTACAAATTTCTATTTTTAAGCTCCTCTTTTTATGTATACAAAATTTTATTTGTAAAACTTTTTTGAAAAACTGATCATTTCAAATTTCTATGTGCCTAAGGATAGACAATTTGATTATAATGATAGTTATAAGCAAGTTAATGATTTTAGGATCTATTGATAATACAATTAATCCTTGATAAATACACTTTTTCAAATTTCTAAAATGTTTAGAGATCATTTTTAAATTTATAATCATGTATTACGATTTGTATATCAATATAAGTTTTTATAAAAATATACACACTAGTTAATAAGCAATTCTGTAAGTATTTTTATATCGTATTCGATCATTGAATCTAGTATCAAATTGTAACACACTGTAGGTGTTTTTTTAAATAGTTACATTCTGAAAAATTTATAAAATTTATATTATTATGAATAATAATAATTATGAAATCTTGATAACGTTTTGCTTAGTTCTTATTAACTACCTGCTCAGCTGAATGAAGCAATAAAAAATTATAATATAAAGTACAATGAGTGGAAAGAAATTCATATAAATATTCTAGAAAAATTATTCAAATTATCTATAACTTTTGTCATTTATATTTTAATAGACTATAGAATTTCTTAAATATATTTTTTTAGTTTATGTAGAATTTGGAATAATAAAAAAATCAGTATTAGAAAGTTCAAATGATGGAATTGGACAAATTCAAACATGTGATAAATGTAGAAAAGTTACGTGATTGGACGACTAACTGTCAAGTCGCTCGGTTCGGTATGAGCTGAACCGTGGATAAGTTACAAAGGGCAGCCAACTATCCAAAATCAGAAAAGCGGGAAACCGCGCGTACTGAGTAAACTTGCTATTCTCGCTAAATAGTGTAAAAGATTTTAAATTGATTAAGTTTTATGGCTATATATATTAAAGTAGTTAATAAAATATTGTGAATTAGTGGTAGTGAACGTATTTAGTATTTACAAAGTTTGCGAGGAATGAAAAATTTTTGATTATTTCAAAGGACACTTCGAAATTGTTTACCAAGTTTTTTTTTATTATACCTATTCATAAAAGTTTACAAAGTCAAGATCCAAATGGAATCGAATTATGATGAAGATCAGAGATCAAAAGATTTGGAAAAGGAATATCTTGACTTTTTGGATGACCAGGTAAGGAAATATTTTGTCACTCTATTCTTTGTTATTAAGTGTTACAAGTTCAACATAATATTATTTACAATTTTTAGGAAGATCAAGGTATTTATTACCAAGCTGTGAAAAACATGATAGATGACAAAAAGTATAGATTAACTGTTAATGTTAATGATTTGAGAAGAAAAAATCCAGTTAGAGCAGCTAGGTATGAATACTATTATGTGTAGAAATTGATTTGAACTAAATTGATTAGAGATTTTTTTCTAGTTTGTTGAATAGATCATTCGAAGAGCTTGTTCCGTTTCAAAGGGCATTGAAACAATTTGTAGCTACTATAGATACAGAATACAGCAAAGGCAATAAACAGTTCTATATTGGCTTTGAGGGAAGTTTTGGTAATAAACACACTAATCCAAGAACGCTTACATCAAGATTTTTGGGTAACATGGTTTGTGTTGAAGGAATCGTTGTAAGATGTAAGTTTATTTTTAATAGTGACTTTTAATTTAATAAATTTCTATTCCACTTACTGCTTTTTGAAGTTGCAAGTAGAGTGAATGTTAAAACTTGTCTCATAAAAATTATATTCAAGGTTCTTTGGTTCGGCCAAAAATAGTGACAAGTGTACATTATTGTTCTGCCACTAAGAGTATTATTGAAAGAGCTTATACAGATTTAACATCTTTTGAAGCATTTCCTTCATCAGTAGTTTATCCTACAAAGGTAAAAATCATAAAGAAATTACACCTTTATTTATTCAATAATTGAATTTTTTATTTCAAACTTTCAATAAATAATAGGATGAAGATGGAAATACTTTGGAAACTGAATATGGGTGTTCCGTTTATAAAGATCATCAAACTCTAACTATACAAGAAATGCCTGAAAAAGCTCCAGCTGGCCAACTACCGCGAAGTGTGGACATAATTTGTGATGATGACTTAGTAGATCAGTGCAAACCAGGTGACAGGATACAAGTTATAGGAAGTTACCGTTGTCTTCCTGGTAAAAGAGATGGATATACAACTGGGGCTTTTAAGTAACAAAAAATATTTATTTTTTGAAAAATTCATCGTCATTTAAAAGTTAAAATTCAATTCCTTCAATTTTTTATGTTCCAGGACTATTTTAATTGCTAATAGTATAAATCAGTTGACAAAAGATTCTGAAATTAACATTTCTCATGAGGATGTCAATGCATGTAAAAAACTTGCAAGACGTAATCCTCTAAACAACATTTTTGAAATGTTGAGTAGATCTCTTGCTCCGTCAATCCATGGACATGAGTACGTGAAGAAAGCTATTTTATGTCTTTTACTTGGTGGTAATGAGAAAATCCTTTCAAATGGAACTAGACTAAGAGGGTGAGTTATTTATTTGCACCAGATGATGATGTGACTTACTATCAAATTTCAATTACTTATATTTCCAGAGATATCAATATTCTACTGATTGGAGATCCATCAGTGGCTAAATCACAGCTTTTGCGTTATGTTTTGAACATTGCACCACGTGCTATTACAACTACTGGTCGAGGATCTTCAGGCGTCGGCTTAACAGCTGCCGTGACAGTGGATCAAGAAACTGGTGAGCGCAGATTGGAAGCTGGTGCTATGGTTTTGGCTGATCGAGGAGTTATATGCATCGATGAGTTCGATAAAATGTCAGACATTGACAGAACAGCTATTCACGAAGTCATGGAACAGGGTAGAGTCACTATTTCCAAAGCAGGAATTCACGCGAGTTTAAATGCTCGTTGCTCTGTCCTAGCTGCTGCCAATCCAGTTTATGGAAGAGTAAGTATCTATTCACTTTTCAATGAAAAAGTCTTCGAATATTCATCGAAAACTTAATTTTCATTACAGTACAACCAATACAAATCTCCAATGGAAAATATCGGTCTGCAGGACTCTCTTTTGTCACGTTTCGATTTGTTATTCGTAATGCTGGACACCATTGATGCAGATATTGATCATATTATAAGTGATCATGTTGTTCGCATGCATAGATGGAGGAATCCCGGCGAGCAAGAGGGCACTGCATTACCCTTCAATATCGGATTGGATTATTTAAGTACGTCAAATCCAGATTCAGAAGACGTAGAGAAAGAAGAAACCAAAATCTACCAAGATTATGATCCTCTTCTTCACGGAAAATCTCGCAAGAAAGTGTAAGATTCCGTTTATTTCATTAAATCTTATGATAATATCTTGTGCTAAAGATTTACAATAATGTAAACTAATTATTCCAGTGATCAACTTTTTACTGCCCAGTTCATGAGGAAATACATTCATATCGCTCGTATCACGAAACCAAAACTTTCTGAAGAAGCTTGCAAAACGATTTCAGAGGAATATTCTCGACTCAGATCAGAAGATAGTTTGGAGCAAGATTTTGCAAGGGTATGTACATTGACAATTACTGATGATCTCGTATCATAAATTATCGAAATAATAGTTAAATCCATCAATTTTTGTAGACTCAACCAGTCACTGCTCGTACATTGGAAACCTTGATTCGATTAGCAACAGCTCATGCAAAAGGTCGTCTTGCGAAAAACGTGGAGGAAGAAGATGCACAAGCTGCCATCGAATTGGTACAGTATGCGTACTTCAAGCGAGTTCTGGAAAAAGAAAAGAAGAAACGCCGGAGACGAGACAGTGATGTTACCTCTGATGAGGAAGTTGAAATCGAAGCTGAGGAGAGACCAAAACGCAAAGTGAAGAAAACTAATCCCCCACCCGGCGAGCCTGGCCATGATCCTTATGCTTGGGACGAGGAGGAAGATGATTCTCATGTTGATGAAGCTATCAGACGACACACGCGATCCCAGCCAGATTCTGAACCAACTCCATCAACTTCGGCTGAGACTGTGTTATTAGATATTGCACCTAAAAGGTAATTTTATACTTTATATTTTGTCAAGTTACGTAATTGGTCGTTTTTAATAATATTTGCATACTTTTAGGCTGCAAGCATTCACCAAATCACTAAGAGAATTATTCCAGAGTCTACGAATGGATACAGTAACGAAAAGCAAAGTTGTTGAGTACGTTAATTCCAAAAATTCACCTCCCTTCGCTGTCGGTGAGATAGAATCAGCTCTTCACAAAATGATGGAAGAAAACAAGCTTATGATCGCCGACGATAATATCATCTTAATTTAATGGCTATTTATATACTACTTTGAATTTTTAAAGTTGCCATAGTACCGGAATTACATCTAGTATTATTGATTGAAGTCCATGACTGTCCATTGACTGATTTCGTCCTTCGCTCGAAAGCATGAGCTAAATCTACGATAGGCTCTTTCGTAATGGTAAGATGACGGTAGTAATATATTTATATATGTCACGATGATCAAATTTTTAAAGATGGACAAATATGTCGATTATGGTAGATGTATTGATCTTTATGGTGAGACATTTATGTGAATTTCAGCAAATGAGCTTTTAATTGTTTAATGATACACGGTGCTAAGTACGGTGTTTTTGTAATATGAAAAAATATATTTAATCTTTTTTTATGAAAAAATTTATTTTGTTGTCTATGTGACATCATATACGCAAAAGTAACAATTGGCATTCATTACAGTGAAGCTCTGAATGTGTTTTCAATAAATCTTTATGAATTTCAACTTATTTTATTAACACTTACAGCATTGTTAGTGTTCTAATAAATGTATGTTGATATATTACTTTTAACTAATTCGCATACATGTTTTCTAATATAAAATATCTATAAATGGTAGAGATAATGTTAAATATTACAATATTGTAAATGATCGGGATTAATTTTTACTGTACTTTAATATGCCTTGTAGGCTAAAAATGACTCGATACGAGCCAAATACCCTTCTCAAATTTTACAGGGGCATTTAGATTCGATGAGAATTAAGTTTTTCACGCTTGTGTTCACCTGTGGAAATAACTACTTGTGTGATACCAAAGCAGCCACTCTGAAAACATGCGAATTTTTAAGGGAATAATCTAAAAAACAAAAAAGCGATTAATCATGGAAAACAGTATAAAAACTTGAATGTTTCATTTTTCGATTGGTAATCAGATTTTGGTCTAATCGTCGTCACTAGTATCAGTGTTGTAAGCTAATTGCTCTCGCCACCAATCGCGAACTTCGACGATGACGTTGGACGACTTTGGCGGCGACATCTTTGTACTAAGTATTTCTCTCTGTATTCGCGGCTGCTCCGCACCTTCCGTCACGTGGGGCAAATTGTTCTTCACGGCTGCAGCTGAAAGCAAAACACGAAAGGCTATGCGATTACGTCCCGATCGGTTAATCGAGATGTACAAATGCCGAATGCTTACGCGGAGGCCGGCTGTTGCGCTTTTTAGTAGCTGCGATCTTGTCTTTGTCCGATCTGACCGAAGCAGGATCGGAAAGCGTTGGCGCAAGATATTTCCTGCCGGAAGTGCTGCCGATGCTATCGGATCTGGGAAGTCCTGCGGGTTTCTTGGCTCTGTGTCGCAATCCGTCCGCGTCCTGAAACGACAATGCCACTCGTTCAGCGACGATTCGCACCGAGCATTCGCTCCGTTTTCTCACTTTGGCCTCGGGCTCTTCCTCGCGATCGACAACGCTCTCTTTCTTTTCCTCTATGTGCTCCTGCACCGCTGTGGCTGATATTTCGTTCGTGGCTCTGAGCCCCGCTATCAGGCTGTTCTGCTGCTTCTAAAAACAACGAATTGGTTGCCGAAGCGTCTGCTTGTAAATGCGAAGAAAGACGAGGGACGCCACTTACCGCGCGTATTTTCTTCAAGCAACCCTCGAGCCACGTTCTTATAGTCTGCTTGGCGACCTCCTCCTCGATTATGTACTCGAACTCCTCGCGGGCAAGAAGCTCTTCCAATTGCAAGGCCTTCCGTATATCGACAGATCGATACGACAGCATACTGTGGATAAAAATCACCGTTTACCATAGCAAATAACAGTTACGAAAGTTCGAACGAGCGACTGCGAGCGTACTTGATGACATCGTGAAAAGTCACGTCCTCTCCGTTGTGCAGACGTTCCAGCTCGTAACACATATACTTGAAAAGCAATCTGTCTTTCTGCGGATCAGTTTCTAAGCGGCCCTTCAGCAATCTCAAAATAAATTTCACCTGCCGACACGCGCGAAATTACGAGCACGAATGGTCGCCGATAAAACGCTTGCAAAGCTTACCCTACCCTTCGCACGGGGATCACTCCTCTCTGATGGCTGTCAACAACGTTCCACGTGTTTTGGAAATTGCGAATATCCGCGTAAGACAGCAGAGCGTCTTCCTCGTTGGAATAGAACAGCGAGAAGTTCTCCATGATTATAGCTGAAGTTTCACGATGATAATCATTAACGTGAGCTCGGCGGATGATTCATTGCCCGTTCTTGTCCTCGTGCATATTGCAATTGCTCTTACCCACTAACAGGTTCAAAACGATGTAAGTGATGATCACGTAGAAAGTACAAAAGTAGGTTAGAGACGCGTGGAAATTGCCGCAATCGGTCTCCCAGTAATTCGGTGCCGGAGTACAGTAAGGAGGTTGCACCATGCAGTCGTGCATTATTTTATTCCAATCTTCGCCCGTGACGATCCGGAATAGCATGGCTATGCCCGTGACTGGTGACTCGAAATTCGCTCGTCTGTCGAAGCAGACGTTCGCGTGAATCTTTCGCGTAACGATCGTGAGGAAGAAGAAGAAGAAGAAATACCTTCCGATGCCTTCGCCATACTTCACAGTTCCGAAGATGATGGTACCGGCGAGCGCGTAAAAAAACACCAGTAGAAACATGCCAAAGATGATGAAGAAGCTTTTGCACACCGACACGCCGACTGTCAGCATGAGCATCTTCAATGTCGTGTGCTTGCCGGTTATCGTGAAAAATCGCAATATCACTACCATGAACCCAATCACGTAGGATAGATCCATCTGCGAACAAGGCGATTAAATTTAAGTATGAATTAAGTTAGCGAAAAATTCCTAAAAAACTTACCGTCATCGTGCAGTATATGATAATCCAAACGACTCCAACGACGGTCACGAGAAGATCGTAACGATTTCTCCTCGACTGCCAGTAGCCACGAGGAGTGAACGCGATAATTTTCATAATAACTTCCACGAGAAAGATCAACGTCAGTATAATGGAAACTGTGGCTAAAGCTTCGGTGTGCTCTTCTTCGACTCTCCACTAAAAAAGTCCTCGTCATTGTTTAGCACGAAGAAGATACATGGCATTAAGCTTCACAGAGAGATGTAAGGACAATCGTACCGAAACACACAGAAGCGAGCTGTTTATGAGAACCATCACGGCGATGAAGCGTTTGAAGTAAATGTTCTGGGTGATGTCGTAGATGAAAGCTCGGAACTTACGGCCGTCCGGTCTTGGCGGCAGGTGTAACGGCTGAGCAATTTTCAGTCGCTTTTTCAAGTCGCACCTGCAAAGGCGATCAGCGCTAGAATCGGCAGCACTGGTCTACTCGGAAAATCAAATTACCATCGTCTCTGATCGACGGTGAGCAAAGCTGTGCCTTTGTTCTCCGAATAATTGGCGATAACAACACCGACGAACAGCGTTAGGCCAATCATGCAGCCAAGGAAGATGTATATGTGGATGTAAATCGCGTGCACCTGAACGCAAAAACATAGTTCGTAAAATGGGACACCGTTGCTCGTGGGAATACGCGGAGACTCACGGGGCCCAGAGCTTTTATCAGCACGTCTCGGACGTCCAGCCAGCCTTTGAACGACAGGACCTCGAATAGCGCCAAAATGGCATCGCCTATGTTGTCGAAATTGAATCGACGTGGATTCGCCCTGCAAAGTCGGTTCCTCCCTGTAAGCATTCGGCCGTCGGATTCAACTTGCGACCAACTTACCAGACTCTCGGTACGAGGATCGAGGGATAACTTTCGTTAGGCCCTGGTTGCAGCTTCATCTTGGTCACGAAAACTCTTCTCATGAATACTCCGACGCATTCTTCTCGCTTGATTATTGTGGGGTCGTTGCACCGTGCCAGTCGGCCGCCGTATAGCTGAACTCCGTAACTGGCGAATATGAACATCAGCAGGATCAGCAATATCGACACGAGTAAGATCTCTTTGAAGCCTCGACACAATTCGTACACGACTTTTCTCATGTGCGGCACCAGAGTGAAGATCCTCAGAGGGCGAACGCAGCGAAGAATCATCAGCAGCTGAGCGCTCGAGTTTGGTGGAACGCTGCGAGGCATCCAGCAGAGAAACACCAAGCTTACCTTCGATACGGCAATAATAATTGGCTGCATTTTCGAAAGGTCGACCGATCGGGAGGTGAAGGAAGATATAGCGGTGCGTTTACCACGTAAATAAAAACGTCGAGAATCGAAGCGACGTCTTTGATGTAGGCCTTTGGTGTGAAGAACAAGCCGTCCGCGAGGATTTTCAAAGCCAACTCGATGCTCATGAATATGACGAAGCCGTACTCGGCGATTTGCAGAGCTGGCACTTCCATTACTCTGTACTTTGGGGTCTCGAACATCATCGAGATGCAGGAGAAAGTGGTGGCGAGGATCATCACCCAGTCGAGATAAGTGACGAGGCCGAGGAAGTTGCTGCGAACGAAAAGACGCGTTGTCGTCGTCGTGAACAAGTGCGATTTCCGCTTGGTAGATCACTTACTGCAAGCTCTTGTACTGGACTTTTCTCTCCTTGCCGGTGAGAGGGTCCTTCAATCTTGCGTCGTACCGCGCGTACACCAACAACTGGCAGAGCTTGCGGAATCTGCTCTCTCGTGGCACCACGAACAGAGGCGTGTCGAAGAATGGATGATTCTCTCGCAGATCTTCTTCCCGTTGATTTCTAAACGGCCATGCAGCTTGAAAAATATCGCTCTGCGCTTTCGGTGAACGTCGGCGAATGCCTTACCTTCTCATTTCAGCCTGCTGCCGTTTGGCCTGCAACAGTTTGATGTCCAAGTCGTGAGGTCGGCCGCTGCGAGACGAAGTCATGCGGTTGATGGCTCCAACGTCGCCGTTTTCCATCAGGTGCTCGTACGTCTGCTTCAGCTTGATCGAGCCGCTTCTCACACTTCTGCGTATCGATCTGCGAGAGGCCAGCTGGGTTGGCTTGGGCGAACGCTCGCGCAACGTAGCGCTTGTCGACACTTACTTTTTTTGATCGATGCGCAACTGCTTGGTATTGTTGACTGTTCCCTGTGGCTTTAGCAGTCCTTTACCTGGAACTGGTATCATCGCGGAGTCGCCCAGAAGTAACCTTTGATTGTTCGAATCGCTAAAACAAAAAGCACGACTGACATTTCGATCGATTCGAGCGATGGCTCTGGACAATGGATAACGCTTTTTATTTACTTGATAATGTAGGTGACGGCAGCCTTCTTGAAACTCGTTTCGACGACTCTGGCTTTAGGAGGCTTGTTTAAGAGCTCGAGAGGTCGTTGCTTGCGATAAACCATTTTCGAGTCGAACAGCTCGCTGGCTTTTCTCGTGCCCTCGTTTTCTTCGTCCTCCACTTCGTACACGAATTGCCTCATAAAACTCTCGCGAACCTGCGAAAACATAGCATTGATTTAGGAGATCCGTCATCGCTAAAAGTAAAATACGAGTACTTTCGGCAGATTGAAATCCGAAGGAACTTTGTGCAGGCATGTCATCTGTGGACTGTCCGGGAACTTTTCGAAAATTCTCAACCTAAACGGCAGTGTCTCTTTGATTTCAGCACTCTGCTCCCGGAACTTAAGCTGCTTCAGCTTTTTGATGTCTTCGTCAAGCTCCAAGTTATCCAAAATGACTGCGACGAAAAGACTCAGCACGATCTAATGCAACAACTCGCGTTAAAGTCGTCGCCGTGATTGGTTTTCTCAAATTAAATTTCGAAATGTACCAATGTGACGAAAAGATGGTAGAGTATGAAGTAAACAGCGACCAGCGGGGCGATCGACTCGTGCGTGCGTATCATGGTTTCGTCCATGACTTCGACCCAAGCTTCTTGAGTCAGGATTTGAAACATAGACATAAAAGCCTGCAAGTATCATCGATCGGTGCTTAATAACCATCCGATGTGCGCTCAAAGAATGTCGAACGAAGTCTTACTTCCGGAAAAGTTTCGAATTTCGTGAAATCGCACAGAAAGCAAAAGAGCTGCATCGAGATGCTGGACGATATGACGAGCAAACACATCGTGAAAATAATCAGGCTGCCGAGTTTTTTGCCCGGACCGAAGATCTTGTAGACGAAGTCTTCGAGCATCGGGGACGCTTTGATCAAGCGGACGATCCTCAAGACCTGCAAATCAAGTATTTTATATGCGTTCCATAAATCTGAAGAAAATTGTTGATGGCAGCTTACCTGGAAATAGGTAAAGCCAGACAAGTAGAAGAAAGGTAAAACGTGAATAGTTGTCCCGATGGACAGTAGCAGCTCGAACTTGTGAATGGAGTGCTTATAATAACTTCGGAAGCCCAGGCAATAGATCTTGAAAATCGTCTCGAGATCCAGTAAAATCGTAAAGGCAATCTCCGCGTAATAATATTTATCGTAGAACGTGTGCCTTGGCCTCTCGTCGTGCTTGAAATTCATCGTCGCGGTCGTGATGCCGTTGGCCAAAATAGCACACATGACGACCATCCGGAATTGCGGCGATCGGAGGATCATCTGGCAGAAGGGCGAAGCCAAGCCCCCGTGTTTGTTCTCGTCGAGCGTGATGAGCCGCCAACCAGTTTCGTCGCCGGTCAGCATCTGAGAGGCCGAGCTGTTGCTGATGGTCGCGCGAACTCCCCACATCTGCTGGAACTGCACGCGTATCTCGTTGAAGGTCTCCGTGATGACGGCGATGAAGACGTTCTTCACCAGCCACGCCAGGAAGAAGATCATCGTGCTGAAGTACAAGATCGCTCGCCACGCCGGCAAACTGTCGATCGCCCGGTACATTATGAACACCCAGCCTTCCTGAGAGGCTGCCTGGTACACCGTGAAGATACTCGTCGCTGCAAAAGTGCACAGTCGGCAGAGAGTGCCTGACGAATCGCGACCTCGACGCTCGACAGTTTAGAGCAACCTACCGAATTCGTCGAATCCGTTGAAGCCCATAATGTATTTGGAAAGCTCGAGCTTGAGACACTTCATGCCTTCGGGGCACTGATAGCCGGACTCAGGATCGGTCGAGCAAAAAGTGTCCGGAATCGCGAGGCTGTTGATGGTGATGTGCGATGGATCGGTGGTGTTCAGCACGCAATGATTGGTGAGCTGGCCGAAAAACTGCACGCCCAGTAGTCCGTAAAGCGACATGAAGAACAGGAAGAACAGGGTGACATTGTAGATCTGCTGGCTCGAGCGCTTGAAGATCTGATTGATTCGAGCTTTCGGCATGGAGAATTTGAGGAAGACGCGCAAGAAGCGAATCATAATGAGCGGACGCGGAGCTCGACAGGTCGACGCGTAACTGAAAGTCGTGCTGGCGAAACCCAACATCTCGAACATCTGCAGAATCACCGACATCCACAGAAAGAGGACCATGCTCGCGTCGAATTGGCACCAGTGATCCTTCAGGTACGCTTTCTCGCTCTGCAAGCAAAACACCTCGCTGTCCAAGTGTCTCTTGATATGGCTTACTTTCGGATGCTAGCTGTACCTTGAGTATCCCGCGAATGTGCATTTTGGCGATCATCTCGGCCGTGAAGAGAAACGTGACCACGAGGTCGATCGTGAAAGTGATGTACTGAGTGGGCGGGTACTTCTCGAAGGTCTTCGGAGTGTTCATGCATACCGAGGCCAGCGAGAGAAGGGCGCAAGCTCGCATCAGCCGACGAACCCAGAGCTTGCCGTGGAAAACAAATGCATTCGCGATTAACGCTCGTGCTCGCGACTATGGCCTGCGCCAGTAAAAAGTGGCATTTTGCGCTCGTACCTTGTTGACCCACTCAATGTCGGTGCTCTCATTGAGGGACTCCTCCGGTCCGTAGTCGGCTAGTACGGGCTCGCCCTTCAAGCTCTGCTTGCGGCCCAGCATCGATACGGGAATTACGTTCGCAATCTTGATGCCTACAAAATCATTTGTTTCTTTTTTCATCGTCAGTTATTTCGGCGCGCTATCGAGCCTTTCGAGCGCGTTATGCGAAAGCTCTGAAATTGAATTTAAGATTAGTCCAAACTCTGACTAAACCCTCAGTATTCTGACAAGAAACGCGCGATTCAAGTTTTATTGTTTGCTAACGGAGCTTAACGAACAAGCTGCTACTTGGCTAGCGCGGCTTTCAGTTGTAGCAAGTGCAAGTGCAGGCAAAGAGGAGAGAAGAGCAAGAAGCGTGTTACCTTTTGTTCGCAGAGTGCTGCCTCGACAGCACTCTACGTTCGTAGCAGCAAAATCTATCCTTCGACGCAAGGAATGGCGTGGTCGCGCGCGATCATCGCGACAGATTCTTCACGTGAGGTGTCGTCGCTTTTTCGCGCACAGCATCCCGACAAAGTCGATCTAGCCTCTCATCTCGACTCTCCTTCGCTGGGGCACTGCAACCCTCTCGACCACTGCTTCTCTCCCCTTTACTGCGCGCCACTGCGCGCACTCGCTTTTCACGTCCCCCCTTGGATGTCAGGAGGTAGATTACCCTCGACCCGGACTTGCTCGCGCGTATTGTACGTGCAGAATGGTATTTACACTACGCGGGAATTACGGTATAAGCTTTCCCTTTCTATCGTCAATTCGACGATGCGATTTAACTGTGTACTAATAGTCATTCTGCGCGACACTCGATAGCATTTTTATTGAGGAGTTGTCACAATGTTTTATATATATATATATATGTCCACAAAAGAAACGCCTTCCATACGTTAAAGGGAAACACAACATAATGAAATAAGATGTTAGACGAATGGCAATTGAGTTTTTGTCAGCAATCATTCCGGTTACGTTGATACCGACTATTTTTAATCAATTTTGGAAGTAATCAATACACGTGGAAATAAAAAAGTACGAATAGGTGTTGGTATTTTCACAAGTTTATTGAAAAAATGATAAATACTAATACATTTAACTTTATTACTACTGGTTGATATGATAAAATTACAAATGAATATTTGTACACGCGTACAACATACTCTTAAACGATGTTAGAATGTAATAGGTGAAAAAAAAAGTCGTTTGAGTCAATAAAAAAAATTAGAAAAACTATTTTTTATGTACTGAATCGGGCAATATTGTGCGAGAGCACAAAGTGAATAAGAAATGTAAAAGCTATTTTACGGCATTCTCGCAGATGTACTAATTACAATTAATCTTACATCTATGGCCTTATCATTAATTTGAAGGTATAGGTATCATGTTAAGTATCGTAAAATTGTAACATGAATATAATCTGTTAGCTGGTAGTTATACGATGAAATTGATACGTATATGAATGACAGGATGATTCTTTTTATGCAATAGTTTAATTTCAATTTAAAAGCTATTGTAATTGTTTCCACCAAGCTGGTTGTTTCCATATCCTCGGTTGTTCTGTCCATAACCTTGCTGCCTATTGTAATTACTTCCTCCACCCATACCTACAACCATGTTGTCGATATTTAAGTTCGCTTATTTAACGTAGATTTCAAATATCTTTATTTTCGATTTGTCGTTACCTCCACCGCCGCCTCCGCCGCCGCTGCCGCCACCTCCACAAAAGCTTCCAATACCTCCAAGCATTCCACCGCCACCACCGCCACCGTTGCCACCGCCACCTCCGCCACAATTATTTCCCATTCCTTGATTGGAGCCGGAGCTTGAATTTAAGAATAATTCTATGTATCTATGAGACATGTGGCTTTTGTCCTTAGACATAGCTTTGACAGCTTCTTCGTGAGAATCAAATTCTACATCTGCTTCTCCAGACGCTCTACCTCCATTTTCAAGAATTATTCTTATGTTTACTGGCATGAGTGGGCGGAAGAACTATAATGTAAAAACATAACCATAAAATTGAAATATTCCAAAGATACTCAAAAAATTTGAAGACTTTAGAAAAATAAGAAAAGACTTACATCAGCAATATCTTGTTCTGTGGCTCTAAATGGTAGTCCCCTCATATGCACGCAATGCATACCTGAATTACTACCACCACCCCAATTGTCGTTACCTCCTCGGTAATTTCCACTGCCACCTTTCATGTCCATGTTACCACCTCGCATTCCACCCATATTACCCATACCTCCCATACCTCCCATACTTCCCATACTACCCATACTGCCCATACTGCCCATACCTCCCATACCACCCATTCCTCCCATCCCTCCACCGCCGCCTCCGCCGCCTCCCATGTTATTTCCTCGACTTTGATAATTGTTACCGTTGTTCCATCCTCCTAAACCATTGTCAAAGTCTAAAAGAAAACAATTTTGTTAAATAAATTTGCAGAAAAATAAACTCGATCAAAACATGACGAACTTCAATTTTACCTCTATTTCCACCACGGTTTCCTCTACCATTATTGTTGAAACGGTTCATGCCACCGAATCTACTTCCTCGGTCATATGGAGCTGGTCTTTGGTTAAAGCCGCCGCCCATCGGGCCTCCTCTCATCTTAGGACCGATACTGGCACGAACTTCAGACAAGCTACTCCTGAAGATTTCAATGTATCTGCAGGCCATTAAAGTTGAATCGTTAGTAAACTGAAGTTTTCGAGAAAAATATAGTAAGTAAAATTATTTCATGTGCAAAGACATAAAATAATTTTGTAAATTATGGTAACAAAAACAAAAAATAAGAAAGTAAATAAAAGAATAAAAGGAATGCCAAAAAATTGATTTGCAAATGAATTTAAAAATATATTACAGAAATGAAATATGTTATTGATTTCATATCACTGCATTCAAGACTTGTAAATAAACTGTGACTGATGTGTAACATGCTTAAGTAATTTCTAATCACTACAAAATAATTCATTAACTGTATTTGTACTGATGTAATATAAATATAAATGATTACAATATTTCACAGTTCATTTACAGATATCAAAGCACCAAAAATAAATAATAGATAAAAATGTGTTGGCTACCTCCGAGAGCCCACCCTTTTATGGTGAATTGTCTCAGGACAAACCTACCCACCTCCCATGGGCTTCTGAAGTCGATGTAAAGGGGTACCTCCCGCCCGGAGCCCCAACCCATTGGTTTTGCATGGGCCAACAGTACTTTACTTACATTCGACTTACTCTCGTTTTTGTTTTTCAATAGATATTCATATCGTTTCTCCACACTGTGATATCATGCATTACTTAGTCCAGTTAGTAAAAAAAAAGTATTCTTGAAACAATTTTCTAATCAAATTATGATCTTGTGAAGAAACTATATGACAATAATTAATCAGCTCAATCAACTATTGAAGAAGTTGAAGAGCCACTCAAAACTACAAACTTGCAAAATGGTAGAAGAAAATGGAGTATACCCAAACCCATTCAGTGCCCCACCTGTGTCCTATCTTTTCCTTGTGTTTCTGCAGAGCGCGCTCCGCAACATCTTTGTTAACAAATTGAACGTAAGCCTCCCCAGTACTGCGGCCCGTGTAGTCTGTCGGTAGCGAAATCCCGTTCGGCAAAATCTCCAACCCTGACCCACACATAATCAAAGAACGAGTTGTAGCTTAGCGCCCATTAAATTCATTTGATTTTTTTATATATTTATGGTAAATTACCCTTATTTCTAAATCAACACTAAAACAATGTGGAAATTAATATTAGGATATCTGAGAAATAATACACCACCAAAAAATATCAAATCAACTATAAGTCTACAATATTTTATTATACTGTAATCATGATGAGAATAATCCTTTATCAGACAATAGAAAGTATAGTTACAAAAAATGTTTTTTAAAAGTGATGTATTTTTCCTCACAAAATGTAGTTCTTCATTTTATTTGGATTAAATTTTAATTTCATTAGCCGTTCAAAATTAAAACAAAAATTACTCAATAATTTTAGAAATGAGTGCACTTTAAATAGTTTGATTAATCATTGAAATGTTCATGTAACAGTGAGTATACCTGAGAAGAATTGTGCAATTTCCTCTTTGGAGCAACCAAATGGTAAGCCTCGCAGCCTAACACAGCCATCATCCATAGCATTTTCCAGATTTAAGCCACTCCTCTTTATTACCCACTCCATTTCTCCTCTTTTAGCTTTAAATACTGTAATTATCAATATTGTTTATATGAGTATTGTTGAATTTAAATACTAAAATATAATAGAATTTCAATAAAATTGTACCTTCAATGTAACGATGGCCCATGTGATCCCTATCTTTTTTGCATGCTTTTTCAATATCTTCTTCCGAGTCCATTTCTATATATGCTTCTCCACTTGGTCGTCCCTCCTTTGACATTGTCATGTGTATTCCTGCTTTTCCATGTGTAATACTGCATTCGCCAAAAAACTTCATGATTTCGTCAACAGTTGTTGACCAGGGTAAACCTCTTACTTTTATCACATGGCCTTCATCATCATGTTCACTACCGTTATTAGCCATTTTCCTTTTTTGACTGTTGAAAAAAAATCAATATGAACAATTTGTTTTGACATAAATAATAAAGATATCAATAGCTACTAGAATAGAAAAATAAACAAATGTTATTCAATATATATATTTATTTGTAATACACATTTATATAAGCCAAAAAAAATACAAATCGTTATATGAATCTGAAGCAAAATATTTATATTTTGTATACAAAATACATTATATTTAGAAGAAATAGAAGATACAAAAAATAAAGAAAAATAAAGGTTTCTCAATATAGCGTCGTTTGATCAATGTTTAGACGCGAACATTCTATGAGCACGCGCTGGGCATTAACCACGTCAAATCCATAAAACACGTATTTCATAAATTTTAAATACAAAAATAGACTATTCATATACATCACTCGTAATAAATTGAACAAGTTGCGCTATTATCAATAAGTTACTTACATTTCTCTATCCTTGTAAATTAGATTGACCGTATGACAACGACTAGCCGGAGTCAGCTATGGAAATGGCGGACGAGAGAGGTAAGCGGAAGTGTAGGAGTAGGGTACAGGGAAGTGCTCTATAGAGGGCACCTACTTCGGTCTCTCTCATAAAAAAGAATTCAAACATACATTCATTTTATACAATGTAGAATATAATTTTTGTTTCTCATAAATCAAAACTACTCATTATCCTAATTCGAGGTATACCGATATTGTAGATTCCATTTATAAAGGCGAGCAAGCGAATTAAACTCGAATCATTTCGAATTGAACGCGATCACGCTAAAACGGCTCCTCGTTGGTTAATCAAAATTCGATTCGATTCGAGTCGAGTTCGAGTTTCAATTTCGAGTTAAAGAGAAATCGAATCTATCAAAACAATCAAAACAAATGGGAAGTTAACCTCATGCAAACAAAAAGTATATTGATACCATACTGAAATATATCAATAATTTAAAAATTATAATATGGATACTCATTTATAAATTACATCAAACATTCAAACATATAGTAAATGGCACTTGTTACACGCGCGCGTTGCACGCTGATAAACTGACTAGTATTATAAAATATGAGGTTTGTTTGTTAAAAAGCTATGTTTTCAAGTATTTTATTATTATCATAAGAAAATTGTGAGAAGAATGTTCTTTACGCGTAGATATTGTAGAAGCAGTTTAATTTATAAATATATCAAATAAATTGACCAATGCACGTGAAGTTTTACAAGTTAGTAATGATTACTATTTAAAAATATTTAATTAATCTGAATTAAGTTATAAAAGTAGTTGATTATATATAATAAAATTATGAAAATGAAAAAACATTTATTTATGTAAATAATGGGATGTAAAAATAGCATTAGTGATAAAATGCAATTTGTATACAAAAATGGCTTTTTATTTCGTTCAAAATTATAAATATTATTTTAAAATAACAAGTATAATACAATCAATATATTTTATAAGTTTTTAAACAAAAAAAACTAAGTAATTATAAGATCTATAAAATTTATAAATTTCTAACATTCTTATGTTTTTCACATTAATAATTCTAGTACATTATTCTTTGCTTATAGTCTTTCAGCAGAAATACGTTTATATTAGATTAAATCTTAGTCCTACATTAAAATTTGAATTTGCTCTGACATAAAAAAATCGAAAATTTTTGAAGAAGAAATAGAAAAGATTTGAGAAAGATCACATTAACGCAAATATATATATTTTCTTATACAGGCGAATGTTTTATTTAAACATCTACAAATGGTAGATATGGCACATGGAAATGACACATGCACGGCGCTATAAAAAAAGATGTAATATAATAAAAAAATAAAAATTTATAAATAAAACTGTAAAAAAACACTGTAAACCAACGGCTGTCCGATAGAAAAATAGGTTACGAAGAGTAAAGTAAAAAATAGGCACGGAGAGTAAAGAAAAAAAACGGAAAACAAGTAGGTAATCGCTTGAAAAACAATGGCAATGAGCACGTGAGTATGAGGCTAATGAAGAGTATAAAAAAAAAAGAAAATAAAAATGATATTTACAAGGTGGAGGAGAGCAGCGCGGGGGTGTGGTCGAAAGCGAGTGTAACGAAAGAGATACGCCGGCGGCGATATGATCACCGCTGTCGTGCGATTAAGCCGCCATTGAGTTCCCCCATGTAGCGCGCCAGCTCTTTGCCGTTGAACTCGTTCTCCTCGAGGTCCTGCAGGCTGGAATTGCTGATCGTGTTCGCGCTGCGGATGCTCGGCTGACTGTTGCTGTGGCGAATGCCGAACGGCTCTTTGGTGAACACCGCGACCGTCTCCACGGGCTGCTTGCCGTTGCCGCCGCTGACTCGCATCCTCAGCTTCAGAGCTTGCGGCTGAATGGTCAGCAGTCCACCCGCGCCGAGCTTCAATCGATCTCTCAGGATGCCTGCACAGCCGCACGATCGCAATTAGGAAGTGCTCTTCGATCGATCACCCGCTTGGCCGGCTGCGCGCGATTAGAATTGACGATTGGCCGTGGCGCTAACTCACCCAAATTGACCGAGCGATGCTTGCGAGACGGCTTGCCGGTCGCTCGTGTCTGCGCCAGCGGCTTGCTGTTGAGGTTGCCGCTGGCTTCCAGCTGAGGCTTATCGCGAGGAGGCGTTAAGATTGTTGCTTGACTAGAATTCGATGATCCTCGAGAATGCTTCGGATGCCCGTAGCCGTTCGCCGATCCTACTGCCGCTTGTTCGCCCTAGGGGCAATAAATTTACATGCAGCGTTTTATTCGGCCGTCGATTCGCTCGCAGCCTACACCCCGGCAAGCGAAACGAGATTTTCAAAAGCTGCCTGCCTGTTCGTCTACCTCTCGATTCTCTGATCTCTGTCTATGTCTAGCTAACCAATCTTTGGCAGCTTCGTCAATCGAGTCCACCTCGAAAGCTTCGAAAGCCGATGAGAGTCTGGGCCAAACTAACGGAAATCGATCCTTCAACTCAAATCAATGACTCACTGTTCGGGGATGATTGACTTGGCAGGAGTTGCAGTCGGCGAGCGATTCCTGGGCGTTCACGTCGTCGCCATCGGCGCGATGATAATCTTTGCTCGGCCACGTCGAGCTGAAGGAATTGTCGCGCATCAGGCGCAGAGTACTGGCTTTGGTGGTGCAGTCGTGGTTGACCGCGGCAAGTTTCTGCGTCTCCTCGCTGACCGACAGCGAGTCCGACATTCGCGGATCGGCAGCGCCGCGATGCAACGCCGAGCGCGGATAGCGCGAGAAGCTGCTGTAACTCGGTCTGCTCGTGCGAGCTTTCTGCAGTCTACGACCGCACTGCTTGGAGAGCATCGCCTGCCGAAATTCCAAATGTATTAGCCGAGCACTTGGCGTGCGAGCAACGCTCATTTTTGCGCTCTCTTGCTCTTGTCGAGGACCGATTGCGCACCCTCGTCCCCGAGCTTTTGCTCCGCTGTCGCGTATAACGAGCCACGACCGATGACGTATTGGCCTCCACTTTGATCGACGGCAATTCTGAACTTTCGTTGTCTGGGCGCGCGGGGGTGGGCTGGTCTGCCTCTCGACAGACGCGAATTTATGTTCCGAAAACAGAATCGTCCTCGGATTAACCGCCGTCGTGCAGTCGCGGCAAAAACGGAGAAGCTCGTTATCTGCTCGAGCGTTTTTGCAAAACGAACGCGTCGCAATCATTCGCGTCGATTCCGAAATCTAATTATCTCGACGGCGACAAATAAAAAAAAACAAAAGAAGAAAATAAGAAAAAAAGCGGAGGCAGAAGAGGGTCGCACGACGAATAATTATGCGCCGAGCGAGACTCGAATAAGTATGTTTCACCTTGAAAGCCTCGCGAAATTTGTTGGACATGATGTTGTAGAGCAGTGGGTTGATTGTCGTAGATAAGTAGTAGAAGACTCCAGATGCGTAGGTGAGTGCTGTATAAACTGGCTGCACTATTGCCCTTTTCTGGCCGTCCTTTTTATTATTCTCCGCGTACACGGCCAGCAAGCGCTGCGCGTGAAACGGCGCCCAGCAGATAAAGAACGCCACCACTACTGCAACTGTTATAAAGAAAAAAAAAGGATACGCACATTGCTTCGTTTATTACTCCTGCTCGTTTATAATTCCATCGGCTTTTTGTTTGCCCATTAGCCGAGATACGAGACCTCGATAGCGCGGATCACGCAACGCGCGCCGAGATGAAAAAATGGCATATTCGTGTGTTAGTGAAGGATGAGTTGCGAAAGCTATTTATTATTGCGTACATGTAGCTTTTTTTTCTCAGATGGATGAAAATATTCGGCAAGTTAATGGGTTCTCTTGATATGACTGACAGTTATCAGATCGCGTAACGTGTCACTCTGCGATTTATTTGCTTGTTTTGCGTCAAAGAGCGAACCAGACATATCCCTTCGGATTCGGAGGAACCCTAAATGTTTTGCGTCGAATACAAAAATGCCGTTCGATTCGCTAATGTAAAAACGAAAATGTCGCAGGCTTGTGGGGCGTAATACACGGCACGATGGCCGCGCTCGTGTCAAATCAAGCCTTTTAGCTGACCACTACTATTTATACCTGCGGTTTTTGTGAATTTTCAACTGGAGGCAGTTACCTTCCATTTCAAAAGTTATGTTGCGCAAATATCTACTCTGCACGACCTGAATTCATGCGTAGGCCTTCGTCGTTTTCTAAATTTAGATGCGAATCAATAGAAATCCAGAAAATAACCATTGTTCGATTTCGCTCGCGATATTCGAGAGAAAAGCAATTCATAGATACACCCGATTAATCGACTAGACGTTAACATTTTTCTATTTTGCGAAAACTTAGTGCGCGGCTGGTTTCGTCACCTTTCCCCCGACTCCGCAGAACTTGTCAGTCAGCTAGTTTCTATCGCCTAGTGTGGCGAGCACACTATTTCTGTTCTCGACGCTTTCAATTTGTTAAACTTAGCTTTTCGGGATTCCAAGTCAAGGATTTCGGTCGATTGTACTTTCATTCGATGGAATCTTTCAATCGTGCAGGAATATAAGTCACGGGCTTGCGAGAGGAAAGAGGAATCAAGGATTACGCGCTTTCAGTAGGAAATGTCAGCTGTTAAAAAAAAAATAAATAAATAAATAAAAAGAACAAAACAAAACGGAAATAGAATTTTATAATTGCAGCTGCAAAGTGAATGGTCGTTTCGTGGAAAAGGATTTACGAATTTGGCGAAAGCATAAATTATTTGAGAGAGAGAGAGAGGGAGAGGGACGGCCAAAGCGCGATCGCGCGCGATTAAAATTAAAATGCAAAAGCCATGTAGCGGCGCGTTATTGCGCGGATTGTAGTGTATACATATCGGGTGATTAGCGAGATATTTATGAAGTATCATTTTTGATGTCGAGCTCTCTTCGAGACACGCCAAGAACGTTTGATTGGTCGAAGTAACGAAGCGACAACCGGTTTCTCGTCGTCGATCGCTCGTGCGAAACGCAGCGCGCAGTCGGATATATATGCTTTTCCCCGCCAGCAACCGAAAACAAAGATTGTCTCCGTTGGCCAACTCTTACATGGTTTTCGATTTTAACCAATTATAAAGATACTCTTGCGCGCTTAGTTTATCGTTCACTCAATTTCTCGCCGCTTCGAGAACGAATTCTTTTTTTTATACGTGTCTAGTTCTTCCTGATTTGAGTGTTTCGCAATCGTGACTGTGGTACGGAAAAAATTGCATTAAAAAAATAATACCTATAACTGGTTCGTTCTTTTTTTCCGATTATTTTTTGATTTTTTGATTTTTCATGTTTTTTTTTTTCCAAAGTATAATCGGTAATTCTGAATCGGTAACCGTTATTTTGCAAATACCTTTACCTTGAAAATCAAGAGATAAAGAAAGAAAGAGAGAGAGAGAGAGAGAGAGAGAGAGAGAGAGAGGGGCTCTGCCGCGAATACCGGTGTTGAGAACGGAATTCGATAATAAAAAAAATGCTGCGCGACGAGCGCTATAATCCCAGTACATCAAGCTACGAACCCGACAAATCGATCGAAAGTAAGAGCAGCCTACTTTTTAATTACAGCTTCAGCTGCTACGAGAGACCTTATTGAATAACTTGTTAAAGACCTTGTTTCATCGCTCCTATAGCGTGCGTTTATTTGAAAAATATTCGGATTCTTTTGAAAATGATTCTCAGCTACAACGCGTACACGATCATACATCTCGCGCTTCGAATATTTAAGCAAAACCAACAACAGGACGTTGATAGGCCGTCGAGAAAGCTGGAGAGTTTTCTCGAGTTTAGAGAGGAACGTAGGCGTGATTCGATTGCGAAAGCATAGAGATTTTGGTAAAGATAGCCGAGGTTAACGTTGACATATCCACAAGCGTACATCTCGACAGGCGCGCGAATTTTTTTTCGGATCATGGAACAAAGATACTCCGAGTTATTTGTAAACTAGATTGGCGCGCGCGCTTGGACCGTAAATTAATCAAGTTTAGTGCGAAAACTTGAAAAGTACATTTGCAAAAATATGGCCATAGCGACGTCGACATTTCAAATGGTAGCAAGCCACTCGAATGGAATAATTAATTCGAGCGAGACAATTGCTCTCCGAGAGGCGAAACCGTCGCGAGCCGTTCTTCCAAAGTTGCTCAAATTGATCCGAGTTACAAGCGATCGATTTGTTTCTGTTTGCTGTATTTGGCCGTGTGTTTTGTTGACCGATCAATCGGCATTGTGCGTCTTATTTACTTGGCGTGCCGATAAGTTGGCTCGATTGATTATTTGACTGAAACGCCGAAAATAGAAAGCCTCGAATGATATACCGCGAGGCAAGCCACTAAATCAATTGCCAGCCATTAGCCTTGTATAGGCGGAACGCTGTTTTCCCGGCGGCGCGCTCCGCCAACTGAAAAAGGCAGTGCGAGCGCCGAGAGTTTTCTCCTCGATTATCTTGTTATTCGCGCGACGCGATTCTCGTTTTTGCCGAGGAGAAAAACGCCAGCGGCCTATTTACGCGGGCACGACTTTGCGCCGTGAAAACCCCGTGTCGGTGTATTACGAATGCCATATATGGCCGTGTGGTCGTAAACGTGTATACGTACCGAGCATGCGAATGACATTCTTCTGCGCGCTGCTCTTGCCCCTCGCGCTGTCGCCGTGGCTCAGAGCATACCCCGGCGGAGTTCGCTTGACCAACGACAGTAGCCTGGAGCTGCGGAGCTTCAGTCCGATGAGGATGTACAGCACCGTGATGACGGTCATGGGCACGACGAAGAACACTATGGTCGACAGTTCGAAGGCGTGCTCGATGTAGATCCTCTTGACCGAGCAGCTGGCGGTGTGCTCCAGTGTCGTGCCGTTGGTCAGCAGCTGATAAACGATGCCGAACTGGATGGCCTGGGGAATGGCCAGGATCAGCGCCAGCAGCCAGATCGCGATCACGAACTTGACCGCTCGCGACAGCTTGGACATGGTGTGCGACAGAAACGGGTGGCATATGGCCACGTACCTGCAACACCAGCGAGAAGCGTGCCGTCGTCAGCGTTCGGGAGCCAAAGCGGACGAATCTCGAGGGGACGGACGGGATACGCGATTCGGCCGAAAAATGCCGCGCGCTCGTTTCCCGTGGAGCGCGGATCGTCTGCTCTTTTACGACGCCCGCCGCCTGTCGAGCACAATTGCGCCCCGAGAGAGCCCGTATTTTATCGTCGCGCCCTTCGCCGACTGGATCGCGATCGGAGGCAAACAAACAAGGGCCCCGTAACGAGCCATAAATAAGGAGCTTTGCTTTTCCATTTGGTTTAATAGACTTGTGTACAGCGCGATCTTAATGCGAAAAGGGTGCTGCCGGTGCGCGAACCTCAGCCCGGAGTCCTCGTTCGAGGCCTTCCACTCGCAGCGAAAAACGGCCGACGCGTTTATTGCCGCGACGAGCAGTGCGCTGGCCCGTAACACACTTTAGCTCCCTGTACCGTCTCGTACGTTTTCGACGCAATTCCGTATGCTCGGCGCGCGATTAGTCGAATTGCGAGCCGCGTATAAGAAGTCGCGTATCAAACGGAGTTTGACTAATGCTGCCAGTCGAAGCACACCTGCGCGTCCAAACGCGTTGTATTCCACTTTGATTGATTATTCATCGGAGCTAACGAATGCAATTATTGATGTGTACGCGTATCTATTGAGCGTATTTGAACAGGTGCCTGGCGGCTTTGCATTCCGTCGAATAAGTTGGTTATTGAAAAAGAAAAAAAAAACGAATTGCGACGTAGAACATCTCAAAAATACATTTACTACTAGTTGATATTTATAAAGCCGTGCGTTGTCACGCATATTAAGATCGTTATTTATAAATAAAGCCGAGCGTGCTGAATGAAAGCTTGAAAGATATACCGCATGCATCTTTTTTTATTTGCCAGTAAAGTCTCGTCACGTGCGACTTTGTTACTCGGGGAATCGTAAACAACGGAAGGAATCGAACGTGACATTTATCAAGGAAGCCGAGTCACGTTTATGTAAAATTCGAACGCGCCGGTGATCTATATACGTGTTTTCCGATGCTTAATCGCTTAATCAGACGAATAAAACGGTTTAGTCGGCGGTAAAGTATATTATTTCCTGGCCAGTCGCGACGACTATGGTTGCATTTGTACAACAAAACTTATCGAATGCATTCAAATCGAAGACGTTTCTCGTTGTTCTGGCGACAGAGAGGAGTGTGCGTACAAGGTAAACTCGATAATCACGAAACGAGAAGACGAAAATTGATCGCCCTTTTCGAAGAGATAAGTTTGCTCGAAATGATTTTGGATGGTGCAACGAAAGAGCCGAAAAGAGCGATCGAAGAATCGACAAACCTCTCGATGGTGAAAGCCGTGATGGTGAGCACGGTCGCGTTGGCCGACGTTTCGGCGGCGAAGCTCTGTACGATGCAAAAGGCCTCTCCGAAGATGTACGGATAATTCGACCAGATGTAATACATCTCCGGCGGCAGGCCGCTCAGCAGCAACAGCAAATCCGATATCGCCAGGCTGAACAGGTAGTAGTTGGTGGCCGTGTGCATGGACTTGTTGCGGGAGATGACCACGCAAGTCGACACGTTCCCGATGAGCCCCGTGAAGAATATCAGAGCGTAGACTATGGTTATCGGGACGACGAGGTAGAGCGAGTCGCGACGGGAATGGCCGCTTCTGCCGGCAGCCGTAAAGTTGGCGTAATCGCGCTGGTCGGCGATCCCCGTCAAGTTCAGCCAAACCGCCGCGGTCGCTTCCATCCGGAGATCCGACCGCTCCCAATTCACATCACTCGCATTGAAGAACATGCTTGAGCGAAGCTCGCCTCGACTCGCATTCTCCGAGCGCTACATTCTTGGGCTTGCTGGCCGGTCACTTCACTTCACTGCACTCGCGCGACGAATCCGCGAAGCCGGACGAGCCGAAGGCGCTTTCTTTTTTCGCCTCTGTTCGGAGCCGCGCCTGTTAAGGTAAAACTCATGCTTCCGATCGATCGCAAGACGGCAAAACAATAATGCCGAGTCAATTACGGATAATGAACACTCGCGTCTGGCTGTTGTTTGATAAAAAGGACGAAGCAGTTACGTCGAGACAATGTCAAATATAATAACCGTTACCGATGCCGCTGCCACCCCTTCTAATCTCCCTCCTCTTTTTTCCTTCTCCTTCTGCGCGCCTTTTACTCGCTCGCCGTCGATGCTTTATCTCCGCTCGTTCGAACGTCCACGTCTCTTTCGCTCCGACTGCAAGCGCTCGTTACCCGCGCTTGGCGGTGACAAAGCCGAACGGGGCTGGCAACGATTCGGCTTATCCGATCGCACTGTCCGCCGGCGGGCGCGCGAACGATAATGGCCCGCGCGGGGACGCTCGCGCGCCAGCGCGAGTGCTTTATCGGGGCCGATATCGGGGCTCCGCTGCGTCGCCGAGCTTTTGCTCTCCGCTGCCTCTCATAGGCAGCTTCAAAATTTCCACTTGCCCTTCCTTTCTCTCGGCGCAAAGAGACCCGGCGAGTCGCTCGGCTCGTACGCCGATCAGTTTGCACGGGGCGGCGAGCGGAACTGCCGTGGGGCTGTTGCTACTTGGCGCCGCGGCGCCTCCTTCTCTCTCCTCTCCTCGCCCATTGCGCGCACACTTCTCACACACACGCCACGGAGGATGATCTCGAGCGCTTGCCCCCCTCTCGCCCGACGCGAGTCGCGCCAGCGCGACCAACCGTCCCTTGTGTATTTGCCGGCGCTCTTCGTTTCTTCCGTTCACTCGCCAAACCGTCTTTCTCGCGCATGCCGGTCCGGCATCGCGCCTGATCCGCGCGCGCACTTGCAAGCACTGCGCCACGGGCCGCGCGCGCGCCAGCAAGAGAGAGAGAGAGAGAGAGAGAGAGAGAGAGAGAGAGAGAGAGAGAGAGAGAGTGAGAGAGTGAGAGAGCACGAGAGAGATGACAACGGGCGCGCGGTGTGCGAGAGCGGCGGTGGACGAGCGACGACTCCCTCGGGAGCCAGCCCGCGCAAGCGAGCGCTCACCTTTCTGCCAGCGATCTGCTCGCTGCTGCTGGTGGCCTGTCTGCTTCGGCGTGCCTTTCCAACTCCGTGGGTAGGGGGAAAACGCGCTCGTGCGCCGCTCCGCGAGAAAGAGAGCGCGCAGAACCCGTTTCGCTGCGCGCACGCCGCCCGTTTAGACGAGGACGACGCGGCCGCCCGAGGACGAGCTATCGTCTCGTGCGCCTCCCTGTCGCCGTCGATCCGATTGATTGCGGAGAGGTGTGGATAAGATTGACGAGCCGATCGGCTTATCGGAGGATCCGCGCGCGCCAGGACGTCTGGGGCTTCTGCGGGATCCCGAGGGGGAGGAAGGGGGGGGACTGAAATCTTTATTAGCGTCGTTAAAAATAGCCGCGCGGCCGGCCGATCTTTCTTCTCCCGGCGACTTATTAATCACTTGGCACGCCGAGCTTTCGCTCTCTTGTTTTCGCGCGCTTTGTGTCACTGCGTGCGTTATTATCCAATCTCCGAATCGAACCTCAGCCTAAGTTCCTTTACCTTTTCGCTCTATGCGAAAGGTCCGCACTCGTCGTACGCACCGGACCGACACTCCGCTCTCTCTCTCTCTCTCTCTCTCTCTCTCTCGCCTCTTCCTTGTATACATTCCATCGCGCGCGGCGCTTTGGGACTGTCTACCGAAGCCTTGATCTCGTCGGATATTTTTGCATGCGCTTGTTTATTTAGCGAGCAAAGAATGCACGAAAGGCGACGTTTCTTTCTTTTCATTCGTTGTTTCTCTCGTTTGGGAATTCCCGCGGCTACGGGATTAATCCTCTTCCGCGGTGTGCTCCGCTGTCGTGCATCGCCTCTTCGGTCGACTATTCGGCCGAGTGAAATGGTGCGATCGATGGGCTTGGCAATCCGTTATTTTGAGGACGAGCGCACGATCGACGTCGGCTCCCCTTGATCGAGCGGCGCGGCTGTGCATGCGATTGCGAAGAAAAGCAAAACAAGTCATTGACTCTCTTGCAGGACTTTTATTTGGCCCGGCATTGCCTCTCGTTTTTTTCCGGAATCGTCTCTCGTTCGAGGAGTCGACAAACGCTCTTGTAATTCACGAGCGTCGTCGGAGATTCACGCGAACAGGAAGGTGCGCTGAATTGACTCTGATATAAATACACGTACACGCGCAATTGTTTATTCCTCGCTTGGTGGCGATTCGCGCGACTCAGTGTATCCGGTCTACGCGTGCAGTCAGCGCGAGCGAGCTTGCGAGCTTTTGTTTTGACTTGTCGCGCGCACGAAAGGAGCAGTCGGCGCGGCGAGTATATTAAATTTAAATAGAAATCGTTTAATTGCCTCACATTCGGCAAGTGGCGTTTGAAGGTCGCGACAGATAGCGCTCCGATTGTCTAATTACGTCGAGATGAACGGACGACTGTATCGCGAAGGCTATCTTGTAAGCGTGCCAAGTTTCTCTTGCCGAAATCAATCAAAAGGAGCACTGTTTGGGAATACACCCCGAGAAAAAAATGCTAATTGCGGGATGCCAGCATCAAGGAGACTCGTGCTCGTCTCGACTTTTCCAAGGCGCGTCTTCATGTTTATTGCAGAATTCCGATATTATTCCTTTTTGTTTGGCGCTCAATCCATACAACCTTTTTTCTGTTTCGTTATTGTACATAAAAAACGATGTGTTATAACTGTCGTAGTTTGTACTTGTAAGTGGACTATTATTCGTATCGCAGACGGGGTCTTATCTTCGCATCATTTGTGATGGATTGAAAGAATATCGGCTACAATATTACTGCAAAAAATCGCAATATAAATAGATTGTCCACGTCTGCTTTTGACAGTGCTGAACAGGAAGTTTCATTTAATTCTAGCTTGATTTTCAAAACGATGTTATTTTAAGTTGACGGACTGGTATAATACATTTGGTAGAATACTGCCAAAAGTCTGTGCGCCTTTTAAATAAACTTGTCGCCATGGTATTCCAACGAAATTGTTTTTCATAATCTATAAACGTATTATACGAATATCTAAAAAAAAGCATGCTCGTGAGAATAATAAGAAAGATAGGGGCGTCCGCAGCAGATCCGCAGGAGACAACGAAGCGCAGAAGAAAAAAAGCCGCGCACAATGCGGAGCCGGGAATCAGGAGAAATAAAAAGAAGAAAAGCCAAGTAAATACGGAGGCGTCAGTCTCGTTGTCGCGCGTGCGAGGTTGTCGAGGAATTTGGGGAAAAAAAAAACAAAAAAAGCATAAAAAAATAAGAGGATTCCACAACCGTTAGCCAATCATTGTAGGTTAACACGCGGAGTAAGCCGGACCGTCGAGCGTATTGGGTATCGATTCGATACACCGCGCAGCATCTCTCCGACGAGATACACAAACATGCCGAATCCATCGGATTTGTTCGCAATTCATGGCCACGCGCGCGCATCCTCGCTCTCGCTTGCTCTTAAGCGCGGTATACACACTCGTGCCGGCAGCGAATCGAAGGTTAATAAATTTTGGCTTTATCGGCGATTATGTAATTCGCTTTTAGAGCTGTGTTCAAAGGTGTTTGCGTATGAGCTATAAGCTGCGCGCGTAGCCGCCGTGTGCACGCGCGCGTCTACATAGCGTGCGAACGGATTTCTTTATGCCTTCCGTACGGCGGAGAGCTCGCCGCGCCGTTTATTTGCCTTGCCGTCGCCGCTTATTTTACAATCGGCAGCCCGCGCCGAACGCTCGGCTGATCGCGGCTGATCGCGCTTGCGAGCTTCGCGATTTTCGCTGTGCAGCTGTCGCCGGCATCGTTCTCGAATCGTCATATCTCTCGAATCTGAACATCAGCAAGTGGAATTCGGGACTCGGATCGCGAAGTCATGGGAATGAGCTGGGTTGGGTTATTGGGTCATTTCTATTCGTGCAAAAATCATTCATTTGCGCGGTTACCTCTGAGCCCTTTTCGCCGCGCGATACGGGCTGTAACTCGGCTGTACACCGAGCTAATATATCGCATTGAAAGCCGGCCGGCCGATCAGCACATCCCTAAATTTCTTCCATCGACTTGCTGTCACACACGTCGCTAATAATCGTAAGTTTCTCCTCCCCGCACACGTGGCTTTTCCGTTTTGTGCTCTTATCTATCAAAGTCGCCTTACTATCGCGCTCCTTTCATATCGCTTATCGCGTGCCCTCGAATATTGATGCACCTGCGACCGAGTGCCATATTTGTGTCTACCTCACTTGTGTTTCTAGGTTTCTACTTCTTTATTATCAGTCGCTTGAAGAAATTTTTTCTTTTTCTTTTATGAAACTCTTATCGTTTCTAATTTTTCTTCTTTCTTTTTTGCTTGTATCTATACTTTTTATCCATCATCTACTTTTTTCAAGCTACATTATCTTGCTCACTCGAGCGAAATACGCGATAAAGCTAAAAAGAAGGATTCTGGCAATTTTGCGGATTATTTTAAAAGTGGCTAATGTTTGGTATATAGCAATCTGCTGCGATGAAATTTGCTTTATCGATTACATGATTAAACAATTACTCTGCGCTCAGATGACTTTACGTAGATGGTTTGCTGAATCTGATGGATTATGCGAAGCATCTGTCACTTATCAAACGTGGGAGTCAATTTCTAATGAACTTACAGGTCTTTTCAAACTAATAAAATTAATCATACGATATATTATCGTTGAAGCGGAATAGGTTTAACTGAAGTGACCTCTGAAGGCGGTCAATTTCAATTAGTCATCGTATCCTCGATATCTAAGGGTCTAATAAAAGATGTCGATATTAGATGTAAGACAATTTGACCCCATCATCGCGCATAACTACCTTTACTCGTTATACTGTCGTATATTAAATCACGCACTCAAAATTTCGGTCACGCGTATCAGCAGTTAATGGCTCTGTCAAATTTTCCATGAGAATTTAACAAGTGTCAGATAATCTGTACTTATTGCGATTCGAGTTATCAGTTATTAATCTATACTTTTTTCACACTCTGAAATTCAGTTTTCAACATTTCTCTTATCTGACGTACCATTGTTTGATAGCAGTTGAATAAAAGGAGTGAATAGAAAATGTTGCAATTATTTTTTTACGAAAACCATTAATCAATATTTATTCATCAATCATTTTTTCATCAAACAAGTTTATAAAAAGTAAATACAATCTGCTCGCAAGGTCGAAAAGACGTAGAGAAGCACTTAAAGGTACTTTATTTTTTGCTCACATGCTTGGGCTCGGGCCTGGAATCCAACCATCGATCAATTGCTGCAACGTTACTTTCGAGCCATTTAATATTAGTCTCAACGGTTTCAAGAGCTTGTTTCCTGTAAGTAGCGCCAGCGCCAGACTCGGGATATTTCTCGAAGAATGCTTGAATCTCTTCGAGCTTGATTTTCGTTGCGAATTTCCGAGTGATGCCTGGTATTAATTGACCTAAGTAGCGATCATTCAACGTGTACCGTTTGACGAGTAATTCCCAATTGTTGCGAACCCAATCCCATACAAGGTGCGTTCCTTCGGGATTATTGGAAATACTTTGTAGACAGCTCAGGGCATCTTGCGAACGTACATAGTTCTCATCCATTGCTAAATTGATATATCTGCAATAAAATAGTTAATGAAGAAATCATTGAATGAAAATGATTTCAAAACAATTGAACGTACTTTTCTAAAATGAATTTAGAACGAACTCCTGCTAATCCAAGCATGAGCTTATTTTTCTCTGCAGCATTTCCTTCTTTGGTGAATCTTTGAAACATTACATCCCATTCGGCTTCACCTCCAATGTGACTCATTCCTGTGGGCATAAATTTATAATACCATATCAAATCATACGAAGCGATACAAAAAGTTATCTACGGCAAAGTTTTTCCATCTTTTTTCGTAAATAGAAACCTTATTTCGTTATTTGTTTTCTTTTTTTGCGAGTCCCATCACGTTCATAAATGTTTTTCTTTCATTGGCCACACTGTATATTTAAGATAATCGCACAATATTATGAAAGACCCTCACCGTAGTAATATACAAGAGTCCGAATGTCTGGGTGCGGACGACGGTCCTTTTGGTCATTGATCCAACTCTTGAATATAACGCCAGCTTCATCCAAGCACTCGACGTGACCCACTGAACATGCCAATCCCAACACATAGTTCCTCAGATTTCTACAAATCATATTGGTTTATGTTTTCAAATGAAATAACTAATATGATTTATTTCTTCAAGAAAAGAAACTAATAAAAAAAATCGAGAAAGCAACAAAGTTGCATAATAAAAAAATGGTTCCTGTAAAGAAATTTTTATTTACTCACAATATATCATGATCTTCCGACTGATCAACATTCCACGTAACGTCGTGATAAGTTCCGTCAACGAGTTCTCTTACATATTCCTGAAAGAAAACCGAACGAGATAGCATATATTAATTCCATATTTAAGGCATAAAAAGAAGGGAAGAAGGGGAGAAGAAAATTTGATCTACCTACCCGGAATTTGGCTGAGGTGGGTGTGGATGATAAGAGGGTGTCGATAGCTTTGAGCTTATCCGACGCCACAGACCAAGGAGAGAAATTTTTTTCGCTGCCTAGATAAAGTGTCATATTCATTGCTATAATATAATCAAGCTCCCCTGCATAAGCTAAACTGAAGGCGTCCTCGAGTAGATGAGTTCTGTCTTGAGTAGAAAATCGCTGGAAATTACATTTATAAATTGATCGTTTAGCTTTGCACAATGGCAATAACTTGCAATGAATTTTGTGTAATTCTAATTTGTCGAGTAACAAATATAAAGTTTGAAGTAAATTCACTGTGAAAAGAAATACTGAATTTTTTAAAAATTATAGATACCTTGTGACTCCAACGTAGAACATTCAATATACTTTCCCATTCAGATCTTTCGTAATTCACACGATAATAGCCAATCTGATCATGATTGAATTTAATCCAGTCGACAGGTTCATCCAAGTTGATTACCACTTAAAAAGTCATGAAAAGAAATCATATAAATTAGTCAAATAACGTTGATTATGGTTGATTTTCATTTGCGATCTTTACTTACAGTTATTTGCATCTTTATCGAACCATATTAACGTGGGTTCGGAATTTTTACTCGTAGTAAACGTAATTGGAATAATCCACTTGTAGCCATATGGTGATTCTGATGGATCGAATGTAGTATTTGCTTTAGCTAAGAATCTTTTTTGTGTTAAGACGTACATATTCTTGTGTTTAGTTACGTCAACTACTGGAAAGCCCATTTGTCTAGTCCATGTATCCATGATTGAAGCGATATTTATTTTGCTTCCAATTGTTTCTTGGATGATTTCAAACAGACTCATAGTTTCAGCGTTTTGGTAAGCATGTTTTTTGAGGTATTTCGTTACTGAATTGTAAAAAATATCAGTGCCAACGAAATTTTCTAACATTCTGAGAACTGATGCTCCCTAAAGTAATTTCTTTTTATTTGATGTTTTTTAACCCAATTGTAAAAAGTATTAAGGTTCGCTCACATCTCTATATAGATATATACATGTAGGGGCGATCCTTTACACTATGATTATTCGTCGGAGGAGCGAATTTTAGATTTAAAAAATTTACCACAAATACATATTTATATCTAATTTATGCTCAAATAATTCGAAACCATTCTATAAAGCCCTTTTATCACAACAAAATTTTATAATTGAAAAATAAATCTAACCATCATTGATGTAGTCAAGATAAATTACTGATGCATCACAAAAACTATACATTACTTTCCAACCTCGAAATGTCGACTCATATACGTTGACATTTTAGCTATTGAATTTCGAAAAAAATTATTTTGCGCCAAATAGATGTCATGCATGTTGGTAGTCATTTTTTCCAATCTTAAAAGCGTTCCTCCGACGAATAATCATAGTGCAAAGAATCACATAAACATGTGCATATTTATACGAGAATACAGGGGGACCCTGACTTATCAAAATAATCAAACCTTCTGATATGAAATAACGTCGAATATCGCAGTAATTTCATCAGGATTATTAACAGTCTGTACAATAGGATGTGAGCTTAGTTTTGCATCAGTAGCAAAAGCACGGTGAAGTTCATTAATAGCAAATTGGTCCATCTAATTTAAAACCAATCAATGTAATAAAATATAATGCATTTGATTACGTTTTAAATTAATTTGCATCTCACGTAATTCCATTCTGGAAATATTGCATTGACACTCTTGAATGACATGTATGTTGCAAAACCTTCATTTAACCACAGATCATTCCACCAAGCCATAGTTACTAGAATGCGTAAAGGGTTAATTAATCATGAATTTCAAAAATATGAGTATATATGAAATAATCTATAAAGTGAATACAATACCTAAATTTCCAAACCACATGTGAGCAAACTCATGTCCCACGACTGACGCGATGTCTTCTTTATTTGAAGTTGACGTAGTTAAATTATCATACAGCAGTCTAGATTCTCTGTAAGTTACTAAACCCCAGTTTTCCATTGCACCAGAAACAAAATCTGGGATAGCAGCCATATCTGAAAAATAATTAATAAGATGTCAATAATATTCAAGAATGAAACAAAGATTTTTTGAAAAATCATAATAAAGCACCAAGTTTTGGTAATGGATAATCAATGTTGAATAAATTCACGTAAAACTCTATAACTTTAACACCAACGTCCAGGGCAAACGATCCTTTCTGTTTCTGAGCTTTTGTGGTGTATACACTGATGGGAAAAGTTTGTCCATTAAGTCCTTTAGCTTCTTTTTTCATGGCCACGAAATCACTGACAATGAAGCAAGCCAGGTACGTCGACATTGGTACACTTTTTGCGAACGTTACTGTAGTCAATCCTTGCTTTGGACTACTTGGGTCGATAGCCTGCGAATAATTTTTAAATAAATTACTAATTTTAAATGATAATTTGAAAGAGAAAACATTGTTAGAAAACATTGTTTAAGTACCTTAACGTTCATGTTAGACAAAGCGCCATAACCATCATTGCTGGGATGAACGAGCTTAATTGTAAATTCTGCTTTTAATCCTGGTTCATCAAAACATGGGAAAGATCTCCTGGCATATGTAGGTTCAAATTTCGAAGTTGCAATCGTTCTAAAGTAAAAAAATTTCGTCACATTTCTTAGTCAATATTTTTATTTTTATATGCCCAAATCATTGCGACATTTTTATATTTACTTGTTTATTACTCAATTACCAATCATCTTAAGTGTTTTTACCTCGTTTCGTTTATTTCATCTTTGTATTTACTTGAATAAAATCCAACGATTTTATCCTGTAATGATCCAGAAAATGATAATTGAAGGTCGTAGGTGCCGACCCTCAATTCCTCTGTTGGTTCCACGATGTAAACTTCATTTTTATCAATGGAATAACTTTTTTTTATTTCGACATCATAGTATTTGTCATGATCACGTAAATTCAATTTGACCGCGCTGACGTTTAGTTCCTTTTGGTGCAGGGCTATAAAGTTCTGTTTCTTTGCAACATCGAGTAGGATCGTAACTTTTCCTTCAAATGTTCCTTTTTCCAAGTCTGGATGGAGGTAAAGGTCATAGTGTTGCGGTTTTACATCTTTCGGTAAACGAAACATGTCCGAATAAAGCGTTTCGTGTGACATTTTTGAGTAGTCAGAGACGCTTCGTACTTCTGAAATAATAATCAAATCTTAATCAGTATTATTATATTTATCGTCTAATTACTAAAGAACCGCAGTAATTTTATATTTGAGTTCGGTTTAATTTAATCTTATTTATATAAGAACGATAAACTGCTAATACCCGATTACTCAAATGCCAAGTTTAATGTATAAAGAAATGTATGTTGGCATTTTTCATCGACGCGACAAATCCAACATTTGTATGTGTACTGTCAAAAAAAGAAATGTGATAACGCGTGCGTCTTATCTTACACATTTCATTTTGATAAAACTTTACCTTTAACGAAAGTAGGAGTATAATAGTTCACAAGGATTTTTACATTACGTGTAAACCTGAGCAGCATCTGTTTAAGAAAATAACAAAAGCTTGAATTGCAATAAAAAAAAAATACAAACTTACTACTATGACTAAATACTATGACTAAACGGTGTATCCTTGAAAAGTTTTGCTTTACGAATAAAACTTTCCCTTTTGTTTTGCAATATTTCAGATTGACTTTGCTAATTTTTTAAAGGAATGCTCATTATATTTCTGACAACACTACGTATTTAAATATCTCTGTATCAATTATTTGTTGAACACAAGTTCTATTTCTATATAAATAAAACATGAATCGCGAGAATGCAGGCGCAAAGTTAAAAATGCATTGAATTGAAATCTGCTCGAGGTTTTTTATAAGGAAAAGTAACAAACTCACCTGGGTTAATAAAAGCAGCGTCAGCACTGTTGCCCAGGAGAATGAGAGACGCAGTAAGACAGGTAAAGATGAAACTCAAAAACACGCAGAGACCGCAGGTAATGTTGAGAAGAACATAGCCGACGCCTCGTCGGAGGTTATGATCCGTGGCTAGTTCCGTCGGCTCCCTTTTCCAAACTTTTTCAGTCTGCTGCTCATCGTTCGCCGGGATTTTACAATTAGCGCCGTCGTTGGCAGATTGAACTCTGATCGTGCGCATAGCTTCTGCTTCTGCGCTTCCCTCGCGATGCACCGCGCTACCGAAGCACGCGCAAGTCGTTAGGATTGTTGTTGACTCGAGCTCTCATGATAGATGGCGCACTCGCGCGACTTCGCGATGACGAGTTTGACACTCACGCAGCTGTTATGTCTATAACGCATACTTCATTTATGACTTGCGCAACAGCGGTAAATTCGAGGCATTGTTTACGCCAATTATTGTAACGTGATAATCTTAACCGCTGAACGGAAGAATTCGAAAACAAGCCTCGGCAAATTTTCAGCAGCTGTGTTGTAACATTAGTATGCAAATGTAATTAAATTAAGCACGCAACGGATAGAGAGCTTTCATTACGTATTTTGTCAGCCGTTAGCGCGAAAAGAATTATTTTTCAAGAAATCGTGTTAATTGCTGACTGTCACTCGGAATTCTCGCACTGGTCGCCTCGTTTAATAAGTCGTCGAGCCAAGTACGACTTCGCTGAGAATTGAATTATATACTGCAGCTTATTTTCGAGTGCCGCAACACTCGATATTGCAGTTATCGCGTTTGATCCGATAATAACGTATAACTGATTGCGCGCTCTTCTTATAATTTTTTATTTATTTGTCTTGGTCGAGTTAACAATTTTACACAGGTGGTAACTTTCGAAAGCTCAGAAATACATTTGATATGCAAATAAGTTACGACATAAGAAATCAATCAATAAATAAGAAACGTAAACATATAAAAAGCTAACCTTAGTGGCATTTGCGACGACATTCCTGTGTTGGATCGTTTTGAAAATTTTAATGCTATTGTCTTTTCGTTGCAAGCATGCACGTAAAAAAAGCTTAGAACTCAATTTCTTCGTGTAATAATGACAAGTATATGTTTATAGTAAGAGGGTTAATATGTTGTAGAACGATTTATAGACTTTTCATGATTATACATAAGCAAGATACATAACGATGTTTATTGTCCAAAATGGAAAAGGGGTTTACCGTGTAATACTTTGAAACAAGCCAATGTAAATTCTCAGTCAACAATTTTGTCTTGGGTTCAATATTTTGTTATGCGATTGACTGAGAATACTCATTTTTATTGTGTATCTGATGCGTATAAGGCAATACATCAGTTTTATATAAATGTATCCTTGTTCAAGTTTATACGTATATACAGAATGCCGAGTCACTTCAAAATGTAATTATTACTGTACTTACAGTGCTTGCATTATTCAACAGTAGAAAGTAGAAAAGAGGAAAAGTGCTATATGATCACCGGAAGAGCTTTTCATACACCTAAACGTTCCAAAAGTATAAATGCATTTCTACGCCATCGAATTTCTCGAATTGTGTTAATTACGATGGTTTAGGAAGTGCCTATCAGACTAGTATGTAAAATTAAATAAAAGGATAATAAATACACATTGTCGAGGCCTTAAAAGTATCATCCCTAATCATAGTTAGCATATTCAAGCACACATATATCCATATATACATAAATTCACATATTCAACGATTACGGCAACATTGTGTATCGAGATTGCAAACGATTTCCCTTTCGTATCTCCAACGCAAATCCAGCTAACATTGCTCTTAGCTATCGACGGCAATACCTCTGTATTGCGTTATTCTCGCTCGCCTTCGAAGATCGTCAAAGTGTTTTATCATCGGCAACCGAACTCGCTACTTAAAAACAGTTTCTCCGTCGATTAAATGAAAATAGAGGCGATCCCTCGTGGTTATAACGGCCACGCGATACCGTAAATATAAACTTCGACAGAGACCTTGTAAACGTCAATCTCACGGCAAATGCTAAAGAGTATGCGCAGCTGCGAGCACCTCCATTCCAAATTTCCTTCTCAGCGAGCTGTAAACACAATAAGAAGTGCACGCACGAATTTTCCATGCTCGCAGGCCAGAGCGCGTTATTCGATCTTGTTGTGAATCTTAGCGAGAACGACGTCCTCGTGGTGCATGTCTTTGTCGCCCCACCCCCAGATAGCATCCTCGTGATGGTCGTCGTCCTGCCAGTTCTGCTTGCATCGCGTGCCGTCGCCGGTGCGCGCCGCTCTGCTCTCGATCATTTCGAGCGGCACGGTCTTCAAGTCGTACGCCCAGCCCACCCACGCCCAGAAGTCGATGAAAGCCGTGGTGAAATTGGCACGGTAGTTGCCCAACTCGGCTGCTTTGTAGTCCCACGGGAACACGTGATGGTAGTTGTGCCAGCCTTCGCCGAAAGCGCCCAAGGCTACGCGGATGTTGTCGGTGGCGCTGATCGTGCTGAAATGATCATCGAAGGCGAATCGATTAATTTTTCATCGGCTTCTCGGCGCTCGCCTATCGAACGACTTACTCGTCGTAAGGTCTCGTGCCGTAGACGTGCGCGGCCGAGTTGACCAACCACGTGGCATGGAGCGATGCCGTGTATCTAAACAAGGTCGCGTACCAGGCGTTCATGCCGTTCTCTCCCCAAAAGTAGCAGGGTATCCACGAAGGCAGAAAAAAGGCGAATATTGGCATCATAATGATGTAAAGCCTGAAAAATGCGAACGAACGAGATTTTCGTTTGGGCCCTTTCCTCAATTCTTCCTTCCATCGCCACTCCCATTTACCTTCGCTGCCAAACGACAATCGGATCTGCTTCGAGGTCGCTCATGTCAACGCTAGCGCCCTTCAAAGCGACATCGGGATGCTTGCGAACGAGCAGCCAGCCCATGTGCGAGAAGAAAAATCCTCGTTTGGCGTTGTGTGGGTCGGCGTTCGTGTCGGTGAATTTGTGATGCACGCGATGATCTCGCACCCACTCGAACAAATGGTTCTTCGCGAAGGACAAGAGAAACAACGATTACGATGGTTCGCGCGTGATCGAACGGGGCGTTGTCGTAATCATTCGTTTTACCTGGAAGGCAACGGTTTGAGCAAGCATCAAGATGATCCTCAGTGGCCATTTGGCCTTATACGATCTGTGACACCACAATCTATGAGCTCCCGCTGTGATTCCCACGGCGCACGACGCGGCCAGACCGATGGCTAAAAATTACAATTTTTTTCGTTACTTATTTCTTTGTCGTTATTCGAAGGCTCACTTCGAGCGAAGCGACACAGCGATGACGTTACTCACTCCAGAGGAAAGTAAGAAACTTGGCTTTGGTGAAGAACAAATAGAGGCCGTAGACAGCGCCGACGTGCAGGTAAATAAACGCAATGACGTTTCTCCACACGATTTGCCATTTGTATTTGCTGGTGTCGGCTTGTTTGGACTTGGTGTAAGTGTCAACCTTGTCCGCGGATTTTTTCTTGGCTGCTTGCTGCGTTGCCTCCAGAAACAGCGTCGCCGAATTGCCAAACAGATTTGGTGCCATGGCGTTAACGCTGAAAACCTTCAAACATCATCGTTTACTCGTCGCTGGGACAACTGCATTTGTCACGCCAAGAGAGAATATCCGTTTCGCGACTGTCCCGTTGATCAACTATGCGGCTTAGAAATTGGGTTTTGTTTATCAGCTTGGCATGAAAATATGTGTGTCGCGGGCATGTTAAATTGGATGTTTGCTATGCAGATATTTTATTGGTTGACGTTGGAAACATATTAAAATGTATATCTGCATATATACATATATATATAGTAGCGGTCATGTGAATGCGAGGAAAAGCCAAATCTGTGCCAAGTGAGAAAGTGTATATCGTTGGCTTTCCTACAGTTTAAAAGCCTGTTCTACTTCCATCGATGAGTCTGCATGTACAGAAGGCAATATGCACATTAAGCGTCTTCATTGTTAATATTTTATTGCGTTCTGGATGACCTAGCACAATGTAGGTTGAGCTACCGTTTTTCCTCTCTAGGATGAATGACGAGGCTCGTAAAAGTGCTCCTTCGTGATCTCATTCCAAATGCATCTTTAATTGATTGAACGGTGAAAACCAAAATTGAGCACGCCTGTTACTTTGGCACTCAAAAATCGTCTTTTTACGCGTAAAAACTAAGTTTATAAGCGTTGGATTGGATCGAAAAATCACGAAACGTTCTTTGCGTTAAGCCTTGTTAAAATAGGTAAGCAGGCATTTGGATACGGTCGAGTATGGATTATTCAAGATAAATTCTTCTAATCGTTAACTATATTCCAGTAGGTGAATTTCAACGGCCAACAAAAGAAGCTTGTGTTTCCAATCGGCTGATTATACAGTAAGATCTATCTTCCAAGCCTCGCGAAGTGGGCCTCGCGAAGCGGCCTTTGGAAAAATCCGTTAGACGGTGACAATCGAGTGGACCGTAACAGCGTAATTCAGTGACAATTGCAAATGAGTCGTCTCGCCGAGGCAGATGCTAATAACGTTAATGGATCGGAGAACGGAGGCCCCCGATCGATTTCGAATGGCACGCGTCGTTTGCCTCGCCGCGACGAAAGAAGAGAGAATGAGAGCGGGGAATTGGTATCGGCTAAAGTGAAGGTAAAGCCGCGCGACTTTCTTCCAAGAGCACGCGACGAGTATGGGTCCCGTTCGGAGAGGGAAATTGGAAAGAGATGGACATTAGATGCGTATGTGCAGAGTCTTCGGGATGCTACCTAGCGGCCGCGCGAGAAAGAGAGAACGGGATCGGCTCTGCGAAGAAAGAGGTCAGCGATAGCTTTTCAGGTCGATGCTGCTCGACGCGCCGCACGTACGCGCACGCTGCACGGACGGCATCGATGACTCGCTAACGCGAACACGCGGAAACGGAATAAGCCCGTAATCGCGCTTTATTATTTGCCATCGTTTTGGCGCTAGAGAACACCAACATTCCACATCAACGAGCTGCCAACCGATTTGCTTCTCGACTCCGTGGTGCAAAATATTGTTCTCTTTCGCGCTCTCTCTCTCTCTCTCTCTTGTTGGAAGAGAATGCCTCGTTGAAGCGGCTTGACTTTCATTGATTAATCGAGATTGGAAATACTTAGAAAGTGCGCGACTATTCACGAAACTCGAGAGATTTTCACTGCGGTCTATTCGGGCGGTGCGTCTAATTACACGGTGGACGCTCGGCCAAGAGCGCAACGAGAAGCTGGCGCGGATGTGCATTCTCATCGCTGACACAAAAATGATCGCGGCTCTGTGGGCTAATTGCGCCCGTAAGGCCGACGTGCTTTACGCGCGCTCGTAATAATAACGACAATTTTATAAAAGTCATCCTTTGCCGCTGTCTGGCACAGAAACACAAACTCCATCGCGGCTGATTGGAAAGCACAGTTGCTTTGCAAATTGCGCGAAGCGTCTCCCGTTTACGTACATTGCCGCAAACCACAATTTTTCAACTTTATTGGATGACTCTACATCTGTTTTCTATTTAATTTCTACAAGCTTACTTTTATTTTTACAATTTTAACTCGCAATCGTGTTGCGACTGTTGAAAGAGTACTACGCGTAAACGTTGCGATAAATGTACAAGGAAATGCAAGTTATTTTGAGATAGTTAATTAGTGACTGTCGCGTATGAATGTACAATTAAATTTTCCCGTTGGCGGTTCCAAATATTGAAATATCGCTTAGATCATTAGAAAGTGTCTTTGAAAAACGTTCTTCTTACAAGTTAATTTTTACGTATACGCGACGTTTACTCTCAATGATTATAAGATAAATTAGTCAGAAGAAACATCCGGAAGAGACTCACTGACGGAGATAAATAAAAACTCACTATGGTAGGATGCGGCTAATGGTGCAGCGGGCGATCGATCAAGAGTAAAGTACACGGCACTTGTCACTGCGCGCATATAGGAGCGCGCGCCGCTCAAGTGTTCTCCTGTCAAAGTTGCTCGTACAGTCGGGCCGAGTACTGGATCCGGACTCGCGCTCAGACCAAGAAGAAATATCGAGATGCACGTGTCTATGTCCCATTTATGAGCCTTTCTCGCCATTCACTACCCCCGGTGAGACACGGAGAAAGAGATCTTCGCCGCCAGGGGAACGAGACCTCCCCACTCTTTTTCTTTTACAGGTACAGCAACCCAATCGACATCCGCACCCGCCACCATTGACTCGCGCGTCCGCCGGTTTCGCTCTTAATTGCCACGATACGCCATTGTTTACTTGCAAATTGAAAATCGGCCTTATACCAGTCGCTCGCGTTGCCACATTCGCCAACTCTTATTAGCGAATACTGAGAACGAGAGGAGGATGTTGCTGTGTACATTGATGATTATATGCTTAAAAAGGATCAGAATGATTTTTTTTTTCCTTACGCTTTGGCAGCTTTCAAAGCTGTCGGAAATAGATCGTATTTTGGTTCTGAGCATGGATAAATTTGCTCTTCACGTAACAAGTGTGAAAAATCAATGTCTGCCTCGTGCGCACACGCTTAAGAGTATACTCGGTGCGTTCATACGTGTGTACATAGGCTATGTGAAAGTTAAATAAAAGGACGCGAGCTACGAACGAAGTTCGTATTTTTAACGATTTTCAATGATCGGCGATTCCAATACAAAGTACTTAATAATATTGAAAAGAACAAAAATTGACAATTCTCTGAATAACAAATTATTTAATGTTTTTTATGTATCCTACGTCATTATTTACCTCCCCTCTTTAATAATTAAATAACAAGTCAGAAATTTTTATGGGGTGTCAAGACGAATTAATGAGATTTTACGTTTTAGTTGAAAAATAATTGTGCTATGAAAATAGAGTTTTCGTAACTTCTATTCACATAGGGGTTTTGTATGCAAAAAGATTTGCAAGATGATTGGCGGCGCGTCGGCTGAACTTTGAGATTAATTCCATTTTGAAATATCCGGCTTATTAGGACTACTGTTGCTTGAGAATTCAATTTGCCTATTGTTAAAATATCATTTTTACTTTGTATCTTTCATTCACACGATCAAACAATCAGCTTACTGCGAAAACGTCAAATCTATAAGTAGGTGACTTGTGCAGTGGGGTCAAATTCATTTCAACATCTAAAACAGTCGATTTCGATTAGTAAATTTAATATCAGAATACCAATATATATATATATATATATATAGATCTCACAGTGATGGTCTATTGAACTCGCATTTCTATTCAGATCTAATCCCAAGAAAAGGCAAACAATTACGGCAGTTAAGGTAGTCCGTTAAAAATTTCGACGCAGTTCAAAAAAATTCACCTACTTTCGTACACAGTGATTGTGACTATGTAGAAAAAGTATTGAAAGCAAATAGTGTGGCGAGTATAACGACAATTAAGAGAAGCGAAAGAGACGCAGACGTATTTTTAAAAACGGAACGTGGGCCCCACGGCACTTTCTGCTTCTTTGGCCAATTCGAGGCTGATCAACGGTACTTGCTGTTACAGATCTTGAAAACTTCGGACTCTCTCGCACCCACGGAATATGAGGAGCAGTTACGCCTCGTGCTCAGTTAGGTTGCGTGCATGCGTTTGTCGTCGCAGCAGAAAAGAAACTTTTGAACGCTCTATGCCTTTTCAAACTCTTGACGCGTGAAAACAAAAATAGAACTATCGTCGGTCCGACAAGAAAAAGAACTTGCTCGCTCGTTGTCAATAAAATTGCGTATGCAAGCACTCGCTGAACAGCAACAAAGCTATTTAGATAAATACCACACGCAAGCAACTTTCAGGCTTCGAATCGCGCTTATCGTCGACAATTTTTATTTCGAGTTTCGACCGAGCAAAGTGCAGCCAATTAGAAATGGTTTAGAAGCGCATTCTCACGAGCGAGCGTTCAGCAGAAAGTAAAATAATAAAGTAGGACGCAGAGAAATACAATCGAAGATGAAATTATTCGCTGGGGCAGCGTCGTTGTGTTGATCCGAATGGCATCGCATCTAGAGACGGCGAAATCTTCGAGAGCGAAAATGAGAAGAAGCTCTACTTTTGAAAGTAGGTATACAGGTTCTGTTTGATCATTCGAACGAATTCCTAATTCCAATACAAACTTTATGCGAATCGTACTCTCTATTTTTGCCCATAAATTTTCAATGCCGATAAACTGTAGAGCCTGAACAGCAGTAAAGTTTCTCAGTTTCGTCCGTCATACTCCGAAATTCAGCAAAAAAGCTTTTTGCATTTACGAGCTCAAATCAAATGTCTTGTTATTATATGGTTATAATAATTATAATACAATAACTTGAATAACCATACTCATTATATTAATCAAACTGACAAATGTATCAGGAATACTTAGATAAGAATATATGCATGAAAAAAGAACGTGAAACTAATCGAAAGTACGTTTTGACAATGTTTTATATTTCATCTTTAAATCGTGTTAAGTTTTAACATAGAATCAAACATTAATCTATTGCTTCAGAAATAAGATTTTTATAAAGTGCAGTAAGCTCCGAAAATTCGCTCTCCTCTTGTTAGCTTTACACCACAGGTAATTTAAAAACTTTTTTTTATCCATTTCCGTTTGATCGAAGCACGAGTTTCTCCGTCAATGTATCCCGAATTTTCTTCGATGTGTAAGTCACACTGCGGACGGACACAAGTTGAGCAGTTGTTATTTATTTCGACGATTGAATTAATTTTGTCGTAGCAAGAGATTGTCGATCCAGGCGTATACAAAATGCCGTGGCACTTTCATGAATTTTCGCACGTAACGAGCTAAATATTTTTCCACGCGAGTGCAATATCTTTTTTCACGGCGAGATCGCGCAAAATGAGAAGCGCGAACGCTATATCGATTAGGAGAGAGTTCGCTTTTCCACCGTATGTGGAAATTAACCACGGATTCTTTTTTGTCCCTGACGCCCTGGTCGCTCTCTGGTTTGGTTATAGCAAGTGTGATGACTTTTTGTACTTGAAAGAAATCACACAACCGAAACACGCTAATTTTGGCAAATTAAGCAAAGCCTACGGTTTTAGGAGATATTTAAGATTACTTTTATGTTTCCTCTGGTATTCGATTCTGGAAAAGACATCCTCTGCACGGCATGAATCGATGAGAATAACTATCGAGTTGACGAATGCCCGTGTCGAAACATTGATACACATATGAGATTTTGCTCAGTCTATTGTAGGTCACCATTTCAAAAGCAGTTGAATGTCCGATAAATAGATTCATATGAATTTTCGGTATCAAAAGCATTCTAAAAGCGAGTGGATAATAAAACATTCACTGCGCCACTGAAGACGCCGTGGATCGACGCTATGAACTATATATTTGACTCCGCGGACTTTCGACGCGTTACCGAGCAACGATATTACATTCTACCTTTCCTCCAGTCGATGGAACAGTTGAGCAGCCGTGAGATCGCGATGTTATTCAATTCTGTCGATACGAGCGTTGCGTTCGATTATTACTCAAATCAGCAAATGTTTGTGAATTAGTCTTGGGTAAGAAAGTATTTTATTTCATTTCAGTACACGAGAAGACCGTTGTTCACAAGCCCAAGGGTCAAATAGAATTTCACCTCATCGTTAAGAAGTGCACGTTAAATTTCAAATGTTAAAAGGTGTATTTATATATTTACTTGGCAACATGCAAATGATCAAACGTTTTTATCGATTGACGGGCGTTGTACAATTCGAGAAACATTTTTGAAAATACAAAACAAATCAAAGATCTTGCAAATGTAATAAATAAAACAGAGTTAGTATATCCGTCGGCATTCTCGCAATAAAGTCGCGCGCGTCCGGCATCGTCGCACGTCGATGTTTATTCATGCGAGTTTTTCTAGAACATATGACACAACGACAAAATTAAGGAAAGCTTACGCGGTATAATAAGTGTTACTTCCCATTTCATTGCTCCATTTCCCGATGCAATACACCGCGTCGCTCGCAAGCAGTTCGAGCATTTCCCATTATAGAATCGAATGCAGGTCTCGCGATTGAAAACCATTTATTTAGCACGGCTTTTCGTTCGCGTACGCGTCGTCATTCTTGCGAATGTAATATTACACGTACAACAATAGCCCGTGCAATTTACGCTTGCGTTGCCCAACCGTTTGCTCGCGATAAATTTGTTGGCACATTTCGTATTCGTCGACGAGCGTTCGAGGAAGCTCTCCACCACAATCCAAAAGTTTCCTACGCGAAGTTCGCTGGTCACGCATAATAGTATAGACGACGGAGCATCGAATGAAAAATTATTAGTGGAGACAGCAGGAAGGCACAGTGCCGTCCGTCGCCGCCGTCCACGTATCTTTTTGGCCCCCCGAGGAGGAAATGACAACGTAAAAGCGTACGATAATGCGATTCTTCAGTCGAGGTCTTCGGGGTCAATCGAAGCGTTTTTCGTGGTCACCGCAATGCAACGCGCTCGGAGCTCTCAGTCGATTTTTGATTTCCAAACGGTGGCCACAACACTCGACTCCGACGCATCCAGTATCCTTTCCGAATCGCGGTCTCGGACTGCTAGCAACGTTCTTCATTTTTTTTCTCATTCTTTCGTCCTTAGATTCAGCCAGTAAGTGTCTTTTCGAATTTAATCATCTGTTTTTCACGCAACGATAATTGCGATGCCTGGTACTTGTTGTCTCGCATCCGCGCTTTAGAATCGACCGGTGATAATGCCAGCGGAGCACGTGAACCACTTAAAGAGGGACATTCATTGGCCTACCGTTTTATATTATATACATTTGCACGCGCTTGGGCTCTACGGTCTGATATTACTCTTTACCGAAGCCAAATGGATGACTCTGTTTTTCAGTAAGTATAGCTCCTGTATAAATTGTTATTGTTACAGCGGGTTTTCCAATTGCAACGGCCTACCGAGTCTGCGTCAAGTTCGCTGACACTTTTCTCACAATCAGCAGTCTTCGCCTCGGCTTACGTGACGCACGATAAATTAATCGCGCTTTCTTCGCCGATAGTTTTCTTCGAATGTCGCTGCGGAACACTCGCACGCAAATTAGAAATCGCGCAAAAGTAGCGGAAAAGTGCGAGGACACTCGACCGACACGAAAGTTTTGTAGAGCGTTGCCGAGTCGATCGAACGCGAGCATGGACCCGCGTCATTCGTGTGAATACGCGTTCTCGTGCAAATAGTGCTCACTCGAGGCGTTGGCGGTGTGGCCGGAAGGAGAGGCGCGTAATATTTGTAGATGAATCTGTCGAAATGTCGCAGCTGCCTTCGTGATTCTGTGGGGAGCCCTTGGCATCACGGTCGGAGCGCACAGGCACTGGGCTCACACCGCTTTCCAGGCGTCGGGCCTCGTCAGGCTGATCCTCATGATCGGCCACACGTTTGCCGGCGTGGTAAGTCGTCGCTTGCGCGCGCGGCGAGCGTCCCTCTTCAAAGCTCGTGTCCGTCTGCGCACAGGGCAGCATATACGACTGGGTGTTGGCGCACAGGACCCACCACCTGTACTACGGGACCGAGCGCGATCCGTACAACCACAAGAAAGGCTTCTGGTACAGCCACCTCATAAGCAACATGCTCTCCAACCATCCGGATAAGGAGAAGCTGGACAGAGACATTGACATGACCGACGTCGACTCCGACGGCTACGTGATAACTCAGAGATGGTAATTATTCGCCGGCGAATTTCCCTTTTCAGCTATCGCTAACGGCGCGAAAGCGCGCGCGCCACTTGGCGTTCCGGCGTATGCTAATCCACCGCGAATTCTCGCGAACTTTGACTGCTGCTCGCTATTGTTCGCGCTAGCAGGAAAGCAAGTGAGATCCCGTTGATTGCGCAGGTTTTACTGGCTGCTGTTCCCGATCGTGGGCCTGCTACTGCCGATCAACGCACCGGCCGAGTACTGGGGCGAATCGATCAGGAACGCCGTCTTCATACTGGGCTTCTTTCGGCTGGCGGTGCTGTGCAACTTCTCCTGGCTGGTCAACAGCTCGATGCTGATCTGGGGCCTGAAGCCCGGTGACAAGTTACGAGCGCCTCTCGATATGCTAAAACTACTGGGCTTGTTGTTCTTCAACAGACCCAGCAGCCACGGGGCTGTGAAAATCAACGAGCACGGATTTCACGTGAACTAGGCTAAGCGCCGAATAAATTCCCCATTATGCGTGCGAAACTTTCACGCGCCGAGAGACAATGTCGCGCGCACTTGACGCAATTATCACGTGAGAGCGATCGAGAGCGAGGAGCAAGGCGGCCCAAGCCAAATAGTTCGGCCTCGATCTCTCTCTTTGTTGCTCGTAGGTATCCGCCGGAGGACAACACGATATTCCTGCTGAGCAAGTCCTACTGGCCGAATTACCACTACATGCTGCCGTGGGACTACAAGTGCGGCGAATTCGGCACTTACGACCGCGGCTGCAGCACCTTCTTCATCAAGATCTGGGAGAACCTCGGCCTCGTCGACTCCCTCAAGACGGCCTCGAGCGACGCCATTCGCGAGGCGCTCTACAAGGCCGCCAGCAAAAAGTGCGACATCGCCGAGTCGCTCGAGTCGGTGAGGAAGATCGCCGAGGAGGAAGCCGCCAAGGCCAAGCTTCGCTACCGACACTGACGCCCCGGCGCTCGCTGGCTCGCCCTCTCGTCGACTCCCGATCCCGGCGCCCACTTGATTGTTCTCCGTGCAACGAATAAAGCCGCATTGTCGTTTCTTTTTTCTACGAAGGAAAGTGAGTTCATTGCGCCGCGGGCGAAATCGGCCGCGCGCGCTCCGCGCCGAAGGAAGCGAGCGAGGAAGCGGCGCATCGCTCGCGGCCGTCGGCTTTTTCGAGCCGTTCCTTTCTCAGCCGCGGATTTTCTCCTCCGCGCTGCTCCCCTCTCCTCCCCGCCATCCCGCTCCTCCTCGCCTCGCGCAGCGGTCATTCGCTTCTGAATTATCCGTTATGTCTCGCGGCGGCGGCGGCGGCGGCGGCGCTATTTGCACGTCGGACGTCCGCGCCCGCGGCGCGCCGACGGCTCCGCGGCTCGGGACTCGGGGCTCGGGGCTCGGCAAAAAGAAAGCCGCGCCAAGTCCGAGCGCCAATCGCGAGTGTCGAGCGCGGAGGCGCGCCGACGATCGGTTTCGCACGTTCGCCTTCGGAGAGACGAGGAGAGCTTCTCCGCGGCGCTCGCTCGGCACACTCGCCGAGGAAGAATTCGCAGGCTCGTGGAGAGGGATGCCAGGCGATCGCGCTGCCGATTTTCCACGGCGCGCGCGGCAGAGACAGAGAGCGAGAGACAGAGAGAGAGAGAGCGAGAGAGAGAGTAAGAGAGAGAGGAGCCGGTTCACCGAACGGAGCCGAGCGTCGCCGAACGGGGCGAGCGAGCGCGCGGCGCGGCAGCTCGCAACCTTGCGCGCGTCCAGCAGTGCGCCGTGGGGCAGCTCTCGAGCCGAAGCTGCCGTCTCCTGCTCTCAGCGCCGTGCCTTTTTGTCTCCACGCGCTCGCGCTCTGCTATTTCTGGCTGGTCCGCCGCGCGCAGCTATGCGCCACTAGTCGTCGCTCCGAGTCCCTGCGCGACGCCTCGTTTGCCGGGCGTGCGAGAGCCGAGACAAGTGAAGTGAGATGAGACTGGCAGTTCGGCGCCAGGCGACAACGTAGACTGCCACGACCGGGAGGAGCAGCCGGAGGAGAGGACAACAACGATCCGATAGGAGAAAGCTGTCGAGAAATGAAGTGAGTGGAGACGCGACGCGCCTTGCTTTTTCTCTCGCTCTCTCGCCGAATGCCTCCGCGTTTGCCGCCGCCTGGACAATAATCGGAAATCGGCCGAGCGTGTGCCCCGTTGTCGCGATGTCGCAACGACAGTCACGAGTGGAATGGCTGCCGCGAAGGGGAGCAGGGACCTCGGAAAAATAAGAAGGCGGATGGAAAAGCCGGGGCGCGCGGGAGAATGATCCTCTATCGGTTGAAAGCCGTGGGAAACCAGTCGGCGGGCGCGTTCATTCACGGGCTCGCTTCGCACCGCGCGCGGCGCAGAGATATTTAGATTAGACCTGTTTTTCGCACGCGCCGAGACAGGGGGCCTGCGCTCGTTGATTCGACGGTTGCGCCTACTTTAGCGGTTCGAAAAACGGTATACGCGCGCCAAGGAACGAGCAAACTCGAGGAAGCCGCGAGCTTTCGGAGCTCTCTTTTTTTTTCTTCTCTCGCTCGAGAATGACAATGTTTACTTTCTAATTGGAGTAGTCGGGCGCGCTGCGTCGCTGGAATTCTCGGCGCGTTCAACCTTGCGATACATTACGCGCAGTAGCTCGAGCGACGAGACGAAATCGAGCCATTGGCATTTCAGACTCCTTTCGGATTTCAGCAGCACTGACGCGGACCAAGCCGCTCTTAATCATCGACCGCGGCTACGCTGATCGCACGGTCGTTACGCCGAACGAATCCGCTGAAAGTACAGAAAATTAGAGACAATGTAATTTCGCCGCTTTAACTGGTTTCGCAAAACTTTTGCTTTTTCTAACAAGCGCAAAATTATGCTCATTCGAATAGCTCTTCGTTCGGGAGGGATAATAACTGTAAAGAAAAGGACTGTTGACGAAACGCAAGGATAATTGAATGTGCTTCGCTCCGAGCCATTACCCGTAACTGCCGCGCAGCGTGGATACGCGAGCGAAACGACTCCCACGTGCACGAGAGCGCGCGTATCGAAACAGTTGGGCGATCGCAGCGGCGGCGCGCGGCATTTCGCAAGCGGCGAACCCCCGGAGAACGCGCCGACCAACCGTGCTCCACTTTCAGCGCCCCGCGCTGCTCGGGGAGCCTGCCGCTGCCGCCGCCGCTGCTGCTGCTGCTGTTGCTGCTGTCGGCGACAACGTCGCTGGCGCTGGCGCACGACGCCCGATGGCACCCGTGCGTGGAGGTGAAGCGCGACCTGCGCGTGCCGTGCCGATGCGCGATCACCGTGTCCGGCCTCAACAGGACCACGCTCGCGCTAGAGCTCGACTGCGATCGCATGATACTGTCCGACGACGCGCTGGCCAATCTCGAGGGCCAGCCCATCATCTCGTTCAGTCAGCGCGGCTGCGGACACCAGGAGCTGCCCGCCAGTACGCTGGCCGTGCTGCCGGACGGTCTGGAGAAGCTCGACCTCGGCGGCAACCTGATTCATCGCGTGATGGATCGCAAGCTGCAGGGTCGCACGAGCCTGCGCGAGCTGCGCCTGGCGAGCAACGCCCTGGGCGACAGCTTGAATCCGATATTCTCGAGCTACGAGTTTCACGAGCTGTCGGGGCTGCGGCTGCTCGATCTGCGAGACAACGGCATTCGGAGCATCGAGGAGGGGATCCTCAAGGGCTGCAGCCAACTCGACGAGCTCTACCTGGACGGGAATAGCCTGAGGCAGCCGCCGATCGACTCGCTCAAGGGGCCCGCCGCCCTCAAGACGCTCGGCCTCGCCGGAAACGACATCGGTACGTTCGCTCGCTCTCGGCCGTCTCACTTGCCGCGTACTCACGGGAGGTGCATTTGCAGCCACGATACAACGAGGCGCGTTCTCGCCGCTGGCAGCGCATTTGCAACGGCTCGACGTCAGCGGCAACGAGCTGTCGCACCTGGAGGACGGGGCGTTCTCGGGGATGGCGGCACTCTCATTCCTCAATCTATCCAACAACGAGCTGCAGCACCTGAACAGCGATGTGCTCAAAGGTCAGCGAACGCACCTCTTCGTGCCTTTTGTGTTTCTTTAACGCCTCGCATATGGAGTGAAAACGAAGGCTAGAAAGTTGCTTCGATTAACATTCATTATTGATCGTTGCACGCGCGTTCCAGGGGCATACAACCTCAAGCAGCTCGACATATCGTCCAACTTTTTGGAGCAATTCCCGACCGAGGCGCTTCGCCACCAAAGAATCCTTCAGTCGCTTAACTTTTCCAATAATCTAATAACTGTGAGTGTGCTCGTAAGGACCAATCGGCGCGAGCGAGAATCGGCCGAAGCCGTAACCACGCCTCTGCTTTTCTTTTCTTTTCAAGGAACTCGAACGTGCGCATCTGACGAGCGTGAGAAGCGTCGAGGTGTTGGACCTGAGCCGCAACAACATCGGGCGCTTAGGCGTCAACACTTTCACCGATCTCGCATCCTTAGTTCGGCTTGACTTGAGCCTCAACGCCTTGCGCGCCGTAAGTTCAGTCGACCGCGCGAACGTAATCGCTCTTCCTTCTCGCTCGCGACCATTCACGTCCGTTATTTCTTCTTCCTTTTCCCACAAAGATCGAAGAGTCGGCGTTCGAAGGACTGCTCAACTTGAAGCGGCTGTCGTTGCAAGACAACAACATACTCCTCGTGCCGTCGGCAGCACTGGCGCGCCTGCCGGCGCTGGTCAATTTGCAGCTGGATTACAACCGAATCGCGGTATTGTCGAGCGAGCTCGTTCACGCCAGTGCGCCTCGCCTCATAACTTTCAGCCTGACACACAATCTTGTGCGCGAGCTGCCAGCTCGGCTATTCGCACACTTCGATAAGCTCTTGAGCATCAATTTGTCCGACAACATGATACCACATATCAATCCACAGACCTTCGTGGGTGTTGAGGACACGCTCATTCATCTTGATCTTTCGTACAATCGACTCGCCGCCGTCGGAGAGATCCCGTTGCGGTGGCTGCAGTCGTTGAACCTGGCTGGCAATCATTTGAAAAAAGTCGCGCCGGAAACGTTCAAGCACCTCAATCGGCTGTTGCACCTCAATATCAGCGATAATCCACTCTACGGCGGATTTCCACCGCTGTTCCCGCGCTCCTTGCTCTCTCTGGACGTCTCCAGGACTGGCCTGCAGATACTGCCGCCGGTTCTGCTGCTGAATCTCCTGAATCTCGAGAGAATTTCGCTCTCCGGCAACAGGCTGCGCAAGATCGGAGAGAACACGTTCAAGCACTTGTTCAATCTCACCAGCATCGACTTGTCGTACAATCAGATCGAGGAGATTGAAACCGAAGCATTCGTGGGATTGATCAATCTTTATAGCTTGAACCTTCGTCGCAACAAGCTGAGAGTCTTCGCTGGAGAATACTTCAACACTGGCACAGGTTTGGAATACTTGGACCTGTCCCATAACCAATTGGAGCATCTGACGCCCACTTCGTTCCTGATCCATCCGAGACTAAAGCAAGTGAACCTTGCTGGCAATCGTTTCTCTACTTTCCCAAGCGAATTCGTCAAGAATCTACAATTCATCGAGTATCTGAATCTGTCGGATAATCGCATCAGCTCCATCGGTGAGTTCGGTTTCGCTCAAATAGCACGACTACGAGAGCTTGATTTATCGGGAAACCGGATCGAAACTGTGGACGAGTTAGCATTCCACAATTCGACGCAACTGCAGCAGCTCGATCTCTCCAGAAACCGACTGGAGAGCTTGAGCGAGAGGATGCTCGAAGGCGTTCTCCGGCTGGAAAAGATCGATTTGATGAACAACCGGTTGAATTCGCTACCGGACAAAATATTCGACACTTCGAGAATCCGCAGCTTGGAAAGCGTCGATATCTCGGGCAACAAGTTCATCGAGATCCCTACGGAGGCACTGAGAAAGCAGATGTCTAATCTCCTGAGTTTGAACGTCGCTCGTAATCGCCTGTCGGAGGTATTCAATCAGGACATCATCGACACTGTCAAGGAGTTAGATCTCTCGGAAAATCCTTTGAGCGAAAACTCCAGCTTCAGAATACTCAGCGAGGCGAAAGTGTTACGCTCGTTGAACATGGCATCTTGCGGGATTCACAGAATATCGAAAGTGGAAGCGCCGTTTTTACGACGCCTCGATTTGTCGCGAAACAATCTGGACGTCATCGAATCGTCGGCTTTCGAGCGTACGACGATGCTGGAGGAGCTGAACGTATCAAAGAATAAGCTGCCGACCGTGAGCATGATTGCGAATGCGTTCGGTACACCCCCGATGCTGAAGAGTCTCGACATCTCGAGCAACGACATCAAGGCCATTAACGAGAGTTCTTTGCACGGATTCGAGACTCTGAAAGAGCTGAAGATCGTCGACTTGGAGAATTGCACGAGGATCGAGAAGAATGCTTTCAAATCGATGACCAAACTCCGCAGGCTAGAAGCTCACAATTACCCGAGACTGGGCTACTTCGACGTGCAGGGTATCACGAAAGGCATGAATAGCTTGAAAGTGTTGGATATCGAGATCAAGGACTTGAACGCGGGCAACGAGCAGTTATCCGTGAGGATGCATCCGCGCCTGAGATCCTTGAGTCTGAGAGGCGATCGGCTGAATAACGTCCTGTCCAGTTTGCTCGTTGGCATTAAGGCGCAGCAGCTTTCGCTAGGATTGAAGAATACCTCGATAGAGGCGATCCCGTCGACGCTGTTGTTCCCCGTACCACGTTCGACCAAGATCGAACTGAACGTGGCTGGCAGCAAATTGAAAACGATCCCACAGCAGCTCGCTGCGGTGTTCGAGGAGCGAAACAACGCTTTCCAAATGAAGGGGCTCGACATCCAAATCAAGTGCGACTGCAGCGTCAAGTACTTGTGGAGGTGGAGCAAGAACGCCGCAAGCGCCAGCGACAATTCCATCGAGTGTACCGCTCCCGAGTCACTGAAAAATCAATCTCTGAACGACTTGTTGGAGGATCAGCTGTCGTGCGAGCCGGAGAAAACGACTGTGTTTCAAACGGAGCACACCGAAGCGACTACCAATGCAAGGAGGCCGTCGACGAGTATGGAGCCGGAAATCATTTGGACCGTTGCTTCGGCTACTCAGGTAAATTTGAGATGTTTTTACGTGGACGACAATGGGGCGTTCGCTCGGTTTGACGTATCGAATTGTGGCGATTACAGAGTTCGAGGCATCCGCAAAGCAACAACGGCGACAATTTCATGAACGTGTCGATAGGCTCGATAAACGGCACCGACGACACACTGATCATCGGAATCGTCGGCGGCGTGGTGGCATTCATCGCGATCGTCGTCATCATCATCTGCATTTGCCGGTTACGCTGGAGCAATCAGATGAACGAGGCGCAGATGCACGCCACTATGGCACCGAGTATACACGAGGCGTCGATGCTGCGACCAGCAAGCGTCTACAGTGGGAAAATCAATCAAGATCTCTACGTCGGCTCCTACAACGGCTCGACCCTGGGTCACAGCAAAAACAACGCGGGCATATCGTTGCCAGCTACCCCTGTGCAGATGCTACCGTTCGTACAACCTGTGCCAATGATTCAGCCGTCCGCGGCTGGCCAGCCGATTTATGGATACTACGACGGATCCGGTATGCCCATTTACATTACAACCGCGTGCGAGACTAAGCAGGAAAGATAAAACTGGATTTATACTTGTATTATTACGCTGAGAATTCACTTAACTATTTAGTTTTTATGCATAATTTATACAAGTATATTTTTATTGCCTATTGATATATTTCGTAAGAAAGTATTATAGATAAAGGTTGATGAGTGTATTGAACTTTATTAAGAGAATTCATTGTACATAGCTCTTTTTTATTGTTGTTTTAATTAAAGTTAACTATGAGTAACAGTTATTTGTAATTTCATACCGTAACTTATTTTACTACTCGCCAGTGTTTTCAATTTAAATAAATCAATTACCAACATTCAAATCTCAACTGTTTTATCCTCAAACATAAACAAATTGAATATAATTTAAATGTTATGGTCTGTTGGGGAGATATTGAACACTCAAATTTTATTATTTCATTCTGAATGACCGAGTGAATTCCGAATAAATGCCATTGAAATATGTCCGGAATTTTGAATCTGAATTAACATAGACATGAGATGATATCGCATCCCTTTTAAGTCGAAAACACATTCGTATATCCTGTCAGTACTGAGTAAATTTTTTTTAATATAACGTCAAGATTTGAAAGTAAATTTATATTTCGTCACTGTTATTAGAATGTCAACTTGTAAATATTTCTTTCTATAGTAAATATTATTTTTATCTAGCTCTGAATAAATATTTAATAAAGTGAATAGTAGCATTTTAACGAGCTATTACGTAAATAAATTCTATTATTTAACTTTCAGGCCGACGGAACTATTCTTTTCTAAGTTATTGATTGTAGATACAAAATTATCAATTATTCCAAAACGAACGAAAGTTTCCTGATTAAACCCTGACTACTTTATATGGCAGAGTAACATAGTTGTATTCTTATAAAAATTTTGAATTTTTAAATCGAAGAATTATTAAACGATTTGCAATTTTCTAAGCATCCATAGTGGTCAGCTATAGTAGGCATATAAATGATGCAATGGACCACCATGCAAGGCATGATATACGGCCTTGCTTTCTCATCTATTCTGCTGACCGCTTAAAATCATATTGCGAACAATTTTTACATAATACAATCAAGAGTTTTCTGTAACTCTTAAAATCACCTCAATGTACGTCGACAGGTAGTTGAAATCACGACTAACAGTACAGTTATAACTTGAGTGCTTTTATCAATATGTAAATAACGCTCGATTATTATCAATGTACTTTGATCCGGTATCTGAAGAGCTTACGTTTCCGTTGGTAAAAGGTATCAGTAACATACATGGTTCTTCCTTCATAAGCAAAACAGATACATCAGGAAAAATGTGTGAAAGTTCGGATGCTAATATAATAAAGTGTTGGTATAAAATAATAAAGTTTCATTTATTGACGTTGGAGAAATTTTTGAAATAGAAGAAAGCGGGAAGATACTAGGAAATATTACAGGTATTAAGTGACTTTTTATTTTATATAATACTGAATTACTCGCAAATAGAAATGGAAAATTTCCAATAAATTTTGCACTGTAAAATAGGTAATGAATGAATTGAATCTATCTAATTAGAAAATCCGAGAAAAAATACGTCTAGAAAAATCCTATAGTTATAGAACTTATAAAAGTATATATATATATTTCAAATAGTAGTACGCAAAATCTAATAATCTATTTTGCTTCAATAAAAATTCTTATTTTTTTGTATGCAGGAAGTCGATTATAGACTGAAATAAACAATAAAAGATTTAGTTGTAACGGCTGTTTTTCTTAACTATTTATTTTAGATATAATTTATTTCAAAGTTGAACATTGTTTACATCATTATTTAAAAGAATAAAATTTAAGTAAAATTTAAATAACAAGATTTTACTTTGTAAGTCTTCTTTGTGTTATAACGTTTAATAGTGAATATTTTTAAATCAATGAAAGGAGCTGATTAGGATCCAATTCAAATAAAAAATGGTGAGGCCAATATATTAACTCTTGCGTGAGTTATATTAGAAAGTTTGAAATTGACTAGAATTTTGAAAGCAAATATTTTTATGCAATTTTCGCTATCATATATTTGTTTTCATTCATTTTTGCAACTTTTCTGGGTATTGAAAAAAATTCCGGGAAACCGTTCTTCAAAATAATCAGAAACAAAACAATAAAGCCGAACTGATCTTTCGCGGTATTTCGGACTCTCGGAGTGTCACCAGTCTCATTCGAGTGTATTATTTCATTCACATTGTTGAGAACGATTATTTCATCTGTTAAAAATATAATAATATGATCAAAATAAAAAAAATACGAAGTGTTGTAATAAAGACTAACAACATAATGAGATTTTTAAATAATAATTGCAGCGTTTAAATGAGATCGATTTCTGCGTTGGTTTTTGTGCTAGATAAATTACGTTATTTTGTTGTTTTGCGTTGGTGTTGCTCAGATCATATTACATTGGAATCCACCTTTTATTTATATAAATTTATTCTTGCTGCTTTAATATGATAATCATACAGTGTGGATTACAAAAGACAAAATTTATGGCATTCCTTGTCTGTCGTTAAGTATTTTGGAGAAAGTGGTTAGACAGCTTTGTAAACAGTTCAGATTTCTCGTTGATGATTGATACCTAAGACAAGCCGCACTTGGGGTATGTATGTAATATTATATATTTTCTTTTATTTATTGTGTAATCTACTACAAATATTCAAATTAACTATAAATTATCAACGATACTCTTTTTTAATTAATTCATCTTTTATAAAAGTATTGATAATTTATACTTCATCTTGACTTATGATAAAAATATTTTAACTATAAGCTATTATACTATTCCAAGAGAAATTATTTTTTTAATTATTTAAATATAAATTATATTTCCTATTTTTAAAGGGTAATATAAAAAAGTTAAGAAATTATTATAAATGTTGATTATGAGTTATATTTTTTGTTTAGCATTACATAGGAAGTTAATAAAAAATTGTTTGTTCATGAGAATTTAGCTTTTTACCTTTGATTTAAATTATAATTGGTCTTATTTATACCTATCTTATTGACTGACGATAAATGATATTGATTCTATTTTTGTGCATCTCATGTTTGTGGACATCTTGTGGTTATTCCAAGAATGTCTGATACTTTCAGCTGAGTTAACAATTATCTGTGTGGTATTTATCTTACTCGTTCAGACATTTAATGCTGATTCATTAAAGTTACCAAAACATATACAAGTGAACCCAAGCCATTCAGTCAACATAATTCATTGAACTTTTGTTTTACGTGCAGGTAGGTAAAATTAAAATGACTATAGTTGTTATGCTTTTATGAATATTGATGTATGGGTGACTATAATTTTTGAACTTATTTACTTTGATAAACTATTTGGAATTATTTTCTTTTATTTTTTTTTAGAAGGTGTAGTTTTCTATAATTTTTCTGTTATAATCAACAGATAAGATACAACACCAATAATGAATGGAGGTTTAATTGATTACAACAAAATGTTAGAAGCTCAAAAAGATGATAAAATTTTAATTCTTGATGTTAGGGAAAATTCCGAAATACAAGAAACTGGAAAATTACCAGGAAGCATTCACATACCAAGTAACTCTTTTATTTCTGTATTACAAATCACTTAAGTAATGTAACAAAAATAATTGGAACTATATCTTTACAGTGAAAGAAGTAATGAATGAACTAAATCTATCGAATGAGGAGTTTGAAAAGACGTATGGCAAGAAAAAGCCTTCTTTAGATACGCAAATTATCACAAGTTGCAGACTTGGTGGACGAAGTGCAAAAGTTCAAGCAGAGTTGCAAAATGCAGGATATAAAAAGTAATATATTGTCTGTACATTAATGAATACATATTTTTACGAGGTTTTTTTATTTATGCGATATATTGTATTTTGCAGTGTTCTTAATTATTCAGGAGGCTGGGCAGATTGGGAGAAGCATCAAAAGAAATAATAAAAACTTCTATTTAATTATTTAGTTATTTTAAGGAAAATATGAAATAATTTTTTATTTTTGTACACATAATGAAATTAAACATATGCTTTATTAGTAGTTGAACATATTTTTTAATTAGAGTGTATAAAAGAGTACTCAAAGTAAAATATCAGTAATTTTTATTTAGATAATATATATAAAATAATATATCTTTTATCAATCTCGATCAAAAAATTAAAAATTATTAAATTGACAATAATAAATGTAATTTTGAAAATTTTATTTTGTAGTAGTTTTAAGTTCTGCATTATTGACCAATGATAAAATGACACAGTTTTAAAGTACTATATATATTATCTCCATTTCACTTACAATGTTTGTGAAAAAAATAAATAGTTTTAAATCAGTTATTTCTTTATTGAAAGGTCAACAATTTCAAAAATTGTCTACTTCTGCTAAATATACTAATAATAAGTTATATTTTACAAATAGTGTTGAACTATTTAACAGTAATTCTATTTGCTTAATAACCTCAACAGGTAGGTACAACTATTACCAAAAATCAATACATGCTTTATATATTCATTTTTTTTTTAATTTGAATGATGTTTCTATAGGATCTAATTAGTAACTATTCATATGTAGGTAAAAATGCTTGTAATTTTACTGCTATAAGTGGAATCCATAATAGTGCATCACCAGAAACAAATAGAAATTTTATTGTTGAATATAATGACATATTGAAAGCACAGAAAGATGATAAAGTGTTGATTATTGATGTTAGAGAAAATTCTGAAATACAAGAAACTGGAAAATTACCAGGGAGCATTCATATCCCAAGTGAATTACATTTAATATTCATGAAACTATTTTTTAATTTTATTAGTTAAAGATAAAATTCTTCTATATTTATCACAGTGGGAGAAGTTGCCAATGCTTTGGTAAATCTATCTAGTGAAGAGTTTGAAAAAAAATACAATAAAAAGCAGCCTGCTGCAGACACTAAAATCATTTTAAGTTGTAAATTAGGCAAAAGAAGTGGTGCAGTTCAATCTGATTTACAAAAATTAGGATATACAAAGTAAGACAGCTTTTATTCCACTTTATCATTCATAGAATTACTAATCGACATATTCGTTACAGTGCTTATAATTATCTAGGAGGATGGCTTGATTGGGAAAGTAGACAAAAGTGAATAACATATATAAAAATCATTGTAAAAAATATTTTATTTCTTTTGCAATAAATGTAATTTCCTCCAACATTTACTTGATGATTATTTACAAATTATTACTTAAAATTATCATTAATTATTCTATGATATTTTTTAAAACAACAAGACAAGCAGGAATGGCCATCAATTTTACAACATATTTACACCATATAATGAATTATTTTTGTCAGTTTGGCCAAGACAGCATATCAGTTTCAAATTATTACAACTTAATTAATTAATTACTCTTTATGTTTTTCCTGAGCCAGCTTTTTCTTTTCAGATATCATATCTCTGAATTGTCCTAATATAAGATTTTCTCTCTTCTGTCTCTCTTCTTTGCTGAACATAGCTAAAGCTCTCTTTTCATCTGCTGAATAAATTTGATTTTCTTTACGAATACGCACAGCCTCCATACGACGATGCCTGAGCAATAAAAAAATTTGTGTATAAGCTTTTAAAAAATAAAAACAAGGGCATGAAGGAAAAAAGAAATATTAATGTACCTGCTACCACTCATAACGTATCCAACAGACTCGTATGATGCAATTTCATCTGATGTCAAACCAATTTCTCCTCTCCTGGGAATTCGTTTCCCTTCTTGTACATATGCAGCCATAGCAGCACCTTCTCCAGGCAATAGAGCTCTGCCAAGTTCTTTTGCAGTAAGTGTAATTGTAGGTTTGAGAGTTGGACCAACAACACCATCATCTTCACTGTCTTCAGATTCAGTATTCTTCTTAACACTTGGTTGCACTATAACAGCACTTTTTTCAACCCACTGCTCTCCTTCATCTGAGCTACTGTCACTAGAACTATTGCTGGAATGTTTCCTCTTCTTTTTTTTCTTTTTCTTCTCTTTTTTCATTTTCTTTTCCTTTTTCAGCTTCTTACTTTTCTAAAATAAATTTATTTGTTGCAAATAACAATAGTTGTTGCATACAATCTAGTTTTTTATAATGTAATGGTTAATAAATACCTTTTTTTTCTCTTTTTTTTTGCGTTTACGATCTATGTCTTGACTCTCGCGTTTAGACTTATGATGTTTCAGTTGTTCCTCTTCCTCATCAGTGCTAAACAAAGAAAGAAAAATTAATTTATCATTCGATAAATCTTAAAAGTGATTGAACTAATTTATCATACTTACTCTTCAATCCGCGTTGGAGATTTTCCCCATACTCTTTCTACTCCACGTAGACCAATTTTTTCTCTTTCTTTTCTTCTGTCCCCTCTCTCTGACCTATCTATATTCCTATCAAATCTGTCCACCATTATTGTTTTTATTTTAAATGGATCAATATATAAATACGATTACTGTTAATTAGCCATCTGACTGATAACATAGAACAATGTAAATCGAAACCTAACCTCTGCAACCGTGTGTAAACAAAAAAACATCAGATATTGAGAGCCAACAGCGACTCTGCAAGTGAACTAAAATTGCGAAGCTACCTGACCAAGTAGATTTTGTTTATATCAGCTTGTGTACATATATCGACATTTGACTTAATGTGAATAAATTAACAAATGAAGGGTATATTTACATTAATTACGAGTGTTTTAATATTAAAATGATTTATTGCACAATATAAAAACTAGTTTAATATATAGTTTTGTATACATAACATATCATGATTATTGATTTTTAATCTAATCAATGACTAATTTTAATATAATATCATTGCAAAAATATTAAACTTTAATATTAATATGTTCATAAGAAAATTGTTTTCTTTATAAAAATGTTATTTTTTATAGGAATTTGATATTTCTGTAAAACATTTGGCTAATTTATCTAGAAGGTTTTCAGCCCTCTGTAACTGCTTCAGTCTCACTTCATCACAGCGACTGTAATTATCATCAATGCAAGAGGCTTTTTCTTGTTTGACAATATTCACCATAAATTGACAGTGTTTTGAATAGTACCCTACCATTAAGTTAGACTTTGTTGTATCAGGTTGGCTTTGAACTTCATTGAGAGCATTTTCGGCATCTCGTATCACAGTTCCGTAATGGAAATCAATCGTCTTATCTTCAAACGTATTTTTCGCGCTCTGCTATTGCGATTATTATAATTAGTACAGCTCATGATATTCGTATGTGTGCTTATCATTTAAAAATTGAATAAGATACTTACAGTTGCTTCCAGTTTAAGCGAATTGATCATCTCCTCGAGATCTTGTGGTAATTGTTCTGTAGAATTTATCGGCTCTTCCAATTCTTTACAATAACCAATACTATTTCTGTCGATCATTTCACTGAAGTAATCTATTTCGGGTATAACCAGATCTGCGTGCGTTACTGTTGCTTCCGATGTAGAAGTTGATGTAGATTGGAGTAAGTCGAGACAACAAGCACCAAGTTCTGACATGTCTACTTCTGAAGAGTAATTTTGCATGTACGTTGATGTCTCATCCTGCAATTTAGTATTTGATGAGATTATTGAATCAACTGGCGATTTATTCTTATTTTTTGTTCAATAAGTAACTCACGATGAAACTACCATAAATATTATATATCTTTTGAAAACTGATTCATTTCTAACAAAGAGACCACGATAATAATGTCTCGACTGAAATAATAAGACGTAAAAAACTAGGACGAAGTGAATTCGGGGTTTGGCTGTACGGTTTCTTTTCACTTTTCTAGAAAATACATGCGAAAGTCCATCTTCAATTACCATTATTAACGATTCTGTGCAACACGGATAAGAAAAGAATAGCGAGTTTATGCGCTAGGTAAATTATTGAATGTGTCTACAAAATTATATATATGCATAAATATTTATTTGCGTATACTGTTTCGAAACTTCTTGCAGTTTTCACGTTCTGAGAGAAAAGAGAACTAAACTTAAGGAGTAAGTTGAGTAATTTCTTAATTAAGTTCTCTTGTCTTTAATTTTTTACTGAAGAGCGTTAATACATAAGTCGAAAAAAAATTTGGTTCTGAAAAGATGCTGTACTTTCTTTGCGAATTGGACACAAACTACTTTGAACACTCGAGATCTATTTTTGCGTTTCGGGCACGTAATTATTTGTAATGTTATTTGTAATGTTCTTCAGTTCGATCTTGAGTGCGAGCTAAATAATTGTTACCTCGAATACTATCTGGCTCGACACTTGAGCTTTTGTGTGATTTCAAGGTGTAATGTATTTAACACTCAAGTTCGTATACTTGCTAACGAGCTTCAGATTGCTTCAACGATCGAACACCACGATCGGACAAACGGTGATGCCATTCGTTCATCGACTATTTTATAACCTGTCCTCTACTCCAAAAATATGTTGACGGGATACTCACTCTTAAATTTGGATTGGCCATATTTACTTCTATACTCGTGAAAACTGACTTTCCAAGCCGTATAAATCGGATAGTATATAAATTCGCAAAAATGCATAAAATATGAAGTGTCAACGAGTTTGTGCAGCGAGCGGTGCGCTGGTTCTCTACTACTCTACGAACTTTAGAATACCAGCGACGATTAATTCGTGTTTACACACATCTTGTCGCACACTATAATGAATTTACAAAGCGTTATAGCGGCACATTCATACACAAAAATCGATAAAAGTCCGTGCGATCATGAAGCACGTGTACCACTCTATACATGAACGACTGAACGAGGAGTCTGCCGCGTAAACGAGTCAGACCAGCAACGCCCTGGACACATTCGAAACCTAATAAAACTGACTGGCCAAGCAGGTTCTCGTCTTACCGGCACGAGCTAACGTATCAACTTTTGACAATGTCAAATCGGTTGATGGAGCTGTATCGACATGAAATGAAATTCATGTTTCAAACGATCCTATTAATTTTTACGATCGATACAACTCGTTTGAAATTAGCAATGTTGCGTCGATAAAGAGTTTCTTTAATACCAATCAATCAATACTTATTATTACAAACTCCATAAAAAATATAGCATCAAACTCTCATTTTGAGTCTCTTACGTCGATAGATTCATTAAATGTTCATCGGGACTTTTCAAAGTACCCGCTGTGTTAGGCAGATAACTTCAATGCGTAAAATAGAAGTTGAAGAGCTTACGACTTTGATGCGCTTGCGATCTGCAGAGCATATCGTAAAAAATATCCGGAGGCAATAAAAACATTCATCCTTTCTCGGCGCTTTGAAAAAAAAGGAAATTTTTTTCTGCGTATTTTTTTCTGCGCGAGCTTTCTAAAATATGAAAAACGCCATGAATAAAGCGCATCAAGCTTCCCGTCCCTCTCTCTCTCTCTCTATAAAACACTTTGACGGCAAAAAACTCTATCAAGTGCTGGGATCTCGTCGTTCTCTGCCCTGTTATCGCAGCTCGTATAACTCGGTAGAAGTGAATCCGGTTGACGTTTGATTGACGCCTTGCACAAACGCAGCTATCCCCCCCCCCCGCCTCCCTTTTCGTCCGAAGACGAAAAAAAAATGGAGAGGAGCTGCGAGCGGAATTCCGATAAAGAATTTTTTTGCGTGCGATAAAAGTGCAGCAACGAGGAAGTGAGAGCGCGTGGGTCCTTTCTTCCTGATTTTTCGACGGGGCCCTCCCCTCGACCTCCTCGCTCGGCCGCCGAACCGCGTATTCCCGTTTCTCCGCCGCATGCCGTTCGCTGTTTTATTCTTTCCCTTTTTCCATCTGTCTTCGTGCGCCTGTGTATCGTTCGCCTTTTATCTCTTACTTCTCCTTGTTTATTTCCTTTCTTTCAATTTGTTTTCTCTTCTTTATCTCTCCTCCTCCCATGTCGCTCTCTCCCTCTCTCTTCGAGAAAAATTGCGAGAGACAGAGACGTGTCCCTTTGGCTTTTTTGTGCGCTCTTCTCGCGCTCTTTCTTCAGAAAGAGGGTCACGCGCGCGCCGTGTTCGCGATAATTGATAGCGTGTATTTAGGTAAATATTGCATTTATCATGAATGGCATCGGGAATTATTGAATGCGTTATTTACGGCGGCGCTGGTCGCTGCCGCGTAATTATTTTTAAAAAATGGCTCGGCGAAAAGTCAATAATCATTTTTTATCGCGCGCGCGCGCGCGCATCCGAGCGGGCCGTCGCCGAACAAACACACTCGGCGTTCATTATTCCAAGTGCAATACATCGGCCGATACTCCAAGGCTTGCCGCGGCGCGGCGGTGAATTATCGGGCGCACCGTCGCGACAATAAATCCCACTCCGCTCGGCTCCGAGGTCCTTCTGCCTCGAGAACCGCGCACGGTAGCCCTGCGCGGCTTCCACCCTGGCTGGCTTAGGCGCGCAGTCGTCGCTCGGCCGCGACCGACGAGAGTGCGTATGTCGGCGAACCGGTTCGGCTCGCGAGCACAGCTGCCGCCGCCGTTGCCGCCGCCGCCGCCACCACCACCACCACCACCGCCACCGCGCATCGCGAGTCGCCCGATCGGCAGTGCTGCGCGCGCGGGCACCGCAGCCGCGAGAGAGGTACGCACTTGACGCGCGCGCGCGCCCTCGCGGGGTCGTTGGGACGACCTTCTCTGGCGCGAGTGACAGTCTTGTGCGACGGAACGCCTCGCTTGGGAGCCCGATCCGAGGCGGTTGTGCTGGGACTACTGCCGCGCAGTCGTTGATTGGATTCATTTCTCGATCGTCGACTGTACTTTGATGTTACGTGAATTTTACGACAGGCTCGAATAATGCGATGGAGAATACAATCAGCCGTTTACGCGAATCGAATTCTATTCGCACGGACAGCTGATTTGATTCGACGTTGCGCCGGCGTAATAAATAGTGAGCGCCTCGTGAATTCGAAGCGAAGCGAAGCGAGGGATCAGCTCTCGTTGGTATCGTCATCGGATGGATCCGAATATTTGGATTATTATTTTATTCATGAAAATAGAAGTACGCACGAGGCGGCCTCCTGCATTGATTGCCCTCCACGCTTTGACCATATTGATCGTGAAAAATGAAATCAGCGATGAGAGCTGCGTGCGCGTGTTGCATTAAAATGTCGTCGATAAAAACAGACGAGAAGCAAAAGCAAAGGTGATCGCGCATGTTTCCAATCAGATAATAAGAGGAAAAGGCGGCGAACGAGCGAGCTGACGGCTGAGAGTCAATAATAAAAGCACGACGCCTTGGATTCGCTCGCGCTTTAATGGCATGCAAAGCGCGCGGCGCGATAGGCAAAAAAAGCGCCTTAATGCGACACTCAACATCAAATGAGAGCTGAAAAATCGGGCGCTCTTATCCTCCCGCGAGCAGAAATAAAGGACAATGCTAACACGCCAATTCATCACACTCCAATAAACACGTTACACGCACGTCGCCAGAGCAGAGTGGAATGCCTCCACCGAAGGTCGCGGCGTTATTATCGCTCTATCATTATCCGCGCCGATCACGGCCAGCCGAGCAATCCTCGATCTGTCGGTCGAGCCTCGTTTTGGCACGCCGCGGACCTTCTGCTCTGGCCCTCGCCCCTCCCTCTCTTCCCTCGCGCCCCGATCAACGATCGCGCGTAAATCAACTAGTTTCTCGGCGCGCGCGAGCAAATTGCCTTGGCGCGATAGACCTGCGCGCTCGCGGCCCTTGCGTCGCGCGCCCGGTTATGGAGACACATTGTTGCTCGGCAGTCGTCGCCTCGGAGAACTTCTTTTTTCTCTCTCTTTCCGTCCTCGCACTTTTCCGCTTCTCGCGCTCTTTTCGCCGCGGCCGTGCGCCACCTCGATTTGCATGGGGCTTTGTGATTTACGAGGCGAACCTCGCCGAGCACGACTTGATTTACTCGAATACTCCGCGGCAGACTATAAATTCCGAGTTTTTCATTTTGGCCTTCGCCTGTGCCTCGCGCTCTCAGGACTCGCGGGGAAAGGGAATCGACGCTCGCAGTGAACGCGCCCCGGCCACTGGAATTGGCGCTTCGAGGGCCTCCGCCGGAGTGCTGCGCCGAGTCAGAACTCGCGCGCGCCGAATAGTGACACCGCCCCCCCTCCCCTTCGCGCTCGCCGTTTTTATCGCGCATCTCTGGCCGCGCACTTCTCGTCGCCGCAATTTAAAAACTCGTCCGGCGCGCGCGCGATGGCAATCAGAGGCTAATTTGTCTCGGCGGGGAGCCTTGCGCGCGCGAAATTAAACCGTCACGACGGGCGCGCGCGAGAAAAATAATCCGCGCGCGCCCCTCGATACCCGAGCTTAATTGCTACGGCCATCTTAATTTGCATCGATACAGCGCGCCGCGGACGGCTTATCGATAGCTAAGCGTTAAATCTCTCTGTCTCACTCTCCTGCTCCAGCGAAAAAAAAAGCCGCGTCTCCTGTCCCATTAGTGCAGGCATGTTTGAGCCTTTTACGAGCGAACGAGGATAGGGGAGGGGAAAAAAAGAAAAGATTGGTGGGCTAACCGTAAAAAAGAAGAGGCCAGCTTATCCCTTTCTCCTGCTCCGCGAACTCGTGTTTACTCTTTTCAGCTTTTCCAGCGATACTTATTAGCGAATTTGCTTGCCGTGGAAAAGTTTCCGAGGCGCTGGCTGCTGCCAAGTTTCACCTCGATAAGTTAAGTTTCTCGAGGAGTATATATCCCAAGACGTACGCCCTACCAATGCGATTTTTCCTTTGCCGCAAGTTGAAACTAAAGAAGGCGATCCGATCCGGCCCCAAAGGCAATTAAGCTCGAATTGAAAACATGCGCGCATCCAAGTTTGAAGGAGGGGAAAGAAGTTCGGGCAACGCGGCGGTCTAATTGTCAGAGATCGCGGAAGAACAGCAGCTTGGCTCACTCTCTCTCTCTCTCTCTTTCTCTCTCTCTCTCTCTCGATACAAAGAAAAGTGGAACAACGGCAGCTCGCGATTTCGGGCGAGAGAAGTTTCCAACGGAATCGAGAGAGACGGATGTGTGTCGATGAGAGAACTTGCAGGGAGGAAGTCGTAACGGTGGGTTAAGTGCAAATCGATCGGTCGTCGCGCAGAGACTCACTCCAGCCGACTGCCGCGAGGCAGCTACCTGCATTTCTGAGTGGATTGTCAGTGCTCGGATTCTCTTTCAAGAGGCAAGGCGCTGGGGAAGCTATGTCTGCGTGCTATGGCAGCTGCTGCGTCCAACGAGAGGTGCAACGTCGCAAAGGTAAAGCGCAAGTTTCATTCGATAATAATCAGTCAGTAGCGCGAGTGCGTGCATGCAATTTGCCCGTCGAAAGAGCTGATCGCCGCGCGCGCGAACGCAACTAATTGCTCGGTCTCGCGTTTGCTTGCACAGCATGATTTTGCCGCGAGTTATTCGAAGTCGAATAACTCGCGCGCGGTCGCTCTGATTTGGGAGCGCGACCGATCGTCAGCGCGGCGTGTCGCTGAAAAAAGAAGAAGCAGCGAAGGGAAGGGTTAATGGACGTCGATCATCGAGGCTCGCGCCGCGGCTAATAGCCCTTGTGCGCTGGCTTGCAGGAAAGACAGAGACAGAGAGAGACCACCACTTCTTGACTTGGCCACTGCCATTAACCTTATATACCTGCCCGACCACGACCACGAGAGAGCCGCAACTTCAAAAAATTTCTCGAGAGGACCGCCTCGCATATGCGCGGTCACGTTCTTCAGTTCGTACGCCCCCCCCCCCCTCCGTCACTATGTTTTGTGGTTTTTCGCTCCGAGCTAGTTT